GAAAAAAAATTAGACTTTGAATTAACTGTCGTTTTGAGTGACATTCCAACAACAATAAATGTGCTACATAACAAATTCACACTCAGAGGTATTATTAATTTCATAATACCAAAATCCAAAAACATTAATACAATTGGGCATTATGTATCATACAATTGGAGGGAAACTAATATTACATGGGAACGATGTGATGACCAACTGCATTCCACACGATACGTAAGAGCATCCACAAATGTTAACTGTCAATTCATACTGTACACTAAATAAAAAAGTATTAGGTTACTAATGTTAGTATATTTGTTTAATTTGAATAAGTCAAAAAGCATTTTAAATAATGTATTTTAAATAATTAATTTATGTTTTAATTTAAAATTTTATTCAAAAACTTAAAAACTGTAATGTGTCATTTATTTTTTAATTAAAATGTTCATACGTTTTAATTTTTACGTAAATAACTATTATAATATCTGTTTTTTTTTAAAATGTTTGTAATTAATGTTAAAATGTTCTTATACTTATATCAAATTTGTTATTATTAGTAAAATATTTTTTGTAATTTTAATTTAAAACTTTTATAAAATGTTACATATATATACTTTCATATTTATTATAGAATTACTTTATATTTCAAGAAATCAATAAATGATTATTTTTTTATTAAATGTATACCTAAGAAAATTTGTCATATGAAAAATATTTTATTATATAAATATATGCTGTGTAAAAAGCTAATGATATAATAATAATTGTTTGAATGTTATTTAATTTAAAAAAGGTGATTGGCATTTATAAATTGGAAAATAGATATCCTTCAATAATGAACGTATTGTTTTGGTTTTCTTAAATATAAACAAAGAGAAAAGGTCTTATTATTTTGTATGCAAATTCATTTTTAAAAAAAATATGTTGGTCATTACTTAAAGTATGAAAAAAAAACCCAAGTAAATCAGAATTTTCTGTCGAAATTTGATCACAAATCTGCACAAACTTGGAATAAACGAACAGGTCGATAATAAATAAAAAATTGGTTACTTACATATACTAAGTTTACTTTATAAAATGTGTTGATAAAACAATATATACAAAAAGTGTGTTTAAATATATTTTGAATTTATTAAGCATGTCTTTAGGCCCCTCCCTCCTTCAATGTTTAACATCTCGGAAATGGGTTAAGCACAAACGACGGGAATAAAAGCAAAAACCAGTATAAACGACTGTAAAAATTTGAACTCGAAAGTCCGAGGTAGTGGGGGGGCTGAGCATGTCCCCAGCCCCCCCACCTTGAAAGTTCAATAACTCGGAAACGGGTTGAGCACAAACGACGGGAATAAAAGCACAAACAAGCACAAACGAAGCACAAACGACTGTAAAAATTTGAAGTCGAAAGTCCGAGGTGGGGGGGCTGGGGACATGCAGCTATTTGGATTTACTTTATTACTTAATACGCAAGATGCAACATTTCACATGTACATAGATACCCATGGATAGGTATATATGTATGATTTAGATACTATAATAAATAATATATATATATATATATAGGTATGTTTATAAAATAATTTGTTGCAGTTTATATATAACCTTCAATATTACACCAACCCCATTTCTAGTACTAGTCCTACCTGAATATATTAGCATACTTGCATTCTCGCACCGATGTTGGTATAATTGATTTTCTGCTCTTATTTGGTAGACAGGGATAACTATGCAGAGGGTGCCGCGCGCAGACTCAGTATGACACCCCTCCAGGAAATACCTAGATACAACAAGAAGAAGACCTGAATATATTATTTTATATCCCTCTCCTATTTCTTTTGTTTTTTCTCCTTTTCGCTTAGTTTCCTGAGTACAACAGATATTAACTTTCCTTCTATTCAATACTTCTGCTAATTTTTTATTTCCACATGTTAACGTTCCAATATTTCATGTATCTATTCTCTTTTTATACCTATCTCTCATACCTAGACGCAGATTTAACCTGGAACAATGGTTATGTCTTTGTACCATTGACATTACACCATTGAGTAGGCCTGAACACATAGCTGGTTATCCAGCCACTACACTGGCTTTCCGGCTGGTATTAGATTCTTCATCATCTATACCTTCTCCATCATTAAAGACACTTCCTCTAAATTAACGTTTCCGCTCACATCCGAGATGGGACGAACCGCCTAAGTTTTGTTTTGACTCCTCATACTTAATGACAACATTTTTACATAAGCTGTCAATCTGACGCTACTTCATTTAGCAGTCTTTTACCACTGGCTTAAGAGCCGTGGAAGTATTCTGATCTACTTCCACAGCAGTAGTAAAATGCTTTTGTTAAAGAAAAAACAATTCTTACAAGCATTTCATTATAAAATACGAGATAGTAAAATGTCCTTTTATGATAATTCATTTTAAATGTTTGTATAATGTTGTACAATGGATTTTTAAACTGGAATCTTATTGAAATATTTAAATATATTATTTAGGTCGTATACCATTAAGTGAAGAAGAATTTAGTGATTTAAAGTCAAGTAAGACAATTTTAAAATGTAATAAGATCTGTTTGACATTAATTATTTCATACAAAAAAAAAAAAAAAAATTAAATATAAAAATCACAAAATAAATAATAACCGATACATTATATTATAAGATAATTCATTTTATCTCCAATCGTAATTTTTGATATTTAAGTTTCTAAACATATTTTCTAATGAATGTTTAAGAACAAAAACAATTTAATATTAAATAATCTTAGAAAGTTTTAAAATTAAATTAATACCATAAAATGATAGTAGAAAATAACTATTAACTTCTATATTTTTTGTGAATAGATAATTTATTCGTCTATGATTGTTAGACTAATAATTATATTATAAATTAGAATTATAAAATACCATTTGCATTAAATATTTTTTACAATTACAATCACTTAGTGTTTTTGCATTAGCATTAACATTTGTTTAAAACAAGTGAAAGAAAATTAATTTTGATAAATACATGAATATCTCCATTTTTTAATTTAATATCTATATTATAATATTTTATGTATACTATTTAACTTTTTATGTAATTTTTAGAATATCCGAAAATAAATGAAACTTATGACGATTATGTTGAAAGATTAATATCGTTTTGTAAGTTAATAACTATTAATGTGTAAATTAAATATATTTATATTCATTAATCTATAGTTGTTCATCAAATAATTATGATTAAATTTAAATAAACAAACAAATAGTTTATACATAAAGATAAATAAATTAATTAATAAAAGCTTAGGCTGGAAAATTATTATATTTATTTGTAAAATACGACCGGTTTCGAATTAAAAATTCATCGTCAGGTATATTCAGTCATAATTTTATTCACTTTTTCTACCATATACCAGACGATGATTTTTCAATTCGAAACCGATTGTATTCCATACTAAGCTTATATTTACTTATAAACTGTGTATTTATTTTATATCTTACTTTACGAGTATTAACCCTTTGATAATTTTATATTTTTATTTTATTTGTTTTTATATTTAAATAAAATTTACTTTTAAAAGTCCACTTATATTTATATGCATATATAACTGATAATAACATATAATATATATAATTTTATATTAAATTTAACTAATTACCATTAAACATAATTGTTTACATTAAAAATCTACTTTGAATAATTAATTAGTTGAATATGAATATAGGTAATGTGGATGTATTTTAATTATAAAATCACTTTTTTTTTTTTTATATATATACTACTAATGCTTGGTAATAGTTTTATACTCATAAATTCGTTTACAATACTGTCATACAATGTCATTATGTTGGTTATTGTTTCAGTGTTAAAACCAGACATGACCAATGATGATTTCAAGCATTTTAAACAAGGTAAAGTTACCTATATGTTTCAACAGTAGTTTTTCGAGATAACAACATATTTCGCCAAAAATATTGTTATAAAACGTAAAAAAATTAGTTAACTATTGTGATGTTTTTTTTGTAACCGGGTTTTCGTTAGCACTAAAAATATCAAATTATAAATGATCCTTAAATTCTGTGTAACGCTATTTCTTTATACATTTAGTGAATTTTGAGATTGATAAAGTTTCAACTTTCCGTATACTAATTACATTTTTGTATGAAAGTATTTTAAAATTGATACATACAATTTTAAATTATCTTATATAATAACCAAAAATATGTAACATCATCATAGTATAAATGATTTTAAAATTGATTTATTTAACCGATTAAAATTAGTTTAATCGAAGAAATATTTAAAAACTCAAACTAGATAAAAAAAAAAAAAAATAGATAATTCAGGAAAATGTATTAATATGTAAACTGTATGGTACAGTTCAAGTACAAATTGAAGATGACTATGAAAATTATTCGACAAGAATAAATAACTTTGTGGAAGCAGGTATAATTTTTGAACATAATATTTATATTTTTATATTTCTAAATCGATTTCATTATAGTTATATTTTAATACGCTAAAATAGTAGATATTATGATTTTATATTTACTGTATACTTATACGTAATAACCTACTTTTCTAATATTTTAATGTGCATAGTTTATTATAATTTATAAGTCATTGAAAAAATTCCACTTTAAATTAAAAAATGTCATCATTTTAGATTTGCATCATTGGAGTAAAGAGGATTTTGATTTATTCAAATCCAGTAAGTAGATAAATTCGTATTATAATAATTTCTCGGTAGTCATCTTCGGACATTATATATATATAATATTACATATTTACAAGTCTTATTTTAATTATGTATATATTAACAGGGATTCCTTTACTATTTGAAGATAATTATTCATCTTATCTTAAGGCACATGCGCCGAGTGAGTTTCTATATGATATCGTATATACCTATAAATTAATATTTTATTTTCTTAATGTTTATTAATGTACGAGAAAATGTATTAATTAGTAATGACTCATACAATTTTGATATTTAAAATGTTACTTATTATTTTCAGAAATATTTAATGAGGATGATTATAATGATTATTTTAGTGGTATGTTTTTTTTTTTAAATATTTACATAATTCATCATAATAATTAATAGACACAATCTAATCAGAAGATAATAAAGATGATGTTTTTAAATTTTTTACTTCTAAATTAATATATCTTTGGACCTACTTGAGTTTAATTCAGATGTTTTATTACAAAATATTAGCTGTATACTACTATTTGATTTTAATATAAGACCAGGGCCGTCGTAGGTTTTGCAGAGGCCTTTTTAGTAAGCCGAAAATATGTTAAAAAAAAATGCCAAAAGCGTATTAAGATGACTTTATAAGTTATTAAACATTATGGTTAACTTTACAGAATTATAAATGACAAGTCTTCTCCTTTTTCTGAACCTTTCAAATATGTCCTTTTTGATACAATTAAATGTTAATTGAATTCTATTACAGATATTAATAAAATATTATATTATACTAAATATTATATTATTTGACTGATATAATTTTATATATCGTATATTGGGTATTTTTTTTTATATTTTAAATATATTTAAAATATAAAAAAAAAATACCCAGTTTTAGTTGTATTAATTATATATAATTAATACAACTAAAATAGCTTGAAAAAACAGTCGGTCATATTAATACATTACAGCTTAAAATTTAAATTTTGAATTTCTATTATTCGAGGCTCCCAGTCAGATAGTAGCACTGGTTATGTGTCTCGCCTACTTATGGGATAAAGACGGAACTATTTTTTTTTTTTTTTTAGTAAATTAAATTAACGAAATTGTACTATATAAACTTAATTTGAAAAGGATTATGAATACATTTTTACTTAAATTTTTTTTAAAACTTTATCAATAATACAAACACTTTAATATTTTTTATTTATCTGTTATTGGTGTAAAGAATTAAATATTTTGTACATAAGCTGATTAAATAATATACAAAATATTTAAACATTTTCAGTTTATCCACAATATTATATTACATTTGATGAATACTTACATATAATGGATGATACTGGTGAACTATATTTTTATTTTAATTCGTAACTTTTATTATATTTTTGAAAAATAAATGCTTCACATTATGTAATTAACATTTTATTATATTATTTTATGTAGCGTTAATACCTTTATCAAAAGACGGTTTTCAAAAATTTAAACTCTGTAAGTGAATTAAATAATTTTGTTTAGCTTGTGATAATATACTCAGTTATTTCATCGCTAATTGTTGTAAATTTTTATTGTTATGAAATATAACTCGACTACAAGGATTTTGAAAAAATAAATTTACAAGGGTATACATAAGATATTTCAGGGATATCCGGTACATCCCTTTAATTTTGAGATGGGTTGATTAAGGGCATCTGACTAGTAGTACTAGATAATACTTCTTAATACTAGGTATTAATATTATAATATTTGATATATTAAAATTGATATTTATATCATAATTCACTTTTAGAATTACATCTAAGTTTTTTAAATGTGTATGCATAAGATAAGTATAAAATGTCCACTCTGGTAATGTGAGGGCTCTGTACCACACATATGCTGTATTAAAAAGGTGCTTATTTGGTGTGTGGTGGGTTTGAGGTTATCCCTGTTCAAAATATAATGTGCGCCACTCCATATAAAAGTTATATAACCATATAATAAAATATTTATTTATTTAAAAAAAGTGCTGATGAACTGAAATAAGTTTTTTTTCAGCTTATCCAAACATCTATGAAATTAATTATGAAGAATATCAGGAAAAACTGGAAAAGCTAAGTTAGTTGTTTAAATGTATTACATAAACATATAATTATATTTCTAATAATATAATGCTTAAAATATAACTAAAACCATATTTTTAATAAGATATAATAGATAAAAATAAATTGCCAATGTATATTAATAAACTGAAAGTTTTCAACCGTGTGACTATTGAGGGATTAAAATATGCAATGCAGTTATTTACTTTCAAATTTTTCCACAATTGTTAACGTTATAACATAGTATATTTACGTTATAATTTATAGTATTTATTTACGCTTATTTTACATAATTTAATCTTGTTAATATTATAATGACTGTTTCTAAGTATTAATTCATATTTAATCTGACTTTTAAATGCATTTTGCTGCAAAATCTCACATTAGTGTCATAAATAATTTGATATATTACCTATGTTTAGTCAAATTATTCCATTGGTCATTAATTCCACGATCGCGAAATAAAGTTTTAGATTCGCTCTAATAGAAAACAATAAAAACGGTTTTTAACTTCATTAATCAGTTAGCTGTAATTATTATCTGATAATAAATCATTATAACATTATAGATTTACCAAAAATGACGAAAACACAGTTTTATTTATTTAAATGGAGTAAGTATATTATATCAATATTTTTTATATTTTCTTTTGGTTACATAATATGACATATAATATACTCAAAAACACATTATTATTATTATTATTTTATAATTTTGTAATCTATGGTATTCTCTCATGTAATCAAATATCTAATTGTTTTAAAAATTGTAATGTTAATGTGGCGTTACCAAATATTTACATAAAACACTATACTGGGTTTATTATTATTATTATTATTATATATATGTTACCGGCAATATGGATGCAATACGATATTTTGCAAAATGTCTAGGCATTATAAAAAATGCCAAAAATAACTCGGCAATATACATAGTACGAGCTTTCCCTAGGTATTATGTATAATGCCAATCGTAGAGTAGGAAATATGAAGAAAACAGACAAAATTGGGCATCGCCTATTACCAAGACTTTACTTATCGTTTATCATAAATGTGCGTTCACGATTTAACCCAATAAAGATTAATATTAATAATAATATTTTTTACCACTATAATAATAATTCTGAGGTACAATATTTAACGTGCTAATAATTTTATTATATCGAAATTTTTCTCGTTATTTTCGTGTCTCATTTTGTTGTTGCAACTATGCATACGATTTATATGAAGTCAAATTTTTATAACAAACTATAAAATTTTTTTTAAAAATTTAACCACTAAAACTATTTTTTATCTGATGAACAGTATAATGAGTTTATAAAATTTAAATCCACAACAATTGACCAAGGATTTTCAAAATGTGTTTGTAAGTCCAAGTGTCAAGATAAAAAGTGTATTTGCCTTCTTTTTCTGCAGTATTCAATCTAATGATTGGTTTGCAGCAATTTCCATGTTTCTCTATCACTAGCCTTCATCTTCAATTATTGATATGAGTTACATCCTTGATCTTCCATTATCTGACTTAAGTATTTCAATCTTGGTCTTTATCTATGGTTTTTTCCGTCGATTATACCTTCTAAGATTAATAATAGCAGCCCATCGTATCTTAAAATAGGACCTATTAATTCATTTCGCCTTTTCTGTATACTCTTCCACATTGATTTTCTCTTCGATATCCTTTCTAAAACTTCTTCATTAGTAATTCTATCAGTCCACCTTATCTTTTTCATCCTCCTGTAACACCACATTTCAAATGTCTTTATTCTTCTAATTTCTTCTCTTGCAATAGTCCATGTTTCACATCTATATAACATAATGCTCCAGATGTTTGTTATTAGTAGATTCTTTCTGATATTAAGATCAATGCTTTTTGAAATAAAATTATTTCTTTACTTATTAAATGCCATTTTAGCTTGACATATTCTTTTTATAATTTATTTTTTGCATCTCCCATCTGTGCTTATAGTGCTACCTAAAAATATGAAGTCTTCTACTTGTTCTATAGTTTCATCATCCTTTAATTTTATTCTTGTTCATATGTTATTGTATCTATTACATACAAGTATTTTTATTTTCTTTGTGTTAATTTTCATATGTAAATCTTTTTCCATCACCTATTCCAATATTTTAAAATCTTTTTTAGATATTTTTCATTCTCCGCTATTATTGCAATATTATTTGCGAGTCTCAACATGTCTATTCTGTAACCGTTTACCTTTATTCCTAGCTATATTCTCTCTCTTATAATATCTATGACCTTTTGAATATAGGCATTAAATATTAAAGGTGATGATGTACATCCCTGTCTAACACCTTTCTTTATTTTGGACTCTTTTTGAATATTTGTTATTTCATTATAATACAGTTGGTAGAGCAGTTTTCTTTCCGTGGTTCCAATTCCGGCTCTTTTCAATATTTTAACATTATTTCTTAGTTAACGTTGTTGAATGCTTTCTCAATATAAACAAAAGCAATAAACGTTGACCTATATTTCCGTATTGTTTTCTCTATTATTAATCTTAAAGCCAATATTACTTCCCTCGTACCCATATTTTTTCTAAATCCAAATTGGTCCTCTGATAAGGTGCCTTCTGTTTTTCTTTCCATTCTTTTATACATAATTTTTGTTAAAATCTTTGAGGCGTGCGATAGCAAGCTAATGGTTCGATATTATTCACACTTCATAGCTGATAGACAGCAGCTATAAAGTTGATCAGTATAATTATTCTCTTACCAAAGATGACTCTTTGATAAGGGAATAATTATACTCTTTACAAAGTCGGTAGGTATATTCGACGTTTTATAAATATGTAAATATCTCTAATGAGTTAAAATAATTCATTCAGCATATTTTCTCCTGCTTTCTTCCAAAGTTCGGCTTAGATCACATTTTTTCCCGACGCTTTCTTTGATTTTAAGTCTCTTAATGCTTTGTCAAATTCTTCTCTTAATACCGGATATTCTACATACTCGTCATCTTGCTCATTATAATTTATCTTTTCTAAATTTGTAATAACCAGATCTTCTTCATTGTATAGTGCTTCTATATATTCTTTCCATCTATCTACGACCTACTCCTGCTCATAAATTATCTCTCCTAATTTATTTTCTATTGCTTCACCATTGGGTGTACGTACTCCAAAGAACCTTTTTACTGTTTTATATGCTTCCTCTATTTTACCCATTCTCATTAAAATGTCTATTTCCTCACATTTTTTCCTTCTAGGTATTTTTCTTTTGCTGTTTTTGACTTTCTTATGATCAAGTTTCTTAAAATTCTGTATCTCCTTTGATATTCATCAGTGTTTAGATTATTATACTTTCTTCTCTTCTCTATCATTTCAATAATCTCTGGCGTTATCCATTCCTTTCTCGGTAATGTGTTTTTGTTTCTTTCATTGTTTCAATTGCTGCATTTGTAGTTGCTTTTCTCAAGAAAGTCCACCTGATGTTAATGTCCTGTTATTTTTGTATTTTTATTTTACTTGTATATTCTTTAATCTTTTCATTTAATTTTTCTTCTTTTAGTTTACTAGTTTGCCATTGATTTGTGTTTCCTCTTCATTTAATTTTTTTTAAAATTGAGATTGCATTTCATCATGACAAAAGTGTGTTCACTGTCTATATTCGCACCAAGATAACTACGACTATCTTTGACTTGGTTTTTAAATCTATTTTTTACTATGATGAAATCAATTTGGTACCTTCCCACATCTTGGTATTTTCCATATGTATCTTCTCCTTAGGTGATGATCGAAATATGTATTCGTTATTATCAGATCATTTTTTGCACAAAATTCAACCAGTCTATCTCCCCGACTTTCCCATTTTTCCCAAACCATATTTTCCCGTTATGTTTCTTTCTCTTTTTCCTTCTACTACTATTGCGTTCCAGTTTCCCATGATGATCAAAATTTCTTCTCATTTAATTGTTTTACTAGCTTTCTCGATTTGTTCGTATATTTCTTCTACTTGACTATCATTACTGTTGGAGATTGGCATATAGACTTGTACTATGATTGTGTCTTTTGGTTTGGTTTTTATTTTAACAAGAATAATCCTTTCACTGTACTGCACGTAACTTTTCACTTTCTTTCCAATGTCTTTTTTAAGTACTATGTCTACTCCTACCCTTCCAAGGTTTTTAACAGATGTACCTGAGTATACAAATCTATGATTTCCACTCCATATATCTCCAGCTTCAGGCCATCTTACTTCCGAAATATCCAGAATATCAATGTTCATCCTTGCCATTTTTATTTTTAGATTATTCAGTTTCCCACATTTTAGTAGGGTTCGTACATTCCAAGTTGCTATTTTTCTATCTTTCTACTTTCCTTGACCATTTTTTCCTCTAATGATGGTCAAAATATATCGATTTTTTAAAAACATCGATGTTTTCGTTCGATATTGAAATCCTTACATCGTTGTTTTTTTTAAGATGTATTGGAAAAAAAAATCGATTTTTTTTCTAATACAAAGTGCGATGTTTAAATAACGTATTTATTTAAACATTTTACAATTTATACATAACATACATACACATAATATAGATACAATTTTTCTTAAAAGTTATTGAGGTAAACATTGATATTTTTGTGGAAAATATCGATCACCAACATCAATATTTCAAATGTAGGTACATCGATTTATCGGAATATCGATGTTTCAAACTTTTTGCCCATCTCTACTTTCCTTTCTAGTAGTTCCCTCCCCCCCGGAGATCCAAACAGGGGACTATTTTACCTTCGGAATCTTTTACTTTTGAGTCATGTTCATTGCTTTAACTAAGGAATATTATTGCGGTGGTTTCCTATTTGCCTTCCGCATTGCAGTGTAATCACCAGTTATATGGCTACCATTTCTATTGTTTATTTTGTGTAGTTGTTTCTACCTCTACGAGGTTACCTGCATCTACACTCAATATTGTAGGAGCTGTTGTCCTCCTACAAGTCCCATTAGTCGCCTCTTACGACAGGCAGGGACAACCGGTGGTCTATTCTAACCCCAACCACCAGGGGTGTATTTGCTTTAAGAATAATATTTTATGCATTTAAAAATGTCACTTTATTACAACTTGTTATAATATGTAAATAGTAGTTAAAGTAAAATATTTATATAATAATTATAAGAATCTTAATCTAATATAATATATAATAATATTTTTTGTATTTTGCCTAAGAAAAAATTGGCATTTTCCATAATGCCTAGGTGTTTTATAAAATACCTAGGTTATATGTAAAATAATATTGAACATTATATGTTTTATTTACACTGCCTAAAATGTGTCGGCAATTTGCATAATACTTAGGCAAAATACCTGAATTATCCATATTGTCGATGACATTTATATATGTATATGTCTTCATATTTTTTTTTTTTTTTTTAGAGACTCCTAAGCCATTTGAAGGACCTAAAACTTTTGAGAATAGGATGAAGAATTTATGTAAGATATTTTCTCTCTTAATTAATTTTTTTTAATTACTGAATGTTTTACTTAATATGATCACTTTCTGTTTATCATATGTTTTTCAAGTGTTTAAAATAAATATAAAAATGATGTTTATAGATTACTATATATTTTAGAAATAATATTAACTACTTACGATAATTTATAATGTTAGATCCGGCTACTCAAAATCTTACAGAATTATATTCACTTTATATTCGTAGTAAGTTATGATTTACTTATATAATATTATCGGATAATGGTAATTTGCGCCACAACTAGCACATGTGATTTGCACTATCAATAGTTAGTAAATGTACTTATTATAAAGAATTTATGTTAACACATATTTTATAATATAGATATATTGAGTTTTATATACATAAAAACATTATTTTGTTTCATCTAATATTTAAAATTATTTTTATTATTTTATAACAAATATATAAATGTTTAATTATATTATAAATGATAACACACTTCTTCAGCTTTGGTTCTAATAAACTTAATATAAAAAATTATAAAAAATTCTGATAGTTTTCAAAGTCTTCCCCTTTCCCGAACATATCGAAGAAAAATTCAAAAAACCACTCTGGTTTCATGCAAACATACCTTAAACATATATTGAGGTGACAATGACTTAAATCATTTGCATGCTGTGGTTTTTCCTTAAACTACTATTCTTATTTCTTATAGTATTCGAATGGGAATCCATCCAAGTATTTAAAGATTTTACACCCCATATTCCAATAATTTAAATTTAGATGAACATCAAATAGTAGGAGACGAAATAATATAGCCTCAAATCACTTAATAAAAAAAAATATGCATTTATAAACATTGTAACTTTAAATACACAAGCAATATATATGATTATTTAAATGTACATTGTAATAATAAATTTCAACTAAGGTGATATTTTTAAATGTATTGATTTTTATAATTATCTAAAAAATTAACGCTTAGCTCGTTCATAATTTTTTTTTTTTTTCAGTTTTTCCACAATTAAGTAATAGTTATGAAGAATATAGACAATACATGGGATTAATGTGTGAGTATTATCATTGTATACAATAATTATATTCAAATATATATGTGAGTATAACTTAGATTATTGTAAATGTGTTATAATTGATCCTAAAAAAATTAAATTGTTCAAAAAATATGCCAACCAATAATACAAGAATATTATACACATTTAATAGATATTATTATGAAAATTTAAGTACATTATTAACAATATATTTTAGGTATAAAACCAATGGACATAAATTATTTTAAGTCATACAAAAACTGTGAGTATATTTAAAATTAATAATTTGTTAGGGGTTTCTGTTTTATTCTTTATAGTTTTAAAAATATACCTACTGTATACCTATGTTACGAACTGTAAAATTCTGTTTTCCATAAAAATAAATTATTTTAAATATTGTAGAGCTACTAAAAATTAATAATATCAAACTATTTAGTATACATATGATAATTTAGTTACTATTTTTTAGATTTTCCCGAACACGATGAAAATGATTATCCAAAGTATCAAAATAGACTTAATATTCTTGGTACTCAAAATAAAGGTAAGGTATATAAGCATTTAATATCATATTTATTTATAAAACTATATTGAGTAGAATATATTATAAATTTAGCGATTTGAATTTTACAAAATTTTACTACAAATTTACTGTAATGCGTATTATACCTCCCCTCCCACCTGTGGCGGCGCAAACTTTTATAACTAGTGAGCCTCATTTTTTTTTTTTTTTTAGCACCCACTCACCAGACACCAAGACCAAACTATAAATAATGATCACAAAAGTTCTTAATACCTATTATACCTGTTGACTATTGAAACACGTTTACATTTCATCAACACTTAAATTATTTCCATAAGCATAGACCTATACAAGCTAAGAGGGGAGGAGGTCCTTGAATTAATAAGTTATAAACAAATAATTAAACACAATATCTTTTTTAATAAATAATAATATTATGAGATACAGTATATTTATATTCTATTCTAAAAATGTTATGGAAATAAACAGAGAATAAGGTTCATAAATATTTAAACTCCAATACTAAAAAAATGTTTATAATTACTCTATACCACAGTTACATATTATATAACTGTAGTCTATACATAATTACAAGAATTAATATTTGTATTTCTAAAATAGTTCTCAATACTTGTTTATTCAAACATAGTGATATTTACCATGTTATAACTTAGGTATCTTTTAAAAGTGAAAAAAATATAAAAAATTTCTTATATATTTTATAATCTTATAAATATATATAATGTAATATATATAATCTCATATATTTTTATTTAAATAATAATGCATTTGTCATCACTTTAGAAGTATTTCCAAGTGTATCAATGCTTCATCAATATTTAGTTGTATGTCTCGTTCCATTAAAAGTAACATAAAAAATAACTTTCCAATCTAGTTTGTGACATAGTTTAACCTCAATTTACTTTTTATTAATTTCATCTAAATATGAGAAAAATTTTTTTTATTAGAGAATAGTATATTTAGTAACTAAAAAGTTTATGTATAAACTTTTCTTTGAAAAACTTCTTTAAGCTGATGATGATGAAGGAATAGTTCCTAAAGCTTTATATGCTAATGCTGATTCTAAATTAAAATGGATTAATATATTTAGAATTTTTATTGCATTAATATTTTGTTTAATTCCGGTATCACCATCATCTGAATTAGATTCTGATTCTGTGTATCTAAATGTTTCTGCCTTCAATTTCATTAAATTTACTTTTAGAGTCAATATTGTTATAGAGTTTTAAGGAAGCTCCATGTTCAAAATCAATTTTTTCAGACTTTGACTTATCATAATATATTCATTCCTTAGTTTATCTATTTCTATTTTTTCCAGTCACAACAACACATTTACAAAAGAATCACTTCGGAAGTCATTTATATTCTTATTTTCAAATGACATTAATCTTTCAGATAATAATAATTATTTATCTTATAAAATTTATTGCTCCAAAAAACCTATTATTAATTGATGATATTATACTATCTAGTCCTTTATAATAGGTATTGATTTTTAATCTATAACAAAGAAAATACAAACTAAAATAGATAAAGCGTACAATTTTTCATAATTTATGCAAAATAACAACTAATTTTACTAGTTTATTTTTTTTTTATATTGCCTTTATTGGATACATTACAGCAATTTATAAATTACAGTATACAAAGTAAATATATAGATTTACCGATGAATAATATAAAGATGTTTAAGAAGATTTTAGGAAGTTAGTGATCAAGGAGGTAATGGGATTGAAGCGAGTATTAAGGGGAAGATTTAAGCCGGAAGTGGTATAATCAAATGAAGATAGAAATGAAAATAGGACTTATCTAAAAAGAAGAGAAGGTTAATTAAAAAGAATGTAGTTTAAATCACTAATAACTTCCTCGTAGACTCTAATACATAATCCGTAAAGACTAGTAAAGACCTGGGAAATTTGGACTGAATATAATGGTTAAACAAGGAGTTTACGAGCGTGTCTGGGAGACGAGGTAGTTCTTTGGGATTACTATCAAATTCTAGTCAAAGGTCAGAACGATAAATTAATGAAGAAAATGAAGAAAATTTATAAGCAATTGATACAAAAACAAGAAGAGTTTAAGGTGCATAAGTTCAAGAATGTTCAATAAAAAAAAATAATAAATTAAATAAAGAAATTAAACAAATAAATATTAATCTTCTTCTTAAGTCCATCTTCCAAAAGCTGAAGTTTGGTGACCCATCAGATGACGTTGTCAACAATCTCTTTCCAAAGCTCACGGTTTTCTGCCAGTCGTATGGCCTCTCCTAAGGGATAGCCAGTGATGGTTTTTATCTGGTCTATCCAACGCATTAATGTTCTTCCACGGCTTCTTTTCCCTTCTATTTTTTCTTCGATCATCAGCTTCTCCAGGTTCGATCCATCCCTTCTTATGATGTGGCCGAAGAACCTTAGGATTCTCTGCTTACACACAACTGCCAGTCTTGTTTCCACATTTAGCATGGCCAGAATTGAGAAGTTGGTCCTCCTTTCCATCCAAGAAATTCTCAACGTCCACCTGTATGCCCTCATCTCAAAGTCGTTTATACGCTTTACATCTTCTAATTTGAGAGTCCATGTTTCGGATCCATAGAGTATCACTGATAAGGTAAGTGCCTTAAGTAGTTGTAACTTGCTCTTCCTGGAGATATAACTGATCATAACGCTGTCTGTAGCTGCGCCCCCCGGAGATCCGATCGGGGCACTTACTCCGGTATTTAATTTAACTGCAGATAACATCATGATGGGTTTTCTTGGGAAGGGGTTAATCAGGTTAGTTTCCCGTTGCTTTCCCTGATCGCAGTAGCATACCTTATTTCCAAGAGATACTATTCAAGCGTAAATAGGTTATTTACGCTTGGTAATAGTAGCGCTGCTGCCCATTACTAGGTCCATTTTAGTTGTTCTTGCGACAGGCATAGACTACCGAGGGTATATTCTAATCCCCACCCACAAGGGAAAAAATTCTAAAAATGTAATTCTTAACCAATATTTTACCTGTCAAATACTGAACAATGAATTTCATAATTTACATTTTCATTAGCAAATTTCGGAACTTTTCTAACACGAATCTCTTTTAATGATTTCTTAGGTAATTTATGTTCTATTGCAAACTGCTTGACGTCTTCTAATAATTCATTAAATTTATCATCACTTCGTATTTTACCAACTCATTTTTAGTGATATCTATTAGATTCATTGCTTGTATAAAATCAATATTTATCGATTGCAAATAGCAAGATGCTTTTGTTGGGTTGGTAAATATGTATTTCACAAATTTTAATATTATTATAAAATTAAATGAAGAAATTATTGTCAAAAAATATGTAGCACCAGCAGCAGTAACTAGGTCTGTAGAATTTGTTAATATTTTTAAAGTTTTTTTTAATGCATTAAATTGATAACTTTAACTACACGATCATGTGATGTCCATTTGGTCTCTGAAAAATGTTTAATTTTTTGAATACGTTTATTTGCTTCAGAACCTAAGTTCAATTTCTGTTGGCACTCTTTAAAAACTGCTGCTCTTTTTCTAGCTCGCATAAAGATAACAAGTTCTTGTAAATTTCCAAAAAATACTTTGGTATCTATAGAAGAATCTAGAGTAGCCACAATAACGAGATTAAGAAGATGAACAAAACACCATACGTAAATTGCCTTTGGATTTTCTGATTGGACAAGGGTACGTACACCAGAGTATTCACTTTGCATGGATGCAACTCTATCGTAAGCTCGAGCAATTAAATTTATTTTCCAATTTATACCATACTTTTCCATTATACCACTAAACAACTCATATAACCCTCTTCCTGTCGTATCTGATGCAACTTCTAAGCTTAACAATCTTTCATTAATTTTTTCCTGGTAAACATATCGAACAACCAAACTAAATTGCTTAACATTTGAAACATCAGTTGTAATATGTATTATTATTGAAAAAATCCCAGCATCTTTAAGATCATTTAATATGATATTATGAACTTTTTCTCCAAGAATACTAAGAATTAAATTTTAAGTGTCATGTGATATGAATGTTCATCGATTTTTTTTTCTTTAGAATTAATTTTGTCGAAATGAACCATGAGTGATGGATTATTGTGAGCAAGTAGTATCAATAGTTCTAAAAAATTACCACGGTTTTGAGAACAAATCTTTTCATCATGATCTCTTATTGCAATATTTTGCCGAGCAATAAAGAGGAGAACTTCTATAACAGATCTTACGACTTCACGATTTTCGGTTATTTGTCGGTTACTACTACTATGGAGTTGTAAATAAATTCTCAAATTTTTGGTTACTAGACTTCGACTAATTTCAGATTGCATATGTTTAGGAGTACTTTTGTGATTTTCTACATTTCTTTTTTAATTTTGCCAATCTTTAGTACCATTTTCGGCTAAATTAAATTTATTAGCATTTGTAAAGCCAAAGAATTGGCTTTAAAAATATATCTATATCTATAATATAGATTCTCGCGGTGGTCGTGGTTCATCAACGAACTGTAGTAACACACATTATGGAGTTATTATATTACTCAAACAAATTATGTTATACTAAGTTTACCAACTTCAAAAAAATACCTTTGCGCCGCCACTGCCTTCCACTATATGTCTTTTTTCTTTTTTAATATTTTTTACATACATTTTATACATTTATATGCAAATATTAGAACGGTGATGAAGAAACATTTCCTCAACCTTCCACCCCTCACCACCGGTAAAACCGATGTTGGTAGTATGCATTTTTAGGACAAATCATTTTATACAACATTTAAAATAATTTGTATAAACAGGAGTAATGTTTATAAGTGTAACTCTATAATTTTTTATGATTTATACTTAACGATTCAAATTATATTTCAACCAATGCTCATATTTTTCTCAAAACATTCCTGAAAACTATTATTGTTCTCGTACATAAAATGACATGCTATTTAATTTAATTTATCGATTTTAAATATAATATTATTTCAATTTGTTATTCGTTATGGAAAACTATCAAGATACATCTGAATCAAGTACGTATTTTATGTGCAGATATACCTTTTTCTTTATTAAATTAAAACTTGTAGATTACAGATTTCTATTAGGACAAAAAAAATGAAAGCAAACATTTAAATATCATTGTGTATTTAGATTTTCTATTGATGGAGGAATTTTCAATGAAGGAAAACGAATTTAAAACATTTAAGTCCAGTAAGTCATTCTTCCAAAAATTTAAGTGATAAGTAGTAGAATTAATAATGTAGTGGTTTTGAGTGTGTGTGCAGTGCATTTTTTAATTAGTTAACTAGGCGACACAAATGCCGCCCAGTGAAAATTCCTTATAAAATGCACTGTATGTGTGTGTGTGAATGTTTTAGACAAGTCCGAAATCCACTTATTCAGTTATTTTTTTTATTAAATTACATTATATTTAAATAAAATCAGTTGATTTAAGTGAAATATTTTATTTATTTTTATTTAAAAATTAGATATAATAATATTAAAGTAATACTATTACTTTTACTTAATATTAAAATCTGAATTACTAGATGAGCTTAAATTGAAATAATAATTAGTATAATTTAAGCCCAAAATACAAATAAACTGTATCCAATTATTATATGTATATTTTTTTCAAGGACTTCCATCGGTACACGAACGGTATAAAAACTATGAACTCAGGAATCAAGATATTGGTATGATTAAAATGATTATTAACTCCTCGATTATTAACCTCAATTTTTTTTCTTTAATCAATAATATACATGTATAAGAAACGTTGCACTAAATTGAGAAAAGTTTATGTCAATCAAAATTATTTATCGAAACGTTCGTAAAATAATCTAAGAAAACATGAAAATTTTAAATTTTTATTTATAGCTACAAAAACTTTTGTTCAAATCGATCATAATTCAAACTTTATTGTTTTGTTTAATCAGTATCGTACAAATAATTCTAAAAATACAGATTTATAAAAACACTATGGCAAATCCAATATATTTTTTGTTTGTTTCCTTGGCTCAGAATCTAAAATAATTTCTGTTTTTTTTTCATCTTACTCGATATATTAAGAACTACCAAAAATAAAAAAATTAGTTCGTTACTATACATTTTTATGATATATTTAAATTAAAATAATAAAATACTGACTTGATTATTTATGTAAAATATGATAATATTTTTGGGTTGAATAGGTCCTTTATGCGAATTCGAATTCAATGATTTAAAATATCGTAAGTATAATAATATTATTCAAGGGAATTATAAAAAAAGTCATTAAAATGCTTTAAAAAACCAACCAGAGAAAAATATTAATAAGAAAACACCTCGACTAATATCGTCTAGACTAGGAGAAAGAAAAAAGCCAAACACTGCGAAAATGAGCAATTTACTGAAGTAACAATTTAGAAAAATAATAGACCTCGCTCTAAAAAACATATAGAAAGAGTCAAAAACAAACAAATAGAACCAGGATTTATAATAAAAACCCTGATAGCAAGACTTCAATAGAGATGAAGAAACATGCCTATGCAGAGATACTAAAAAGAAATCCAACATCCAAGATAATGATAATAAATACCATTAAAATAACAGGAGATATTTATATAAAACTAGTAGAATCAGGTACAAGAACGGCAATTATGCAAAGTAATCTGAATTTTGTGAATCAGAAAATATAACCACAGATATAAATATACAATGTTAACAGTAAACATACTGCAGAAGAATTAATTGATAATCTTATACATCGAAATTCAGAACTCAGAGATACCTCTAATGACCAATACAACGGCCTCATTAAAATATCACTTTTAGGACAACTATCATCAAAAAAGGTGTATCATACCTAAAAAGGCAACGTCTAATAAATGTAATGAATTCTGAATGATAATTTTTATGACACACGCAGCCAAAATCCTAATAAAAATAATATGCACCCGAATAGAGAACATAGTAGAAGAGTTAAGCGATGATTAATGTAGGTTCAGAAGGAACAAATATACTAGAGATGCAATCTTAAGCTTAAAAATATTGATAGAAAAACAAACAGATTTTTATACTACTATAAAAGTAATGAACAAAAAAGTGACAGCGATTATTAGGATAGATAGAGTATGATAGAGTAACTTTAAAACGGGGTTGTCCCTTTTTTTATTATCACGTCCCGTTGTCTCTACAAACTTCGAAAGAGACGCTTTTTATTCCATTTTAATCCAGTTACTCGTATTTCCATATTATTTATTGTATGATATATTAATGCATGCAAATAAAATATCTACTATGAAAAAAATATAAAACAGTTTTACTAATATATTTAAAATATGAAACCAAAGTTATAAATAACAGATAACAGGATTATTTAGGTTATTTTACTAAAAAAAGGTAAAGTAAAAAGAAAATAATCGTTTATAATATGAAAGAGATTTGGATTTTGACCCTCAAGATTTGTGTGCATATCAGTGAATGTACATAAATGAGGGTTTTTTTGGGGGAAGGGGAAAATAACAGCTGTCGGTATTTTTATTTTCTTAATTTGGTTACCCTGATGTAGACAAAGTTGTTCATTCTCGCCAATTCTATTTAATATCTATATCAAACAACCTATTAAAGCAATTAGAAAAAAAAGGTACAGAAAAAAAATATGCATAAAATTGGGTGACCAAATAATATTCTCCTTAAAATTCGATGACGAAATTGCACTACTAACAAATAATGAGCATGATTTGGAAAAAGCACTGGAAGAAATGTTGAAATGCTTCCAAAAATATCATTTTATTATTAACTGGCAAAACAATTTAAGTTAGGATGTGCCAAAAAGAAGAACGAATCTGTAGAATTAATATCCAGACAGGGAACAAGCTGCTTGAGCATGTAGAACATTGTAAATACCTAGGCAGTATAATAAACTAAGACGGAAGATGCATTATAGAAATAAGATCCAGAATAGCACAGGCAAAGGCAGTATTTATGAAAAATAAAAAAATTGTTATGCTCCAATTACATCAGTATTAAGATGAGAAAACGATTCGTAAAAGTATATGTATTGAGTGTGACACTCTATGGTTGTGAAACATGGATTTATATAAGACAGAACAATGAACACTCTAATTTTTCGAAATGTGGTGTTGGAGAAGGATGCTGAGAGTGAGTTGGATAGAACACTGTACCAACGAAAACATACTCAGTGAATTAAATGAACGAAGAAAGGAACTCAAAGCTATCAGAACAAGACAATGGAACATGATGGGTAATGTATTGAGACACAAAAATGAACTAACCCTTAGATTAATAAAATGGATAATTGAAGGTAAAAGGGACCGAAGATGTCCGAGAACTTTATTTGTCAAACAAAATATTTCTGAGGCTAGACTAACAAATTACACCGAACTGAAAAGTACCTAAGAACAGATAAAAGTGGAGAGCGAATATTCAATTGCAAAATCAACCTCAAGGATTGAATACCAAAAAGAGAAAGAATTTTTATTGAAATATTTAAATAATGTATTAAAATAAAATGTTTCCTTGAAGTAAAAATATGTATTATTAACAAAAAAAAGTCACTTGAATTCTGACTAAATTTGATAAATAATTTAGAGATAAAATATTCTAAATTAATACAAATTTTAATTGCAAGATGATTGCTCAATTACATTTAGAATTACTGTTGTTTGTTAAATAAAGTATCATAAAATGTTTGATATGCTTACAACCAAAATATTTGGAGGTAGGTAAAAAGACTCAATCATAGAAAAATCAAGTTGATGCACTACATAGACATTCAGAATTCAAAGTGTACCTATTTAAGATAATTTTATGTTTTTTTTTTTTATATTGTTTAAGAGTATTCAGTATCCTATGAAAATTACATAGAACACGAACAAAGGATGACCGATTCATGTAAGTTGTAAATAATTATACATATTGTGCTATATTTTTCAAATCACACTTCTAGTATATAAAAGATAAAAATGATTCAGATAGTGGATGAAACTTAAATTCTGTTTGTTTGATAAAATGGACCAATATATTTTGTTTTTATTAAATTATTCATTATTAATCAAAAAATCAACGACATAGACGAAGAATTTTTTTTTTCTAACTGACTAACTAATCAGTAGTTTTGATTAAGTCGATTTGATCAATATATTTTTACACTCTATACAATTATACATTTTAATGATTATTATGTAACATTGGTCAAAAAAATATATATTTTTGATTAAACATTTTCTTAGTTTCTTAGAAGGGTTGGCTAATTATAGATTTTTGTAATTTTTAGTTAGAAAACCACTATCTCTTGGGGTATTTTCTGAAGAAAAGTCTAGTATGTATTATTTTAGATTTCTATTAACTATTACCCTATTAAACTATTTTTTTAAGATGTTTGATTTATTGATTTTTGTTTTTAGTGCGAGTTCTACTCGGTGAAAATTATTCGGAACATTTTAAAAAAATAACACAAAAATGTAAGTTATTTGAAAGAATATTCAATTATGTGATTAATACATTTTTAATAATTAAATGTAGGGATAGACAAAATTGTTTGAACATTGATATTCGATGTATCGATACATCAATTTTCAAAATATCATGGTATTCGATGTATCGGTGAAAAACCATCGATGTTTAAAAACATCGAACATTTTTTTTTCCTCTAGAGCTGCCATCTGTTGCACATATTATCTATACAATGTACTATTTTTTTGATTGAATAATTAATTTAAGAATTAAAATACTAATATTTAACTTGAATTCTTTAACTTTTTATAAAAACATATTAAATACTTATAATCAAGTCTCGTAAGTTCATGTATTTGCATGTTTTCTTTGCTACATCGGAAAATATGCTAATATTATATATGCTATAATATGCTTAGTAAAATTCCGTTTCATAACAATGGTAATAAAAATCATGAGTTTGATAGAGCATGTTTTTACATGTTTTGTGTGTATTGGCATATTTGGCATATAGTTAATTTTTTTTTGAGTCATTAACACATATTATTTTATGTAAATTCAGCAAAATCGTTTTTTGTGAAAGTTAAAAAAAATTAGATCAAAAAATGTTTGAATTCATTCGTTTTATTTTTCTAAACTTGTTAATAAAATCTTAATATTTTATCAATATTTTTATTTTTTAATTTTTAAATTTTATAAGTTAAAAGCAGTAACATGAAAACAATATTATTGTTTACCATTACCACTCTTCTTTTATTGACGTGTCCATTGTATCTATCTATTTTCGTTACAACGTATATTCATTAATTATAATTTTAATAAAATGAAACCTAAAAAAAATATAACTTTTAAAAATATAAATAAAGATAATTCTTATTATTTTAAAAAATTCTTAAACGTTTTTTTTTTTTGTGCATAGTTCAGGATTTTTAATGCATATTTGATCAAATATTAGTGCATTATTGCATGCTTATTTACGCATTTTTTAGTGCATGAACTTACAAGCCCTGATTATAACTGTGTATACTGTATAACAATTTTTGTTTAAGTATTGCATACTAAAATTATACAAAAAATAAAAAATTTAAACTTTTCGAACATAAACATAGATGTTTAATCGATTAATTGGAAACAAATTATCGATGTTGAATCCGATCGACTCAAAACATTGATTTTTTTGCCCATCCCTAAATAAATTTATTAAAAACATTTTATTAAATTATCCATGAAATCATAATACATTAATAATAATAATAAAATGAAAAGATCAAATTTTCCATGTTCTATGACATGATTTTAGTTTCAATATTTAAAATAAACCGATATTTAAAAACCGATCATTATCTATAACAGGGTTCTCTAAAATTTTTCATTCGAAAGCCACATCAAATTTTAAAAGCTCTTAATGGGTCAAAATTATAATATAGCCGATAAAGGTGATAATTGACACGTGTGCGCGATACTGACTTTGGATATTACACATACTTTTAAATTACTTACCGTTCTTTTGGCGGCCGGTAAAAACTTTTTCGCGAGCCGGATTTGGCTAACGAGCCATAATTTGGAGACCCCTGATCTATAATATTAATATTACTCAGTATATTAATTAATATTATATATGATTTATAATTGTTTAACAGATGAAAGCTATATAGGAAAGTTAAACGATTCAAAACAAATTATTGAGCATATGAAATATTTGGGTAAAATATAATTTTGTATACAATTTATATAATATATAAAATGCTATTCAAGAGCTGGTTAGCTACCGAAAAATTCTTATAGATATATTGATTGTTCATGTATTACATACCTATGAATCATAGGCTATGATAATTACTTGAGATTATAATTATGAATATCAATTTATAATTAATAATAGTAAGATACGAGCAATAGCAACAAATAATAAAAATAATCTTGGAATAAATTAAATTTAGATTTATCACATTATACAATAATATGCGTTATAATAATAATGTAATACCCAATACATAATTGTTAACTTATTCATAAAATTTAAAAAATCATAAAAATTAACGGATCTAATTAAATTAGATTTTTAAACACCAATATATTTAAAAAATCCGACTAATAAAATGGCTATAATGGATTTTTTTCAAACTATAAAATTAAATTTTAAATTTTAAAATTTAAGTTTTAAAAATCAAAAAAATCTTTAAATGCATTTTTATTGTATTGCAGGACTTAAGTATTTATTAAAAAAAAAAAAATTAAAAATTAATAAACAGTACAAATTTATTGTATTTGTCGAATCATCCTGGAACATTCTATATTTATATAAATATATGTGTTTGTATACTTTATATTATTTAATAAAAATGTAGTAATTGCAATAGAAATATTCACATTTTTAACCTGTAGAATCTGAAGGAAACAAGGAACTTATTTATTTAGAAAAATATTTTTATAAGATATATTTTTATATTGTTTACTCTCCGATTTTAAAATCTTCATTAAAAACCTTACAAAGTATTCGCGGTTGCTTTATGATCATAAGATTAAACTTTTCATTCTTTTTTATAAATAATTATACTATAATGTATTCAATGCCATTAATTAGCAATTAATAGCATGTATACATTATTAGTGTTACACCTACCTGAAATATTTATGAATATAACGACCAATGATCACTGCTGAAACTATTTCATGTAAACATTTCCTAATGTTAAGATTTGTCTTGGGCTTCAATAAATTTATCGTTTATCGATAACCAAACATGTTACAGGTATTGAAACACTTGATGTAGACAATTTTATTGAACATAAATTGGGTTAGTAGTTTTAAATATATTATAATTAAGTATAATATTATAGTATAGGAAAGAAAATCCGTTAAATTAATATATTACTTTTGTCTTACTGTTCATAAACTGTACATTTTTGTATAAACTTTATCTTTAGTAATTCAGAGTATTGGGCTGTTCACTTTATAATAATTAAATAATAAAATATTAAAAATAAATGCACATTTATTTTGGTTTTAGCTTATCCATACAACTATGGGACGTTCGAGAAATTTTGTTCACTTATGATTTCTCATAATTGTAAGTTGTAGTTTGTTAAAAAAAATGTACCTAAACTTTGTCAATAATTTATAGCAACATATTATTGGACATAATATTGGTCTTGTTTTACAAAAAAATTTAAAATTTTGATTTTTTCAGGGAAAGGAACACCAGCCATAACTGAAATATGGTTCACAAGAATGAAGATCTGTAAGTCAAATTGATAATAATTTTTTATTACATTTTTATGTATTTAATTTGACATTTTTGGTGTTACAAGTTATTACATTTAAGTGATTTTATATTTTTCATTGGTATGGGTTTTACTTTAAATAGAAAAAACTACAGGGGTATCTTATCCTATCGATTACCAATAGTATCTCATCATCGATGTATTATGTTTGCGATACAAGTATAAAAATATTAGTCATTTTTTATATTTTGAATTCGTTATACAATAGATAAAAATCTGAATGCCTATGTTACGAGTAAATTTTGAAAATGAATAGTTTACATATTACTCGGGTAAGATACACCTTATTCATATGAATAGTATAATGTGTAAATTATCTAGTATGCTATGGATAAGGTATGAAGTAAAAAAAAAATTAAGTCATATTAATTAAAACAAAAAAAATGATTAAGTAAATTATATATTTTTAAGTTATTATTTTATATGTAAAAATTTAAATATAGTTATTTTATGGAACTTTTCAGATTAGGGTGGCATTTTGAGTTAAAAAATATTTACGTTTACTCGTACAGTTATTCGTTAAACAGTTATTTTTACGCATACATTTTTTAAAACTTTGACCATCGAAAAGTGATTGAGCATTAGTTATTTCACACAAATACTTTTTTGTTGCCGACACTTATAAAATATTAATTATTTTAATACAATTTTATTTCGTATTTTATCAATATTATATACAGTTGATATTTTGTCATATTTTATTTAATAAAAAAACTTTGTCCACTCAAAGGTAGATAATGTGCGTATTACCTGATTAATGTATCTAAAAAATAGACGTTTTGTGATTTCAGTGACGTTGTCACTGGCGCAATTAGGTACTCGAGGGCCCTAAAGTCATATTTAAAATGGGGTTCCCTAAGTAAAAATATTAATGATCTGTAAAAAACTCAAAGTACACCGCTTTCTGGCTGGAACCCAATTAAGCACGATTGATCTTTTTCGTAACCCGATTGAGCACGGTTGCAATCAAACAATAGAAACCAAAAAAGAACCAAAAAAACACACTTTTGAGCACGAAAATGGGTGTGACTTTGCCGCTTTGTATCGTAGAATATTCGGTGTACCGTATTACTGTGTATGCAAGATTTTTTTATAATTATTATGTAATTCAATTTTAGATTTGTAATGATTATTTCATAATTTAAAATTTTTACGGCTCAGGTTTCCTAAAAGAAATAACTCTCCAATAGAAATATGACAAGACACCGTTTTTTCGCATTTTTTATATTGTTGGTGTATAAAGCTCGGTGCGTCCATATTATTATTACAAAATAAAATACATTTGAATATAATTATTTATAATTAAAAATGTTTTATTGGATTTTAATCACATGTTATAATTACATTTTTTTTTTTTTGCTAAAATATAGCACTCATACAATTGTCATGAAATAGGTAAAAATTTAAATTTTTTTACCCTAAATACTTATTTTCAACCTTCAATAAGTATTTAAGTAGGTTGTCAGCATTTTTAAATTCAAAATACTCACCATAAGCCTTTATAGCGGTATTTTTAGTGCACGATAAAGTCAAGGTGCACGCGACGGCTTTTGAAATATCGCGCCATAATTTTACTGAGCGACACTCGTATGTTGTGCTCTATTCATTTTAATGTACTTTAACAAAACGTGCAGTAAAATTACGGTGCGGTAAAATAACGCTAGTGTGTTGCCAGCCTAATAGTTTGTTTTCAATCTGACAACGTTGTCCACAATATTTTTTTTTTTACCGTGCTCAATCGGGTATCACTGCGCTTTCTTCCCTCTTATAAGGTAATCAAACCCATTGCATCGTTAATAACTTCAAGAAATTAAAAATTATTCTTTAAACTAACTTTTTTGAAATATTATAAATTTATAAATTAAAATCATATTATTTCTAGAGCTCTTTGTAAAAATCATCTACAAAATGCTTAACCTAAATTTAATTACTTTTAATAGTAACCATTTCTATAACACCCGTTCATCGGTTATGACTCGTCGAGCTACGATAACGAATTTATATAAAGAAGAAGAAAATTGGATATTTAAAATACTAGTTTCGGCCCCAATTTTTTATTTGGTTTCTAGTAATGATTATTATTAAACCAATGAATCGTAGTTTAATAAACCCCATAAGATATTAAAATGAATAACTTTATATATATATATATAAATGTATACTGTTATATAAAATTGTAATGTATTTTTTACGATCGCGCTAAACGAGAAAACTACTGAACTACTGAACTACTATTTGCCTGAAATTTTTTACTGTTATACCCGATACTCTGCTGAAGATTTTAGTACCACTTTTGACAGTAAAAAATAAGTATAAAGTTCTTGAAAAATTAAAAAATAGTATACCTATATTAAGGTAGGTACACACGTAGAGGAAATCCTCAAGTCCAAATCCTCATGGTCCGGCCTCAAGGAAAGGCATCGCCACCACACGCTAACCACACGCCCAAGAATTATTCGAGAATTTTTGTCATTTCTAATGTAACTACTACCTATGTGTGCACTTAATTTGTTTTAATTTAATCTTAATTTACACGTACTGTATTTTTTCGTGGTCACATTACTAAGTACTCTCGTTTAAATAATATAATATATCTGTATGTTATAACGTATATCGTAAATAAAAATGGAGAAGTTAGATGACGATATTATGGTGATATGATATTATTATGATACTATTATATTATCATATTATGATATTATAATTTATATTATTTCTTGTTCCTGTCGTGGTAATTTTATTATTTGATGTGCCAAAGACAAGGCTCGCTTTCATACAATTTAATGAATTCGTCAATAAATTCATGGTTCGTTTTATGTGGCTAGGTACACACGAAAAGGAAATGATAAACTTTAAATATTTATAAACGTTTGTTTGCCGGTTAAAACAAAATGAAAATAATAATCATAACGCATGAACCCTCATGGTAGACCTCACAGTTCCTCTACACGTGCAAATTTGAACTGTACAGTCTGGCCTAGTTTTTCTCTATTGAAATTCGAAGAGGATTTTCGGACTACGCAGGTTGACATAGGCCTTAAGGTCAATCCTACACACGTTAAGGAAATTTTCAAGGACTGGACTGGGCAGTCCAAACCTTGAAGATTTCTTATACGTGTGTACCTACCTTTATATATATAAAATACAAAATAAATTATGTTGTTACTATACTATTTATATTTTTCAACACATTTAAATACCATTAGTTGCATCGATTATAATAACAACAACATTATAAATAGTAATGTTATTTAGTTTATTATTTATTATTGAACACTGAACCAAAGACATTAATTATAAAATAATGTAAAATAAAATAACAGTATACTACTGAAACTGAACGCTGAACATAAAAAATTATTATGACACTGAACGACTGAATGGCTGAACAGTCGAGTGTGATTCTTCTTTGCTACGTACACCGTTTCACAATTGTAAAGGTTACGCACTGGCATCAGCACACTACGTCCATTACGAGAATAGTTTGTGCTTAGTTTGATAAAATATATTTTTTTATTCTACTTATGGAGGTTTATTGGGCATGCTAATAGAGTTAAATTTCGGGTAAGTGGCCAATTCATCATCATGCCAAGAGTGCCAATGCTACTCGAATGTATAACAGAAGACAACAAGATAACAAACCAGAAGTGTAATAATAAACTTATGGGTGGCATTACATTTATTTTCGCTGGTGATTTCTGTTAAATCTTACTAGTGATCCCTATAGGTACTCGTTAGCCTATAGGTATTTCGTTAATGCTTGCTTGAAATATTCCTCTATATGGAACAATGTTGAAAAACTTTATTTGCGAACAAACATGAGAGTTTATTTATGCGGAGGGGAAGATAATTTTCCAGCACAGTTGTTGAAAATTGGAAATGGAATTTTAGAAAATGAAAATGGATACATTTTTGCCAATCATACGATTGGACGGGTGGTAATTAATGTGGAAGAGTTGATTTCTGCAGTTTATCCTGACATTTTTAATCTGTCCAATAAATCTTATCTGTGGTTATGTGAAAGAGATATTATCTCTCCGATAAATTTAACAGCAGAAGAAATCAATGATATCATCCTTCTAAAATTCTATGGACACACACGTGAATATATATCTATTGATACAGTAACATCAATAGATGATGCTATTCATTATCCACAAGAATTTCTCTATTCTCTTTCTCTTTCGGGATTTCCTCCTCGTAAACTATAATTAAAAATTGGTGCTTCAATTACATTATTATGTTATCTTCAATCAGTGAACTTATGTAAGGGTACAATATTACAAATAAAATCGTTGAGAAATAATAGAAGCCGTCATTCTTACATGACCAGAAAAAAGAGAAATTGCAATTATTCCAAGAATTCCCAAGATTCCATCTAACTTGCCATTTTCTTTCAAACGGCTTCAATTCCCTGTTAAAGTTTCTTTTGCAATTACGAAAAGTTCAAGGTCAAACATTCAGGTACGTTGGCATAGATCTTCGAACAGAGTGCTTTTCACATGGACAATTTTATACGTGGGATTTTCTCGAACTGGAGAACCGAATCATCTTATGATTTTAATTTCAACAGGAGATAAAACAAAAAAGTCATGTACTCAGAAGTTTTATAAAATTCATTATCAATCATAAATTACTTATCATTTATTTTGTATCTGTATCAATTTTTAATAAAATATATATTTCATTATTCCCGCTAGAAACATTTCAATACGTTTTCATTAACCGTTTTTTATATTAACTTTCCGAAATTATTAAACAATAGAATTTGAATAAAAAATTCTATATATCATCGTACGAAAGCAAATTAAACAACCAATCACGGGTGAAGCCGTGACAAGTCAGCTAGTATATATAAATATCTCATTTTAACCTATACGTAGATGTCTATAATAAAATATAAAAAATAAAATCAATTTTATTGTTTGTCCACCAAGCAACCACTTGCATTATTAGGGGTCTCTGATTAATTAGAGGCCCCAAAGTTTGACCCAGTGCTTATTCTAAAGCGCAGTTGGGCTTAGTGTGTGTATTCGGAAAAGCTAGATGCGCAATTGATAATAAACTTTACGTAATTGATTTGTAATCGAATGTTGTTTAGTGTTATTTTATACATTATATTATGATTTATGTGCGAAGTAAAAAGGATATTTATTAAAAAAAATACTTTGAACACGAATGTAAATTGTTTTATATCCTTTAAATAAGTTACATTTTAAATTACTTCACATAAAAGCTACAAATTTTATCATTTTTAACTATAATTTGACAGTATATTTTGAGACCATGGTTCTATTTTGATATGCTTATTCAAACAAAATGCGTATTTGATAAAAACCCTTGGAATAATTCCTGGTTTGACCGTATCACATAGATCTTAATGACTCAGCTGGGAAATATGACACACCAAATTTAGTTCTCAAAATCAAAGATTTTGATACAAGCTAGTTTTTATGACTTCTGCAACGTGTTTTAAGTAATCATAATTTTGTAGATTTGCTGACTATTAAACTTAACTGAAAAATAAAATCTAAAAATAATAGTTATTACTTTAAAATAATATTTCTAAGATTTTAACTAAGGCATGATATTTTTACATTTTTTATGGTAGTTTATTCTTAAATTTATTATGGATTGTTAGATCAATAAGTAGGGAGGTAATTATCAATATATTATGTTTTAGATGTTGATATACATTTCAATTTAAAAACAAAATATTATTCGCTTATAATAGTATAATTTGCTTGTTAATACGAGTATAACAAATGTACTCGTACAATACCATACATTTATAAGATTAATTTTTGTTATTAGTATAACCTAACTCGAATAATATTGAATTTATGTTTTTTTTTTAATCAATCTATTACTTTTATTGAATTAAATTAATTAAAGACCATTAATACATCATTGTTTACTTATCTTTTTAGTGCGGCCAAAATTGTGTGATAAATTTGATGACTACAATAATAGAACAAGAATTTATGGCAAGTGGTTTCCATTTCATGAATAAACATGATTTTAGTTTAGCATTTAACTTAATTTTATTTTCTAATAATATAAGGTTGTTTAATTATCTAGGAAATTATTTCATTTATTATGCACCTACTCACATATATGTGGTGTAGACATTAAACTAAATGACACAAATGTAATTTTAGACGATAAAAATACTGTCAACAAACCAACAATCTATAATTGTATAATTTTTGTTGAAGGTTTTCCCGAAATGACAGAAATTCAGTTTCAAAGAACTAAATATGGTGCTTATATTTATTGTTAATTATCGAAATAAATATCTAATTTGACAGTTACAATCTAAGTCCCAAATAATAATAAATTCAAACAAATATATTTCATTAACTGAATATGATAATATATCCCATATTTAATCAAATCTATGTATAATTTGATAGTTGGATTTATTAAATTTTTGCTTTTTAGAACATTCAACACCTGGGGAGAGTACACATGATTTCTTACAAAGATTAAATATCAATGGTAATAAAATTAATCTAACATATTAAATAACTTTTACTTTAAAATTTAAAAAATGTATTATTTCGCAGATAAAATAAAGCCATACATAAAAGAAATACACTTAAATTTCACACTTCGTAAGTGATTATAATTTATTTATTCTTATCACAAAAGTTTAAATTTAAGAGAGAAAAAAATATATAATAATATTTAGATTAACTACAGTTTATATCTCAATTAATACACATAAATTCAATCGAAATAAAAAAATAGTTGTATATACTTTAGTTTGCTTTTCGTTATGAAGAAAAATATCATGTCCTATTATATAAAAAAAAAAAACTAGAATCAAGTATCAGTCAATTTTTTTCATTCTTGGTGTTTGAGTTCAAATAAAAACATAATGAAAACATATAATATTAAAATATATATAAATGTATATATAAATATTATACATATTAAAAATATTCTTTAATTTGAGCCTAAATCAATATATTTAACTATTAAAGAAGCTATTTGAACTATTAGGTGCATTCTAATTTATTTTTTTTATAGTTTCTCCAAGATATTTTGAAAATTATCCCGCATACTTAGACAGAGTTCGACAATGTAAGTTTATTAAATCTTGATTTTTAGTTATCCACAACAATAATCAAAACGATTTAACTTTTAATTATAATGAAGACATATAAAATGTTAGGATACTTAATTTGAAATTATTCAAATTATCATAAATCACATTTGTAGTAAAAGGATAATAAGTTTGAAATATTCAAAAATAATTTTAAAATTATATTTATATAGTAATTTTTTGATAATTTCTCTTTGGTCTCTTTATCTTTAAATAAAACCCATGTCACATATATGTGACACTTGGTATATGATTTTTAATAGTTCATTGTGGGCTTGGGTTTCTTCAAACAAATACCACAGCGTAAAGGTTTGATTAAGCGCTACCTACGTTATCTATCGGTGTATGTGTTTTTTTTATCACCACTAGATAGCAAGATAATCAAAATTAATTTTACATGATTTTCCAATAATATTTTTTGGTCCAAATTATTTATTATATTATCATTTTCACTTGGTATCACTGTTCCAAACACTTGCAAATTATTATCATGGTGATACTAACGTTTTTAAAATAACTTGATTTCGTTTGCAATTCAAAAAATATCAATATATGGATACTGAACAAATAAATGAAATATTAAATTATAATTTCGATTCATACTCTGATGAAGAAGATTACAGTAGTTCTGAAGCGTATCTGCCACCTGGTAATCAATCTGAAAGTGAACATTCTGACACTATTTCTGTTGAAAATGATATTGATTTAGAAAATTCTAAATGGAATTTTGATATAAATATGACCTATTTAAAAATATTGTTACGTGGATAAATCTAAGAGCAAACAGTGCGATTAATAAAGGACATAGCCGATATTCAAATGTAAATAGATGGTTAAATAGATGGTAGATTGATATTGATGTTGACGAACTAAAAAAATTTCTTGGTCTCAGTATTGTAATGTGATACTTGAAATTTCCGTCTTTAGATACATACTGGTCTAAGTCTAAAGAAGATTCTCTCCCAATTTTTGGAAAAACAATGAGTCGTCATCGTTACGAACTCATTTTAAGATTTTTATGCTTTTATGATCCTAGATCAGCGGAAATATCTGACCACCTACTTAAATAGACAATGTACCTAACAAAACATGTTATAAATAATATCCAAACGAAATATTGTCTGAAACAAAATTTGTCTTTGAATGAATCTATGATGTTATGGAGAGGAAGGCTGAGCTTTCGACAATACATACCCAGTAAAGCCCATAAATATGGCATAACATCGTATGAATTTTATACAATATATATACTTACAGTATACATGGATAGTTTTTATAATAGTTTTAGATTAGTTCAGCATTTATGTGATAATAAAATCACAGTCGTAGGAACGTTGCGAAAAAATAGAAAAGATAACCCTAAAGAAGTTTTTAACTCTAAATTGAAAAAAGGTGAAGTGAGTCACGCCCAAAAGGGAAATATACACGTAAAAAAATGGAGAGGTACAAGAGATGTAAGCATGATATCATCCAAACATAAACTTGATTTTGAAAATGTAGTTGATCAATTTAGGCAAAGCAAATTGAAACCGAATATGGTAGTTGACTACAATACTAAAATGTTCGGAATTGATAGAGCAGACCAAATTATCAGGTACTATCCAATACCAAGGAGAAGTATGCGCTGGTATGTTAAAGTTTTTTTCACGTAATGGATATTTGTTTATGGAACGGGAACCATTTATATAACAGTAATGTTAAAAATATGCTCCACTTGGAGTTTAAAAAAAAGGTTTGCAGCCAATTAATTGAAAATACTACTGCACACACCCTAAGTCCTTCAACTCGTATTATAAAAATACATGTGGTTAAAAAAGTTGATATCAGAAAAAGATGTAGAGTTTTCCATACAAAGAAGATCCGGAAAAATACTCAATTCATATGTGATACATGTATTGATAATAAAGGGAAAACAATAGGGCTGTGTCCTGATCCTTGTTTTAAAATTTTCAATTTATAAATTTATTTATTCTTTTTATTTTTTTATTTTATTCTTTTTATTATTTGTTAATCTGAGTTGTTAGTTTTTTTAAAAATATTCGATTTTTACATCGAATAAAGTTTTTTTTTTGCGTTATTATTTTGTACTGACTTTTTATATAGGCTACGGATTGATTTTCAATTTTTATAATATGTTGGTTTTATAATTTTTTTTTTTTCTGAATTTTATAACGATTTGTTTATTTATGTTAATTCTGATGTATCTTTTTTATATTATAAGGATTACATTTTTTAATTTTTATAACATGTTGATTTATTTTGTTTTTATTATTCCAATTAATATAAAAAAATAATTGTTCATGTAAACCCATATCACAAATATGTGACATGCTTTAAAAAACAAGAAGAAATGGTAAAAAAAAGGTACAAGATCAAAACTATAAAAGTATAAGTACATAGGAACTAGAAATGAATCATATTGGGTTTGGGTTTGTCCCAAGATTTTCAAAAAGGTCTTGGGTGGTAAATGTGTTAAATACTATACGTATTATAATATACTTAATAGTTTAAGTTAAATCATAAAACTTTTTTGGATATACATTTGATAAAATATTTATTATTCTACATTAGGCTGATGATAGAATTAAATTACCATTTTTTTTTTTTATTGAGTATTATAATTTTTAGATGAAGAGCTAATGGATTTTTCAGAGTTTAAATGTTTCATGGAATGTAAGTTATTTTAATTTTGATTATTTTGACGAAAATAAAAAATTAAAAAAATACTTAAAAACCTTCATGAATTTTAATTATTTAAATAAAGTATACTAAAATAGTCTAAGAAAGAAGTACTAGAAACTCAACAACTTATTATACTCAAAAACTCTTTTAGATTTTTGTATATTATTTCACTAAGTTTATCTAAAATTTGAAATACCTTTTGTTAAGAATTTACAATAGAAATATAAATTTTTTTTTTTAGATTTACCAAAACTAGGAGAGGACCTGTTCACTTTCAATAATAGAAATAAACCATCAAGTAATAAGAGTTACTAAAATAGATTTTGAATAATTTTGATAGTGTAAAAAAAATAAATAAAAGAACTAACGGAGAACTGAGAATTAAGTCGAAACATAAAATGTAGTAAAAATAGTTAAATGGACTTAATTTAAAAAAAAAAAAAAATAAATTTTGATAAGGTGTACTGGTATTTTAAATAATTCATCTTATTAGTAGCGCCCCGACATATTTTCAAGTGCAGCAAGATAATATTATACCCACCCACCCATTGTAAAACTCAAGACTTATAAAGTTTTTTATTTTTTCTTTTTCTTTTATATATATCAGTATTATAAGGATTATACAAATAATATCATAGAGTACCAAGCAATATAATTTGTGATTTGTCAAAATAAGCTATTTCAAAGAATCCCCTGTTAAATACACATTTTAAAAATAATTAAGAACTTCAAAATTAAAATATTTAAATAATCATGTAAAATACAGATAATATTATAATCCTCAAAGTTTATTATTTTAACTTACATGTTATAGTGCCCACTCACTCTTTATTTTCTGGATGTAGTGACTGTTACACCTATCAATAGGGTTGGGCGCCACTATATTTCTTAAACATACTCGTAATATGTTAAAATCACCAAATATGAATTATATTTTATTTGGTTGAATTAATGGTAAATAAATAATCGTTTTTCAATTAAGTTATGTATAGTCAACTTAACTCAAATCTAAATTTATTGAGGTCAAATTATAAATACTACAATCATCAATGATTTATTACGATAATTGAAAATACATTTATTATATTTAAAATGTATTTGATGACCGCATTGTTGTGATAAATCAGTATGTTTATTTCATATATAATTATTAAGTCATTGTGGTTTATCTGGGATTTTTCAAGATAATTTAGTTTACGAGTTTTTCGTTTGATTATTTTTAACATTTATCATAAAATACTATTTATAAAAATTTTTAAAATCATTATTTGCTTTGTTGAATTCAATAAATTGTTAATTTTATTTGATGAATTAGCGTAAATTTTTTGTATGTTGTCGAAAACAATATTATTTTGTATGAAGATCACAACAACTCTCACAACTAATCAAAATTATCTATAACTCGTTTAAATTATTTCAAGACCTGTACATTTATATAACACAAGTATTTAAAGTGTTTTACGTTTATAGTTTAACCAAAATCGTGAGTGTATTCATGAATCTATATCAACTCAAACAATGAAAAAATTATTTTGAATCTGGACCCTCACTAGGGTTATATTGTTTAAAAACAACATAATGAGGACAATAAAAAACATTCAGTTGAAAAAAAAAATAAGTGAAAAAAAAAAGTGGTTAAAAATGTGTCTTATTATTTTAAAACAAGTATGTTTTGCAAAGAAACATCACTAAAATACTTCCTTGACGTAAAATTGTTTTGAAAAAATACTTAACATTTATGTTGTTATTTAGATTTTAATGAACTGAATTCAAAATCATTCGTGGCCTTGAAATTATGTAAGTTATTTGTCATAAAATTGTATCCAGTTTTTCTTGAAAAATATTTAATAAAAAATAATTATATTTTTCATGTGTTGTTATATCATCACTTGAGATACTCGTATGAGAATATTCAAACAACATTAAATGTTGTATAATAATTTTTTTTTTTACTAATTCAAAGAAAATTTTTTTCATTCAAATTAAATAATTGAGCATTAAAAATCATACATTATTATTTATTATTGATTATAAAATGGACAATTGTTCATATTGTTCAAAGCTTCTTAATATTATAATACATATTTTTAGTTTATATTATGTACTACAGTATCAATTTATAAAATATTCGAATTCCACATGAAATTATATAGCATAGAATTAAAATTTCCTCCATTGGGTTATGAAAAAATTATGAATTTTTTCTATTTATTTAATTTAATTTGAAGGGTAGATATTTTGATATTTTAGAAATGATTTTATAGAAATGAAATTGATGATATTGATGGCTGAAAATTACTCAATGAATAACAATTAATTTTTAATATATTATTATATTATTTAGAATAATAATGAATTCATAATAATATAATGTACCTATTTATAAAATGTATATATACACACATACGCAGGGCAATCAGAATTTCATGTGACAACAGTTTAATCATAGAAACATGCAAATTACAGAAATAATTATAAAAGTGAAGTCTTATGAAATAGTATAAACTAATAGTATAACTTTTTTTTTTTTTTATTAAGAAAAGAATAGGTATCTACAATCTATACAATTTTTTGTACAATAATTAGATTTCATAAAAAAAAAGAAGATAATATAAAACTGACGGTAAATATTATGGGAAATTATCTATTGATAAAACCCAGCACGTGCGTTGGTTATTGACTAATGATTGTTATTTTAAAAGGTCTCTACACCATTTTCTTTTTAGTCTTTGTCGAAGGTTATCGGATAGTGTTTTATATGATAATTTTTTTTATTAGTGGGTTAGTGTATAATTGGAGTTTACTATGAAATCTGGTGTAGTATGTTTTAGAGATTTGATTTAAGGTTTGTATTTTTAAATCTTTGTGGAGGTTAGAGTTTGTTATGTACCAAGAAGCAGAAAAAACATGAGACAAATGGATTGGAAGGCTTGTATTGATCTGGTGTTTGAGGGTTGAGCGGCTGCCTATAATTGGATACCGTAGGTCCATAGCGGCCTGAGAAGAGACTTGTATATTAGTAATTTGATGTTAATGTTCATTTTTGATCTCAATAATGGTCTTAAAAGGTGTAGGCGGTAATTAAGGACTTTTCGTTTATCAACTATGTGTGGATTCCAGGTTTGTTTATTGTCGAAGGTAAGACCAAGGTATTTTACTTGTATGCAAGTGAGTATTGGAATGTTATTCATTGTGACTTGAGGACATGTTTCTTTTTTTAAGGTAAATTTTATGAAGGAGGAATGAATTCGTTGATTTTGATTTTCTACCTCTTAGTCCAATGGTGTATAATAATGAAGTATCTTTGTATCATATTTGATGCTATAATGGAATTTTAATTGGATGCTATAATTGTCATGTCATCTGTGTAGGAACCAAGTTCAGTATAGGAGGTTTTAAGAATGTCGTGAGTAAATATATTATATAAAAAGGAAACAATATTGCTACTTTGGGGAACTCCTGCAAGAATGTCAAAGTAGTTTGAGTTACTTGAGTTCTCGCGTACGATGAAAGTACGGTCACTAAGGTACGATTTTATAAGTAAGTAATAAGGCGAAGGCAGAAATTTTTTTAGTTTAAACAGTAAACCTTCATAACCAAAGGAATGAACCTTTTTAGTAAAATATTTTTGGATATATTTGATAGAGTTGGTAATAAGCTTATGGGACGATATGAGGTAATTTTCCTGAAGACTTGTTGGTTTTGGAATTAGTATTATTTCGGAAAATTTCCAAGTTAGGAGGTAATAGGATAATCGCAACATTGCGTTGTAGGTATAAAAAAGTAGTATAATTATTTTGTTTGATAGGTTTTTGGTGGTGAGATTTTTGATTTGTGAGTCGTAATTTAGAGCTTTTTTGTTGTGAAGTTTTTTAATAATAAACTCGATTTTACCAGGACTAGTGTGTTTAACTGGTAGTGATAAGGATAATGCAGAGTCCAATGATTGTGTGACTATTTGGATTTGAGTCTAATTTAAAATTATGTCGTGATGAGTGAAGGTTTTGGATGGATGTTGGCCGAATAGGTTTACTTTTTCGGTATCAGAAACAACCCATGTGTTATCTTCTTTCCAAAGAGAAGAGGAAGTTGAGACAGTTTTCAAAAATTTTTTTGTTGCTTTCCAGAGAGAAGAGTGTTGACTTGTTAATTTTTGTAAGTATTATTGATAGGTGCTGGAGCTGTATTGTAAGAGTGCTTTTCTTAGTTTGTTGTTTAGTTGGTTGTAGGTTTGTTTATCAATGTTTATCGATTTGTGTCATTGCCAGCGGGACCTTTTTTTTCGTTTTTCTTAGAGAAGAAAGTTGATGTGATTTGGAAGTGGGTATTTTTTGGTGAAGGTTGGACTAGGAAATGTTGCGTTCTTGAATGTTTATCGTGAGCTTTTGAATTGTATTATGAATATCATTGCTTGACTTTAAAGACGGGTTGAGTTTTGTGCAAATTTCAAGGAGCTTTTGAAAAGCAGGCCAGTCTATTTTTCCGGGAGTTTGGAGATTTATGAGAGAATTCGCAGAGGGTATCTCAAGCTCAAGTATAACAGGTGAGTGATGAAATGATAGGTCATTAGAGTTGGTGATAGTAGTAATACCGTTGTTTGGTTTTGATAAAGTTATCAAAGATTTCTGGACGTCTGTTCTAATGAGAGGGCCAATAGGTAGGATGAGGGGGTGATAGTATTTTTATATTGAAGTTTGTTATTGAGTTGTGGAGGGTTCTGCCTCTTGTGTTAGTTAAAAAGCAACCCCAAGAGAAGTGTTTAGCGTTTAGGTCACCGGCAACGATAAAATATTATCATATATATCAAAATATAAATTACAAAGGGATTCGAAGAAATTGATAAAATTATTTGAGCTAATTTTAGATCTTTGTAGGCAATAGGTGGAAGAGAGTGTCAGATTAATATGTTTATTTACAGGTACAAGGATGCTTATTGCTTGGAGGTATGTTTCACTGATTGAAGGAAGAGAGGAGTGGATTAAGTCATTCTTAACGAGTATCAAGGAACCAGCGTGCGCCGAGGTGTCAGGGTGATTACTTTAATAAACTTTGTAGCCGAGTATTTTAATAGTAATTATTTTAATAATAATAATAGATTTTGACGGAGTAAGATGGGATTCGGATATCATGGAAAAGTTTATATTAATATTACTAAGGATTGTCTGCAGTTCTAATTTGTGCGGTGTAATGCCGTTTGCGTTCCATGTGAGGTGAGTACTTTGAGTTTAAAACTAGTTTCCAATGTTGGAGTTTAAATTTGTTTATTAATGAGGTAAGAAGGGTTGTTAGAGGATTGAGAAGTGTTATCAGAGGATAAATAAGTGTTTTAAATTCGGAAATGAACGTTGTTAGTTGATTTGTTAATTTTTGATTTGAAATAAGGTTATTAGTATTTTTTAAATCTGATTTTTTTGATTTCTTATCTATTACTGCTTGTAAGTATAATGAGTGCTGCGTGTTAATGGATTCATTTTGAGTAGTTGTGGGTACATTGTTGTGAAATTGAGTTTCTTCTTGAAGAGGATGGCTGTTATATTGGATTTGAGATGTGACTGAGTTTTGGACTATTTCTCTTGAAATGGTGTTTGGTTGATGTTTTTTTCGAAGACGCTGCAGATCCTTGTATACCATGCAGCCTATGTAGTTTGCCGGATGAGCATTACTGCATAGTACATATTTATCAGGGAGGTGTTTGGATTTGGAACATGATTCGAAGTTGTGGTTTTCACCACATCGAACGCGATTCGGTTGGTGGTTACAGTATGACTTGGTATGGCCATACTGACAACGGTTGACAACGGTGGCATTGTACTAGATCATGCTTGATATGAGGAGCTTCTACATTTATTTTGGTGAAACAAATAGTTTTTAAATTGAAAATATCTTGATTGTTTGATGTAGGATTTAGATCAACGAAAAAGAGCGGGAGGGACTCTTTAGTTTGCGATTTTAGTATGTAAGTAATACTTTTTACCAGGAATCCATTATTTTCTATTTCTTCTTTGATGTAGTCAGTTGGGATTGAGTGATGTAGGTTTTTGATAATGACTCTATAGGATTTTTCTTCACGTGTTTGGTATGTGTCGTATTCTAGGTTGTTTTCGTTAAACAGTTTTATAATAGTACGGTAGGAATTGGATGATTGGAGATTTATCTTAATACTTTTTGCTGTAGTTTTGCATATGAATCCTTCATTTTTAGTTATTTGTTTTAGGTTTTTACATAGTTCTACGTAGTTAATCGGAGATGTTAGGAAAATTGGTGATGGAGGAGGTAGTTACTTAGGTTCGATGTTTTTTTCAATATTTATTTTATCGATATTCATTTCGGTGTTCATATCATTATTATCTTCCGTGATAGGAGCAATTGGGGCATAGCAATTAGGAGTAATAAGTTGTTTTGATTCATTTTTTTTTTTTTTGTATGGGGTGATACGATATTATTAGGCGACCTAAGGTGTTTGTTTGAATCAACATTTTGCTAGTCGAGTTCATTATCTGAACCGTCATCTGAAAATAATATTTCCGTCACGTGTTTAATTAATGTCGTAATAACTAGCGGTGATAAACCTGTTTTGCTTTACTGCTTGTCTTACTTAGTGGCTTAGTGGTAGAACTAATGGCGTGGTAGAATGAACCCTAGCCACGGATTGCGACCGGTGACCAGCGAATTAGTGTAGACAAACGTTATGTAGACATAATTTTTTTTTTTTTTTTTTTATTAAATAACTTAATTACTCGGGAGATTTACATAAACTGAGACGTTGTTAGTGAAGTTAAATTAATAATAGGTAGAAAAATAATTAATCTTGGTAATAATCATTAAATATAATTGTCACGGTAAGCACGGAGCGATAACACACGAGTGCATCGAACGGTTGTCGCAGCGTGACTACTATTATTTTATTTAGGTTTCAATTTTTCACTATCGTTTTAGGAAGAGGAGAGATTAGTGATCAACTTAAAAAATAACGAGGACCCTTATTTTATTGTAAAAATTACATATTGTTATTTGTTTAATATATGAATTAACACATTTTAATAATTAAAAAATATATTATTAAGAAAAACTTTGTCAAATAGCTGATAAATAAATCACCTGATTTTGTGATGCTTCGCTTATTTCTTATTCGTTTTTAGTGACAGCATGTTAAATTGTTTGAGGATTCATAACCTAACTTAATCATGTTTTCAATTTACAATAATATATTTTTGGCCAATATTTGCAAGTTAAAGAATATGGAAACAAATATTGTCAGTTATATGATTATTATTTGGGTTAGGGGCTTCTAGCTCTATAAAATACACAAATATGCATGCATTTGTGAACAAAAAAATGACTAACTAGTAAATATGTGGTAAAAAGTGTTACCTACTTTAAATTACTTTATATTACCTGATAAATACCTCGGTTATGGTTGTAAATTTCTATAACTGTAGCAATATCTGTGGAAGATAATACCACTATTCATTCCATAACATATATATAAATATATCTTTATATGTCTATGTTCCACAACCAAAAATGTTATGATATAAGAAAATAAACAAAAACTGATACCCGTGATCAAATTGATATATTATTGAATTTATTATCAAATTATAATGATATACTAGTAATTTAATTTTTTAATTATTTATACATAACATTTTTTAAATAAATCAATGTATTATATTCAAAAAAATACGAGCCATGGGGGGGTGAATGCTCCCTTCGCTCACCCCTCAAATACGCCCTTGATCTTCGTACACTTCTTCCGATAATTCGACTGGTTTCGATCGTAACGACATAAAAGAATATACATTGTAATTATAATACATTGGTTATCGCTAAATAACTGGAAGTTTTTGACGACTTTGGCCCTTATTGTTTCAAATAGCCGATTTATTGTTTAAATAATCAGATTAATTTACAATGTTTTAACATATGGCCGATCCGTCCTTCGACATTTTGTTTCAACAACGTGATTGTATCAATTAACCGTGTTCCTAATAAGTAAAGCTCGGATGTTAATAACCCTTATTAGTAATAAGCAGCTTCTACTATATTTCAATACAATTATTTGATTTTTTTTTTTAGTTTTTCCACGAATTTATCATTATACATACAATGATTATTTATTAGATATAGGTATGTATTTTTCACAGTATTTAAAATATTTATTGAATCATATTTAAGAAGTATAATTATGAAAATTGTATGCCTGTTAATTTTTTCTTTAATAGCCATAAACCATTCAGACATGAATGTTATGGGTAAGTATAATATATTAAAAAATATGAACTCATTATTACATTTAATATATCATGTTTAAATAATTTAATAAGATACCTAATACCACTTATAACTAGACATGCCAAAGTATCAACAAAATAATTAAAATTAAAAATACTCGAGTATATTAAAACTACACTTCGTATGAATGATATAAACAATAAGGTTAGGATGAATTGTGAGAAATTGTATTTATTAAATATAAATTGAACGTGCAAATTGTGAAATACGAAATGTATTTCAAACAACTTACATTTAAAAAAAGCTAGACAAGATTTTCTTCAATTTTTTTTAAAATTTGAAGTTATAGTACATTTTATATATAGGCAGTAATATATATGTAGGACTGAGTGGCTTTAGTCATAGCCTTTTGTCTAGTTTCTCAACACTGACTTTGCGCTCTAATTAGCTTTACGTGATTGTATCCGTTTTACTTTTTTATCTGAAAAAAAACGCAACACGATTACATAAGATGACAACAAGTCAAATTAAGATTTACAATCCAAACTTGGAAAAAATTAGAACAAAATTATATATCCATACAAGAATATTTTAAAGTAATAATTACTTTAAAATATTGTTTTATCACGGTTTTGTGCTGAACAATTCTAATCCGTATATTTAAATTCGTAATTTTTATTTGTAACATAAATAATTGTATTAAATTACATCAAAATTATTAATTAATTAATTTAATAACTTAATTTTTATAACTAAGGCAACACTTACAATTCATGGTGTGCATCTTTAGTATTATTTAGATAGCAACGTATTGTGTTCATTTCATGTAAAAAGATAAAAGAGGCACGTACGTGTTACAGCAATAAATTCAGTAAAAATTAATTTTTAATTGTATAATACGACATTGAACATGTTTATGGGGCCCATTTTCTTCTTTTGAAAAGAATACTAGTACAAATGAAGACAAATAAAATTAAAAACATGTATGGATACTAATGTAGTTGTTATACATTAATAATTAAAACATTTACAAACTATTCTACAATTTAAATTTAAAATCAAATATAATAATATTTTTGAGTAGTTTTCTTAACCAGCGTTGAAACTTTCTTTTCATTTAATAATATTAAATTTCAATGGTAATGAAATAAATATTCATGGGTATATTTTTCCGACTATTTATAGTTTTGTGAATAGATATTAAAGATTACCGAGTTAAAATAATATACCTATCATAACTTATAGATTCATTAAAAGTAAATCCTGATGAATTCATGAAATATAAAAGCAGTAAGTACTATATATATATATAAGTACTATAACTATATATTCATAAACTGGAAGTAGTGTCACTGGACGCTCCCTTCCCCCACGTTGTCACGTCTAGTAATCTATTTTATCTAATTTACTTATTATTTTTTGATGTAAACAGATTTTAAATGTCTTTATAAAAATAAAAAAATAAAACTAATTTAAAAAAAAAAAAAAAAAACAATTTTTTTTCCAGTTCTCTTCAGTATTTTATGTAATATACATTATTATTTTATTTTAATAACTTTTATATCAAAAAACATTTTTAATTAAACTCATATTTTGTAACTTTTTATTTTAGTTTGTAGCGTAGTTCTAATATAACAGTATTATAAATATCAAGAAGCTTTTACCAAAAAAAAAAATTAATTAAATCCTCAAATAAAATAAAATTCACAAATGTTTATATATTTAGAAAAATATAAACTTGGCAACGTAGCATACAAAAACGTTCGCAATTTTTCGTTTTTCGAATTAAAAAAAATGGGATTTTGTCGTGAGTTTCATTAAATATATAGGGTATTTCTTAAACCATTTTAGAAACAATATGTATAGGAGTGCCATAAAAGTATCGAGAATAATACAAAAAAATATATATAAAAATATTTCAATGAACTTGTAGCTTTATTTTCCTAACTCGGTAACAATCACTTTAGTTCTACATTAAATTTCAACGTAATTTTGAACGTTGTCGTCTATGTTTAGAAAAGATCCTTTCTCGGGGAAAAATTCGCCATTTTGGACAAAGTGAAGTCTCTTTCTCCGGGAATTTAACAATGTAAAATCGCTGTAAAAATATGCGTTCCATGATTAAATTATATTATTATTATTTTGTATATTTATATATCTAAAAATCAAATTACATTTTTTTTTCTCAATTTTATGGCTTACGTGTGCAAAATAAAAGCTTTTCGATATTAAGAATTTTGATAGTTTTGAATTAAATTCGATTTGTATTACCACTTAATGCAGTCAAATGGACTTGATCCCAACGTGTCCACAGCGGAATCCACTGTAATTTAAAACTTTCAGAAAAAAAATATAGAAACTAGATTATAAATTATTTAATCAGATAATTTAAGTAATATATATTGTTTAAATGCAGAGTTCCCAAGACAGTTTGAACTATATTATGATGCTTATTACGACAGAATAATCAAAGAGGGTAAGATATTTTAATTATAATTAATAATAAAATTATAATTTTTGTGTTAAGTTTTGAAAAAATATTTAAAAATTTAAAGTGCTCAACGAGCATTTTTCATAATTGTTGTTCACATGATATTTACAAATATATATATGTATATATTTTAATCACATGCATAATATTTTTGAAATTATGTCTTACTATAATTTAAAATCTATTTAGGTATTACCGAAATATTCAACAAAGAAGATTTTCAATCATTTAAAGCTGGTATGTTATTTTTTGTGATTATGTATCTAAATTTATTTCATCTCACATGGTTGTTTCAATGTTATTATTATATAATATCTAGTATCTATATTGTAACTTGTTAGATGTCTATTCTCGAGGACAATTTGATGATTTTCGATTTTGAAATATGTCAAAAGACTTAAAAACTTTAAAATAATAATGATTAATATTAATATAATACAGTGGAACTTCGATAACTCGAATCGGTAAAAAAAAATTCGCGTTACCAAAAATATTTTTTTAATTAAAATACAAAGACTTCATTTTATATAATTTTATTTATTTATATATTTACTAATAAATGTATAATGTATGTAGGTCTGTTTATTGTATTAAAATTTTAAAAAAGTATAAAGTAATAAATATGTATAGATATGTATAAATTGTATGTAAGAAAGAAAATACAATGTAATGATTAAAGTAGAAATATTTTTTAAATAAATCTGATTTTTTTGATTGTTTTTTATTGTGCGACCAACCTGTAAAGTTTTCAATAACATTTAGCGCGGAAAAAATCTCTTCTCCAATTTCTTGTTATTCTTGAATGTACTTACGTACAACAATTGATTAAATATACATATATATATATATGTATATTTAATCAATGTTACAACATGTAAGCTATCTAAAGCCTGAAGAAGAGTAGTTTTAGGCAAAACAATATACATAATATCGTTGAATTTATATCTGTAACTTTTAAGCATTAAATAAATATTAGAATGATAATATTAATCGGTTTTCAATATATTTATAATAAAACACTTGGTTATTTATCTTTCGAATTATCAAGTTATGTACGTGTTATATATTATTATATAAATTTGAGTGATAAGCCAAAATTCAACTATAATTACTTCAATTTATCGAAAAATTCAAGATAGCGAAATTCGAATTATCAAGAAAATTTATCACGTTTATCATATATTGTAAAGCAGGGACCAAAACATTCCTTTGAGTTATCGAAAATTTGACTTATAGAGGTTCCACTGTAATATAATACGAGACAAATCGTATATATATAATATCATTATTATTGTTCTTATTATTCTTAATACAATTATTGTACTAATAATATCTAATGTTGCGAACTTAACTTTTATAACATGTGTCGTGAAAGTGTTTTTTGCGTTCGAAATATGAATTGTCTTATTTAGTGTTGAATCAGATTCTCACGGATCTATTAAGATGATATATAAATTGCAACTGAAAATAATTCTCAAAAATATTAAATAGAAGTATATTGGATTCTTGTCAAGCAATTAAAGAATTTTCGTGAAGTTCATTGTGTGGAGTTAGTTTTAGGGATAGGAATGATTTTAAATTCCTTCCATGAATCAGGTATTTAATTGAGTAAAATTATTTTATTTAGAATATTCAAGAAAAAATAGATGGCATTGGTAGGAAGGTATTTGAGTTTCACGGAAGAAATATTGCCGGAAGCTGTTGATTTGCGTGAAGCGATCGCAGCGTTGAGCTCACCTAAGGTTATAGGCATGAAAATTACGTGAAGAGAGACCGAGTTTGAAACGGATGGAGTAATTTGATTCTATGCTTCGGATTTTGAAAGAACATAACATGGTGCTACTTTGTAGCTGAAATCATCAAACCAGATGTTGTTATTAGGGCAATATTGAGTTTGGATACAATTTCGAAAGCGCTTAGCAGTATTCCAGGTAGAATATATAGATAAAGAAGGATTAAGATTTATATAAACTTGTTTCCATACCAGTCTTTTAGACTCTTTTAGTAAAAGCGTGGTTGCAGCGCTGGTGTTTTGGTAGATAAGATAATCTTTAAAGGAGCCTGAACGGAAAACAGGAAACATGTTTCGATTGAACACAGCATTGGTGCCAGAAGAGTTTCACCATGGAAGAGAGGGAGGGAAATTGTATGATTATTGTGTTTGATAAAAACTGTTTTTTTAGAGATATCTAAAATAATTTGAATACACTGTGCATAATCATTGATTGGACATGCGTGGGTGGAAGTTGAAAGAAGGGATAGAGGAGTTAATAAGTTGGGAAAAAAAGACCAGTCAGCTTTGTTAAGATTAAATTTAAAGTTAGAAGAATGAACGCTGTGTAAGATGGGTCTTTTATTTGTTCGGATATTAGGATTTATAGAATAAACTGGTAATTGATAAATGATCGCTACCATTGGAATCGTCTAAAGCAGCGGTCGCCAACCGGTGGTCCGTGGACCACTGATGGTCCGCGAGACAATTTAAGTGGTCCGCAGAAAAATTTAAACGTTAGGTACTTACAGAATCTTTTTGTCGTTATTTCCCAAAAAAATAAGACCCTAGACATAGTATTATGTGGATAATAGATCCATTGCAGCAAGCAATGAAAATAACAAGTTAAATATGACCGAAAAAAAATACCGCATCGATTTATTTTACTGTATTTATGTAAAAAGCTATTTTAAGCTAAACGTGGTCCGTAGAATTTAAAGTATGTATTTAATTGTCCGTGAGGTCTATAAGGTTGGCGACCGCTGGTCTAAAGTACGCTAGGATAAAAGCCAGAATATATTTGGAGTTGATAAAGATAAATCTATGCAGGAATTGGTAGAGTTGGATCTACCTACGTATGTAACTGTGCCGTCATTAAGTATATTAAGATTGGCGGAGTTTATTGCATCTTAAATAAGATTGCCTCGTCTGGAGGACGTAATGGAACCCCAGACAAGGTGTTGGGCATTAAAATCACCTGTAAAGAAGAAGTTATGATCAGCGATTTGTAGGAGAAAGTACAATGCATCAAAGGGGATAATGGAATCATTTGGGCTGTAACAAGACAAGAATGATATGGTGGGTAGGCCGTCCGAGTTTGTTATTTTCAAACCTATTCAATCAATGTTAATCAATTTCCAATAGTAGTTGTTTTAGAGGAGGATTCATTTCGATTAAAGTTATATTAAGTGAAGTATGAACTGCTATTGTGACATCGCTATAACTATCGGCTCGGTCTTTTCTGAATAAATTAAATGGGGGAATAATGTAATTACAGGAAGGAAGTAGCCATGTCTCGGTGATGAGTATTATGAAACATTTATGAGAGGATATGAGGTGTTGGTCTGAAGTAAGTCTTGCAGAGAGACTACGAATATTCCATTGTAGATAATTGACCATTGGTTAAGAAAAAAAAAATAAGGAAAGTTTTCGTGGTTAAGTGAAATAACGTTATATTTTTTGGTTGAGATGCGCTTAAAAGCAAAAGCACCGACTGTATTGTTTAGTCCGTCCCAGAAATTTTCTTCGATTAGGGAATTATCGGCTCTAATAACTCTGTATGAATAAATCAGTGTAGATGGAATATATACTGTAAATCTAAAGTTTTGAAACAGAGGAAAGGTAAGAAATTTATTTGTAGCTGATTTAGTGTTAAAAGTGATTTTGATTTTTTTGTGATCAATTGGCTTGATGTCAACATTTTACGAAAACATTTTTGCGTATTTTTATGGTTGCCAGTGATCAATTTTAAATTGACATCTGAATATTCTCCAATAGTATCGAACGAGCCTGTTAACCTGTCCTATCAGAATTGTTATCCGCGGAGAAATATTTATTTAACTGTACGGAATTACGTGACGATTTTGTATCGTTAGAAGCGGGAGTTGTATTAATATATGAAATTGTGGAGGCATTATTTGTGTTTTCGATAACGGGAGCGGTTGTGTGATCAATTATAGTATGGAAAAGGGTATCTTATTATAGTATGGGAAAGTGGAATATATATTCATTTGTTCACCGGCCATCTCAATAGGAGACTGAGATAACGTACTATCGTAATCGAATGTTTGACCGGACCACAGATATGTATAATAAATAGATAACCGACTTCTTCTTATCAATGGCGCTGGCAGATATTTGCAACTTTGGCAATCATTATTACAAATAATAATATGATAACAATTAACAACAATACAAACAATAATTACCCAACTTACTGACTACTGACCCTTTTTCGGCGATTATTGTATATTTTGTATAATTAATAATTTAAGATGGTTACCTCATGTAGTGTACATTTGTGTATGAATAGACATTCAACAAATGGAGTTAGAAAAATAAACTTTTCTCATAAGCAGACTTGGATAAAATACCTTTTAAAAGTATTTAGAATTAATACTCGAATACTTACAAAAAATAGTACTCGTATTCTGAATATGCATTCAAATACTTTATAAAATTGTATTCCGAATACATTATTTAGAATACTTCAAAAGTATCCGAATACTTTTAAAATACTTCTAGTTTTCATATTATAAAAATAATAGATATCCACTCAACAGAAATATTTGGAATTGTAGACTAAATATATGTTATTTTCAATATCAATTCAATTGAACCATATTTTGAAATAGGCAGCTACAGTCACGTCCACTAATTCATATTTACTGATTCTTCGATTTAAACTTATATTTTTAGGCTTACAGTAAATCGTCCTGAAAATGTACAATGTAAAATGAGTTGAACTTAATTGGTTCATCCATCAATCATGGTTTAATAATGTATAACTGTATAAGTATACTTGTAATAAAATTAAGTTTATGAAAAAATAATTAATAAATAATATTTTGAGTATATTATAAAATATTTGTATCACGATGCATGATATCAAAACGATTAAAAAATGATAAGAATTTGTAAACATTACAAAAGTTGCAAATGGCCTCGGACATCATAAATTAATAATGTTGTTGTATATGGGAGTCGGCCGAATAGGGTATCTAGTTATTATACATATTTGTAGTCCGGACAAATGTAGAACTGCTTGATTACTATAAATATACTATAGCATGTGACAAATTGGAATTTATACCTTTTTACGTTGAGATGCTTTGTTGCTGGTCACTATGATCTAGTCCTGATCTGTGTTGTGTAATCTTGGGTTTTTTAATTTTCCCGGTTGATTTATTGGGGACAAACGGCCGGTTGTCATCATCGTACAAAGACGAAGTCGACATATGAGTTAAAGAATGTGCGATAATAAAACGTAGATAATGGAGCAACAAGTTAATTAATGGCTTTATTCGACAGTTGACTTATCGCAGCTGATATATATATATATATATATAAGTAAAAATAACACTTTGCATAAAATAATTTGATAAATAGTATCTCGTAAAATATCTTGTAGAAAATAACTATGTACACCGACTATAAAACTATCTACAAGAAATTGTTTAATTTCCCAATTTATCCATAACTCTATAGTGTTTTATATATGTATGTAATAATAATAGTGATTTAGTGAGTTAACAGTGAAAAAAATTATAATTTTGATCACATTTTTTAGCTAATTTTCCACTACCCCATGAAGATTATAACCAACATAGAGCAAACATGAAATCTATAGGTATAGAATTTTAAACCTTATATTATTATTCTACCACGTGAGAATGTAACTAAATTAAATAATTTATAAAGTGTATGGCTAATATTTTATAACTACATTGATCTACAAAATCTATTTTAACTCATAATTTAGTAATTTTTTTTTATATCATAGGATTTAATAGTCTTCCGAAAGATGTTTTTTATTTTTTCAAAGGACGTAAGATACAAAATTTATTTGATTTTTTGATTTTTTATTAATACTTATATACTCGTATGTACCATAAGAGTATATCTAACTACTAAATTTGTTTTTAGTCTATCCAAATCTGTTTGCAACAACTTACCTCTATCGATCAAGCGAGATAGGTATGTACTATTAAGTTGATTAGAAGTTCGTCAGAGTGTCGAAATACGAGTAATTTTATTTTATGAGTATATTTTGATTTGTAATTGCAACTAAAATAATATTGGGTATAACGAATTTTATTGTAGTTACTCAATTATTGAATCCTACCAATTTTGACGACCCAATATATAAGGAGAATATGACGAAGCCAATAGTAAAAGAAAGTAATACTACATTTATTTTATACCTTAAATTTATTTTCTCATGTACTCAATCATTATTGTACATCAGGCATGTCAAACACGCGGCCCGTGGGCCGCATGCGGACCGCGATTTATTTTTTTGAGGCCCCCGGCTAGTAATATTAATGGACAAAATAAAAAAAGAATAATAAAAAAAAAAAAATATAAAATATTAATCATGTGTTTCAACTAACATAGATTCTTTGAGAATGGTATATATTTTGGTATACATTATTATGTTTTATCTTCTGATAAACTTTAATCTAATCGAGAAATTAGTGTTATTGATGATTTCATATGTACAAATAATAAATATATATATAGATTATAGAATATAGATTAATAATTTATATTGTCGGTACGCGACACGCGTGCCTTTGGAAACTAGTCGTTCGACAACCAGCGTGTGTTCCAGTTTAAATTTTGTTGCGTATATTTTACTACAAATTAATAAATTTAAAAATGTCTGTATCAAAACCAAGTGGTAGTTATAAACGTAAAATTACCGATGAACATCGTCAATTTCATGAACATTGGGAATTACAATATTTTTGTAGTGAAATCAATAATAAAATAATTTGTTTAATTTGTAAAAGTGTTATTAGTAGAGAACGGATTTATATGTAAATACATATTTTTATTAAAACGAGATATTTAAGATTCGATAAGAAACGTTCATGATTTAAATCATTCCTATTAATATGATACTACTTTTATTTTACATATTTTTACATATTTTGGTATAATTACATATTTTTACATATTTGACTAATTTGTAAATATTTTTAAACATATTTTATCATTTCACGTCTTCTTCGTATGAAAATACAAGAAATTATTTCTAATTTAGATCTAGTAACTTCTATCGCTATAAGAAAAGCTTAAAATATTATGCAAAATGAAACATTGAAAACTAATTTAATTTTCATTTCAGTGAATTTTAGTTTTATTGCACATACATTTACAAAATTAGAAAAAAAAATATGTCCTTAAATGATAGCATGCAAATTGTCAAATCAACGATTGAAAAATGAAAACTCTTAAACGGACCAACAGGAGATTTTGTAAAAAAGAAAATTAATGCTGTTACAAAAAAAAATTCCAGGCGATATTGATTTTAAATTAATCAATGACATAATCAGTGATAGACACCATTCTAAAAATTTAGAATTATCGCCTTCTGATATTATATGCTTCAAATATGCTTTAATCAACCGATGTAGGTTGATGCGGAACGATCATTTAGCCGTTTTAAAAATATATTAAGATCTAATAGGCGATATATAATATTTAATAATTTAAAAGATATTGTAATAATTCAATGCAACAAATCATTTTGATAGTTTAATAATTATAATTTTTTTTTTTTCAATTCAATTTTTTTCTTACATATTTGGATGTTTTTAGCACATATTTTATAAATTATACTTACATACATATGTACATATTTCTGTATTTTTATTACATATAAATCCGTTCCCTAGTTATTAGTGTTCTAAAGTTGTACAATATCAAGCGACATTACGAACAATATAAGTCAAAATACGACCACTATGAAGGGTTATTAATCCACAAGAAAAACGGAAATAATTTAAATCAGAATATAAACACCATCAATTAGTGTTCACTAAAATAACACGAGAAAATGAAGCTGCAGTAAAGGTTAGTTATGTGTTGTCAGAGTTAATTGCCAAACATTCGAAACTATTCACCGAAGGTGATTTTATAAAAACGTGTTTGATTAAAACGGCTGAAATCATTTGTCCCGGGAATTTAAAAGCTTTTCAAAACATTTCATTAACACGAAATACGGTCGCTGAAAGAATAACTGAACTAGCATGCAATTTGAGTGATAAAATAAAAATAAAAATACCTGGTTTCAAGTATTTTTCAATTGCTTGTGATGAAAGTACCGATATTGGTGGCACAGCTCAGTTAGCTGTGTTCTTTCGAGCTTGCAATACGGAATTAAATATTTATGAAGAGTTATTGGAAATTAAACCTATGTATGATACTACTACAAGAGAGGATGTATTCGTTTCTGTTTGTGAACTCTTAAAAAAAATATGATTTACCTTTGGTAAAGTTATAGTCTGTGGCTACAGATGGAGCTCCTTCTACGACAGGAAAAAATAAAGGTTTCATTGAAAGGTTACGAAAAAAAGCTAATGAAAATTTTGAGCATACATTTCATAGGAAACATTGTATTATAACATCAAGAGATGTTATGCACAAAAGTTATTAATATGACACATATAATGAAACCGGTAAAACAAATGGTCAATTTTATAAGATCTCGTGGTTTAAACTAAAGACAATTTTCGATTTTTTTAAATGATTTAGAAAGCGAGTATTCAGGTTTAACATACTTTACAGAAGTACGTTGGTTACCATGCTCCACTGTATTAGAACGATTCTGGAAGTTAAAAGATGCAATACAAATATTTTTAGAGTCTAAAGAACAAGACGCTTTGTCGGATCCAATGTGGTTACAAGACCTATCTTTTATGGTCGATAAAACGAAGCACTTGTCAAATTTAAATTTAAAATTACAAGGAAAATATCAAATTATAACATCTATTAATGACCATATTAAGGCTTTCAAATGTAAATTAGATTTATGAGAAACAAAGTTACAGAATGAAAATTTAACGCATTTCCCAACATGTATGACGTATAAAACAAGTTATTATGAACCAATTTTTTACAAAAAATATTCAGAACAAATTATATATTTGAAGACTGAATTCGGAAATAGATTTCAAGATTTCAAATATTTAGAAAACGATTTTGAATTGTTCACGTCTCCTTTTTCAATAGACGCAGTAAAAGTTCCAGCACATATACAAATGGAACTGATTGAGATTCAAAATGATTCAAATCTAAAACGTAAATTCAATGAGGTTGATGTACCGGATTTTTACAATTTTTCGCCTGTAAGGTACGTAGAAACTCGCAGATTTGCGTGTAAAATTAAGTCTATGTTTAGTAGTACTTATTTATGTGAGCAACTATTCTCATTGTTGAATAGCAATAAATCACCCATTAGATCCAGATTAACTGACATACATTTAAATTCAGTTTTAAAAGTAGCTTCATCCAATAATATTTCTCCCAAAATTGAGAAGTTGGTGGAGGAAAATAGATGCCTAATATTGTCCAAAAAGAATTATTAATGTTTTCTTTTTTTAATTTAAATAATAGATATCTTATATATTATTAATATGACTTTTTTGAATGTTTATTTTTTTTTTAAAGTTTTTTATATGTATTTATACCTATTTATACCTGTTGTGTCCGTAAAGAATAAAATTGAAAAAATGTAAAAAATATACTTATTTTCGTTAAATGTTGATGTGCGGCCCACGTAGTAAACTAATTAATATATTTGGCCCACTTTATACTTTGAATTTGACATGCTTGTTGTACATGGATACAAAAAAAATTATCGGTATCATGTAAGTTCACGAGGTGGGTGTTGCCCTGTTTTATTTTAAAAGCAACCGAACAAAGACGTTTTGGTGAGAAAGACTGATCATGCTTTTTTTTTTTTTAAAGGAATCATACTTGTTACTCAAACTTATATTTTTTAGGACATTTTTCATTTAAAATCCTGCAGAAAAGAATTTTAAGAAATTATTTTTACCGATGGGTTAAATATAAATGCTAAATTTCATATTCTAATAAACTTCTCTAATAATTGTTACGGCTAGAATTTTTTTATGCTTTCGCCAAGTTAATATTTCTTATTTTTATATATTATTATTAAAAAGCTCTTTAAACTCAACCTTAATATACAGAATTAACAATTCAATTTATAATATATTATACATATGAAAAGCTATGGAGAAAAACGATAACGATAATAATAAATAATCCTAAACTATTTAAGTTATTTAGGTATTACAGTTTTAAAGTTTCAGAACTCAAAAACTAATAGATAAAATATGAAATAATAAAAAAAAATTATCGTGGTACTTCAATTAATTTTTGATAAATTTATTTTTTAAATCAAATTAAAAGATGATATAATTATCAGAGTTTTTAATTTATTTTGGCTATTATCGTTTTTCCCGTAGTACCTACATCATATATTAAACAATATATTTATTTTAATATAATATTGCATGCCGTCAATTCCATCGAGAAGATTGTCAAATAATAAATCAACTCTCATAAAATTAACAACTGTTATAATATTTATTTAAGTTCACGTATTTGTGTACAAGAAATAATTTAAAGTTAATTATTTATAAGTTAACTTACGAAGGTGCTTTCTTGGACAGGACTAAAACACATCTTAATATTGGTCTGTTCGGGACTCTCTTATGTACCCCGTTTCTCATAGTTGACCCGGACCTAGCGAATGCTAATCTACTCGTCCTATGTTATTTAAATTGGCATTTTAGATTGATGCTACTTGTATTTTGTGCGTCCAACCCTAGATTACCTATGTAACAGCTGACCTCATGAATTCCACATTTTGCATATCTCATACTGATGCTTTTCTATAATAGTTGTTTTAATATTATATTTTGGAATGTAGCCATAGTTTATATATAATATGTGGTTTGTGTTACCTTCTGATTTAAATTAATAATTCCTTTCTATTGTTGCGAATATTATATTATTTATAATCATTACCCGATTTCTATTATTTATGATTTATGTGGTTCATCCTATGTAGTAAGAGTCGTAAGGACCTACATATATGTATATCCGTAACAATAATATAAAATATCCATTTGTATGATTTATGAAATAAAAATAATGGTACTAACTTTCATTTTAGATTAACTATAAAAAATATATAAGAGTTTTATATACTAACAATTTCTTTTATCGTAATCATAAATCTAAAAACTTGTTTTTAAAGGAAAAATTACTTAAATTTAAATTGTGTTCATCGTACATGTTTTTTTAACAAAATTATTAATTTTGTTTTGAAAATGATATGCAAGTAACACCTATTTTACATACAAAATCAGAACATGCTAGCAGTCAAATCATTTTCTCTAATAGTCTTAAACATTTAAAAAATGAATGTTCATTGTTGATTATAGTTAAATTTTAATATATTAACTTTAAAAGGACTTATCTGACTTTTAAAAAAAATATATGTACTGAATTTATTATTGCAAGACAACAAGTTACAGTTACTATGTAAATAGTTGAGATTTTCAATTTCAATACGATTGTGTAGTAGTTTTTAAATGTTAACATTGCTTTATCTATTTTTCTCATTAAATATGACTTGTTTTAAAAGGATAAATAATCGAAATTAGTTTCTAAATAATTTTTATTGTTTACAGTTATAGAAAGGTTTGACTCTTATCAAGAAATGGAAAATAAATATGAAAATTTAAGTAAGCTTTTTACATCATAAAATATATCAATTTTCAGTTGCAAAGTATATACGACAGTATTCGTACATTGACAGGTGTACAGAAATGGGAACTTTCCTAATTAAATCAGAAATCCTTTTTTTTATTGTATTTTTTTTTTCTGAAACCTAGGTAAATCAACGTTTTAAAAATTATGATAAAAATAAAAAAAATTCGGAAATCATTAGTTTTGTAGTAATGTAACTATGAAGATTAAGAATTTTCAACGATATTGTATAGATACGATTAGAGATGTGGAATTTACCAGTAAAACATTTTAGTAAATTTACGTAATATTCAGTAAATTGGTAAATTTTGAAAAAAAAATGTATTTTAATTTTTAATCAATTTTTAAATACAACTTACGTACTAAATTTCTTACCTTCTTCAATATTTTTACGAAGTTATAAAATGTAGGATGAATGTTTTTTTTCCTTTTTACCTACCAACCTATTTAACATGTGCAAGTGTGACACACTACAGCACGGCCACTGAGAGAGAACTACTAGGTGGCGACCAAAACTCGTCCGTTATCGCACATTCCCACCACTAAACCTGTTAAAACGCTGGCCGCCCTTAACGTGCGCCGCCGCCACCGTCACCACTACAATCGTTGCGTATTAAGAAAGGGAATTTATGGTGGCGAAACCACGGAGCTCAATCATTTGTTTGCGCGAAGGAGTAGCGCTCTCTCAGTGGCCGTTTTATAACATAATCACACTGAACAAGTAACGACAGAACGAGAATGTAAAATATTATCAGTGTTTACTTTTAAATTAATGTATATATAGATTATAATATACAGTGATGTATTGGAGGGTATACGGGACTATAAAACGTATACCCAATACGCTATTTTTATGCATGGTGTAAGCTTATGAGAAATTGATGATACGCGGGTATGCGACCGTATATAGCGTATAGCTTGTAATTTGACAAATAACTACATAATTCCTTGACTAACCTAACGGTTATATTTATGACGTGATTCGGTATCGGATATATTATTATTTTTTTTAATAAAAAATTCAAATTTGTCATCATTTAAGAACAAGTTTCTGTTATCAAACAGTCATAATTAAAGATGTGTAGTTCATGAGCGAGTTTTTATTGGTTCCTACCCTATGATAGTTACTACATGAAATAAGGCGTATACCCATGATTTATTTTAGCAATACATCACTGATAATATACTAAAATACTGAATACAGTGTCTGCATTTTATTTTCGTATAGCACGCTGATTATCTAAATAAAACCACGGTTGTAAATATACCTATATCTATATATGAATATATTCTCTACAACAGTGAATAAAACGTATTCCGCTAGTAAAAACATTTAAAATAAGGGGTCACTCAATTTTTTTCAATGGTAAAAAAATACTTCGTAAAATTTACGTAAATTTACTTTTACCCATACATTTTATCGGGTAAATTTACTGAACTCACATCTATAGATACGATTAAACAGATAATATTCGTATACAGTTTTTGTACAACTATCGTACAATACAATACGTATTATACGATTTAATTCATAATCTAATTGTTATAACTAATAACCCAAAACAAAAAGTACCTGGTTCCAACCTTTTATCGTAACCAAAATTTTTTGCATTTTATTTTTGGAAAATCGAAACTTTAATTTTAAAAATATTAGGACTTCACTCGTTACACATGCTCAGTCCCCCTAAGACAACATATTGCAACTTTTTAAGTCGAAGTATGTCAACATAACAAAAGTTATTAAACATCTCTAGAAATCACTAAATGTTTCATCAATAATTTTTTGCAAGCAACAAACGTTTATCATTGTTTCGTGTTACGTTTGAAACCGAAACATGTTACCAAAATACAATATAAAAACAATGTAATCAATTGATAAACAAGTAACATGTAGCAACAAGTTTATCTGTGTGGACTCGGTTCAGTCACTTGTCGCGTGGTTTATCAACTGTTTATTTACCAGGACTTCAAACCGGTTAAAACCGTTTTTTTTTTTTTATTAACCGGTTTTATAGGAAAATGTGTATGAACGAAAACAAAAATAGAACCATAATTACTAATTTTATAGAACGTAAACGAAATAGTTAACCAAAAAAATATTTTTCGTTCTCGAATAGAAATAAATATATTTTTAATTATGAAAAATAATTAATATTTAATTTTAGTTTTTACACATTTTATTAAGTTGGTTAGCCAGTTTTGTTTGACAAAAATAGGTAAAAATTATTAAAAAAATATAAAATAATTCGCAAGATAAAAATTGATTTTTTGGTAAATGGGACAACTGGCCCCACACTACTGTAGACAATACGTGGACACTAATGGCAAACAGATACCACATTGTTTATTGTTACAATACTGCTTTTAATGGATGATGTTGTTATCTTAAATTGTATCAAATATTTGTAAATTTGTTCAACATTTTGAATTAATATAGTTTTTCTTTTTTGTCTTAGTCGATAATAAATATTGCAGTTATGTTGTTCATAATGTGTGTTAGTATATTCAATATTGGAAAAAAAATTTAAAAATGTGTATCATATTATTTATTGTATATTAATATACGGCCTCTAAAGTTGAAAAAAAATATAAATTATGAACTTATTTTAAGAATATCTCACGATAATTAAATTTTCTAATTAATTATTTCATAATTATGACAATGAATTGTCTGGGTTGTAAAATTGTTATAAAAAATATATATTTTTTTAAAATAATAAAATAACAAAATTAACCGGTTTTATTGCATTAAAAATCAGTTTTAAAAATCTATAAAATATAAGATCAATATTAATCAGTTTTTAAAACCGAATAGAATAGTAAATGAACTAAAACCATAAACCACAAAAAAAACATTATGGTTTGAAGCCCTGTTATTTACAACGCGTAGTAACGTGTTGAAAATAAACAGTAACAGAAATATTTTCCTTATTGTTTGTCGATATAACTGTCATTTTGTTGCCTAAATGTGTGCGCTATGTTTCCAATTTTGCAATTTGTTTTCACGTGTTACAGAATAACAGGAAATTTTAGGAAACTTACATGTCATTCTTTGTCGCTAGAGTATGGACCGGGTTTTATTAACAATCTTGTAAATTTTAACTGCATCAGATATTTTAAAACTATAACCATTATCTATGATCATTTTTGCCAGGTATCATCTTTTATAATCTTAATACATGATGAGAAAATTTTATAATCGAACCACAAAATCAAAGACAATCCACTTTTCGTATTATAAGATTATAAAAAATTATTGATTTAAAAAAAAATAATAATAATTTGAAATTAATATAGTATACGTATTTCACGTCTTACAAAATTATTTTGAGAACATCGGTGATTTGATAAAAACTTGAATTAATAACTTTAAAAAAAATGTTCTTGTGATTCTTTTGATGTGTAATAATAAACAATTTTTTCAGCACTTCATTTTATGACTAATAATCAATTCGAAGAATTCACGATGTGTAAGATATTTCAACTATTTTTATATATTCCTAGATAAAGTTAATCCTCGATTATTCATCATTCATTCGTGCATCATCTTTTGTTGTACGTCATTTCACACCGAAAAATAAATGTAATTTAAGCTATTGTCGCTCACGTTATGAAGAGCTTTAGTAGCTACCAACTCCTAACTAATATTAAAACTATTCCGATCACCCTTTTTTTTTAAAAAAAAAACAGTTCTCAATTTTTTTGAATTAAGAAAAAAAAATACAATTTATTTTAAATTTTACAAGCTTATAATAATACAAACTCAAATTTTCTCAATTTTAAGAAATTTATTTGATTTAGCACTTGACTTAAAACAACATTATTGCAATTATCTATTATTAAAAAATATTTGTTTTTAATAGAAATGTAGGTAAGAAAATCTTGTTTGCAGTTATACGTTGTGCAAAATAAAGTTTCAAACGACTACGAATTTAAATAAAATAAAAATTAATATTCACTACAGTACTACTTAACCACGGACCCTTAAAATCAACACCCAGACTCCTGGGGGTCCGTGGCTCACTAATTGGGGAAAACTGACCAACACATTTACTGTAGAAAAATTAATTAATAATGGTTTTAATTATAATTTTAGGTTTTCCAAAATTATTTGAGTCCTATAACTCGTATAAACTCAGTATGCTAGAAACAAGTAAGGTGTAAACAACAATATTATAATATAGAAACTTTTATAGTATACTAATATGATGTAGATATGTATATTTAATCAATGATAGTACTTATGATTATTATAAAATATAATGACGAAAATAAAATATGATTACCAATGGCTTATAACTTAAAGAATTAGTGCCGACTAACATACCTCTATTGTCGTTGATAAATAAACTGATTCCTGGGAAATAAAAATATAACATTTAGCTATAAATAGAAAGAGTACCGAAGTTTCATTTACCATTACTAATTATTACAAATAGAAATAAATTTAAAATGTAATGTATTAAGCCACAGCAGGCATACCCACGACGTATTCCCAAACGTATAGTTATATTATAGAAACGATATAATATATTGCAGTAGCAACGATTTTTTTTATTTAGCACGTAAATTTATACATACTTGGTATGTAAAAGTAAATACTGGTTTTCAAAACCAAAATTTAAACAGAGGATTTTAAAAATCGATTTTTCAAATTTAAATTTAAATCAGAAGATAAAAACCGTTTCAAATCAAAATTGAAAACGGAAAATTTGCAAACCAGTATTTAAAATAGAAATAAAAACCGATAAAATTAAAAACCGTAAATCAAAATTAAAATCTAAACCAAAATTTATCATTTAGGTTTCAAGCTCTGCTTAATATATTGCAAAAAATTGTTTTTGATATTTTAACTTACCTAACCAGTTCAACAAACTTTGTACTATAATCGTAATTATGATTAAGTTTGAATTGAACAATTTAACAAATTTAAATTTTTTTCAGCTTATTTTCCTCCAATTGATGAAACTTATGATCAGTATTTGAAAAGAATGAAACAATTACGTATGTATAATTGAATAACAAATGTAATCTATCTTTATTCATGAATAATTAATACTTTGTATAATATTGATGTATGTACACTATGATACTATGCGTGGTTCATTGATTTTATATTATATATTTTAAACCTTTAAGACAGAAATTCTCATTCAGTTTAATGAAAAATATATAGTAATAATATTGTTATTAGTATACAGTTTTTGCTAATATTCTTGATGTAAGATACGGTGATATAAAAATTATAAATATTTGAAATTGATTTCATACTAGAAATATATTTATTTTACAGAAAATAATCAATATTTGAATGCAAAAGAATTTGAAGAATTCACATTATGTAAGGCATTTTAATAATTACAGTACTACACTTTTAAATATAAAATATATATTAACGATTTGTATATGTTCTATTAAAAAACAAGCAGAAATTTATTGTTACTATGAAATTAGTTTGTAAATTAGCTATACCATCAATAGATAGTCGTCAATTGATAGCGCCGCAATAGATAATACATAAAAGAAGAGCTATGAGAATTCAAATGTTGGTTGAGTGAATGTGTTCCATAAGAAATGTACAGGGAAAAATCGCGTTGGTGGGAGTTGAGTAAATTTCTATAATTGATGACATATCTGTGTCTAAATAACTTTCAGTTAAAAAAAAAAAAAAAAATGAAGGAAATCGGCCGGATAAGTCAGTCCGTATGAACTGACTTAAGTTTTCATAATTTTTTTTAATATATAAGATTCCTCTTTGAATATGTTATTCATGATCGTATACCTACCTTACCCCTTTCCTAATTTTTGCTATTTGCTTACTATCTACATAACGTACTATTCCTATCTCGTTTTCGTATAGACTTTTAATTATTCTTCTTTCTGAGTTTGCAATCCTTGATTTCCTCAAAATCCAAAATATTATCCATTTTACTTTGTCAAACGCTTTCTCTAAGTCTATAAATGCTATGAACGTTGGTTTGCTTTTCCTGTTTTGTTTTTCTATAACTTGCCTGAGTGTTAGTATAACCTCTCTCGTGTCTTTTTGCTTCCTAAAACCAAACTGATCTTCGGTTAGTAAACTATCTATAATATTTTCTATACGTCTCAGCACAATACTTGTGAAAAATTTAGATGCATGGGAAAACAGGCTCAATGTTCTCTACTGTTCACAGATACTTGCTCTTGCTTTTTTTTGGTATCGGCACTATTATAAATTTTGTAAAATCTTCGGGTGTTTTTCCCGTTTCGAAGATTCTATATACTAGTTCATATAGCATATTCTTGGCGTTTTCTCTGTTGTTCTTAATAAATTCTGTTGATATTTAATTTACCCCTGGAGTTTTCCTATCCCTTAATTCATTTAAATCTTTCATTATGGATCGGTCTAAACCTTCCGAGTTTAGTCAAACTTCCTCTTCTTCCTCTTCATCTACAAGTGTAACTTGATCTCGATCTTCTTCTTCTTCTCTATTTAGGCACTCCAAGTATTTTTTTCCAGCGATTTGCTATTTCTGATTCTTCAAACAGAATCTCACTATTTTTCCCTTTAATACATGTTGGTTTTATTTTTCTGTCTCCGAAGAAAGTTTTAACCATCTCATATGTTTTGTCCATCTGTCCTGACTTAAGCTTTTTGTTAACTTCTGTACAAATATTATCCAAAAATGCTTCTTTGCTCCTCTTGCATACTCTGTTAATTGAATTTCTTAGACTTCTATATTTTTCCATTCCTTGTTGGTCTGTCGCATTCTTATATTTTCTTCTTTTGTTTATTATTTCTACTGTGTTGTTAGTTATCCATTCTTTCCTAGCGTCTGTTTTCCTTTTTTCCAGAACCTCTTCAGCAGATTTTACTAGGCATCGTTTAATATTATTCCATTTGTTATGTACGTCATTGTATTCTTATATCATATTACATTCTCTTATAGCTTTGTTTGTCTTTCCCTATACCTTTCTCTGACAGTTTCATTACTAAAGTTCGTTACTTGTAATGATGATTTCTTTTCTTTTTTTGTTAATTTCTTAAATTTAATATCGCAGTGTATCAGTATTAGATTATGATCACTATCTATGTCTGCCTCTGGATAGCTCCTGCTGTCTTGCACTTGATTCTAGAATCTTTTCTTAACCAGTATGTAATCTATTTGTAATCGTCTTATATTCCCAGGAGCTTTCCAAGTCTAACGTCTTCTCTTATGATGTTGGAAAAGTGTATTTGTTATTGGTAATTTATGTTTTGTGCAAAACTGTATAAGTGCATCGTCTCTTGTGTTCCTAACAACAAGTCCATACTTTCCGACTATATATGATTCTCTTCCTTCACCAATGCCAGCATTAAAATCTCCGAGGATGATAAGATTCTCCTCTCCTTTTACTGCGTTTATCAAATTGTTTAACTCTTCATACATTTTTTCCGCTTCTTCATCTTCCGATTATTATACTACCCAATACAATGCAAAATGAGCTCTCTGGTTATTTATATTCTGTGCAATAACCAGACAGCTCCGGAGCTGTCTTGTTTTTGTCCTGAACCTTGGATGCAATGAACATATGGTTACCGCCGCGCAATATTGATTCTTATCAATATTATTAACTGAGCTAACGTTTAACACGAGCGTAATATGTATTTAAAAAAATATTTATCATTACGTTTATAGGTTTTTATTATGATTATTTTGTATATTTATTAAATAATTTGTCAATATGAATACCGAAACAATAAACACTGTTCTAAACGAAATTATTTCCGATGAAGTTTACTCATCAGCTTCCAATATCGATGATATATTTTTAGATTGTGACTTTTTATCTGAACACAATATATCTAATGATGATTTGAATGGTATATATTGTTTCGATTCAGCTGAGGTACATGATTAAACCCAGTTAGAAAGACTCGATACTATTGAAGTTTTTACATTTTTATGCAAAAACAATTTTTTTCCGCTATTTACCATCTATACTACATAATATGCTCAACATTTTAGGGCAAAAAACCAGACAGCTCCATATTTTGAGACTTTAAAATACAATAAATTACAACTTTATGATGTAATTTATTTATTTTTTACCAGTTTTTAGGTTTCAATGTGATATACATTTTTAAAATATACGTATAGTTGTATTTATGTTTGATTATTCGGGTCAACTGCGTGTTGCGACGATGGTCGCGATAACTTAACGATAAGTTTATTGATAGTTATTGTCTTCGATGCACGCTACGAGGCACATATAATAATCAATGTGGTTAGTGTGTAGCTATGTGCGGGATAGCATCAATTTTTTTTCTTGTGATTACGCACGCAAATTAAATGTGAATTTTATTTAAATGACATCGACCGAGCCGGGCCCCAAGTTTTGTTTGACCTTACGAGACTAGTAACGTGTTTTTTTCTTCTTAGTTGTGTGATTCAAATTATGATTATTATTAATTTTGTTATTTTTTTTTTATATAACTAAATCCTACTGCGGTCCGACCTAATGGTCTCGCCCTGTAGGATGGCGATCCTCATAAAACAAGAAGCTATATAGGTTACGACGAAGTCCGTTGGGAATAATCATTCGTGATTATTTGATATCGTTGTAACGTTACAAAATATGTGATAAAATTGAAAGATTGCTACATTATTATTATTATTATTGATATAGTTTATTTGTGAGAACCTATTATTATTATTTTAATTACTGACAAATTTGGTAACGTTTATCTGTGAAAAATCGGAATTAAATAAACCTCATGACACTAACTATTGTCGCATAATATTAATTGTCCACTATGATAGTGGCACTATTTATTGCGGTGCTATCAATTGACCACTGTCTATTGACATGGATCCGATAGTTATTGTATTGATTAATTAGTGAATATAGTTTTGGTGTAATTTACCTTCGTACTAAAGTATTTACACTATATCATGTTGTATAATACAATCATAAAAACATTACCAATATGATTGGTTTAAATAGTTGTTATATTCAACGACGATTACCTAAAAAACAGTATTTTGGTTATTAACCATGAAATAAAATGTATTTGTGTAATAATTTTATAAATAGTATTATTTTATATAATATTATTAAAGAAATTATTTTACGAACTCATCTAATGTTATTTTTAGATTTTTCATTTGGAGTCGTTTCTTCTGATGAATTTCATTATAAGTTGTTGATGAAAAGTAATATCTTAAAAATATTTTAACTTATGTTACATAATTAACCAAGATTGTAGAGTTTAAAATTGGTAGTCAATTAATTTGAAATGTTTAATGAAAATAGATAAATATCAAATTTGATAAATTGTGTTTATGTTTAAAAATAATAACTTGACTTATAGTTTAAATTAGTGATGGGAATAATCGAATGATTTTGATAATCGAATGAATCCCTCGAAAAATCACTCATAATTAAAAAAAATTATAGTTTAGTAAAAATAATCCACTATTTTTATTGATCAAGATAACTAATCGAAAAAATTACTTGAAATATGAATATACATTAGGATGGTCCTTAACTATAGATGAAAAAAAAAAAAAAAAACAAAATTTTTTTCATCTCCCCCCCCCACAAAAAAAAAAAAAAAAAAAATAAAAATTTTCTCCCCCCCCCCCCCCAAAAAAAAAAAAAAAAAAACAGTGTGTATACATACAATAATTAACTATACGTAATATTGAATCAATCGAAAAAAGTTAACCCGTGCCTATTTAAACTTAAAGTTTGAACTTTTACATTTTTTCAAAATGCTTGAAGTATTTGTACTTATGTCATAAATCACTGGTAAAATTAAAATTTACTATGGACACCAAATAAAATAAAACTACATTAACGAACATTTTTTTAATATCTTCAATCGTTGGTAAGATATATTGTATCTTAATATAAAAACTGTCTATTTTTGACATTTCCGTGAATATGTAAAAAATTAAAAATGTTAACTTCATATTATATATAAAATAAAATGTAGTATTTAAAAATTGTATAATGAAGCTTAAACTAACAAAATATATTTTATAATTACAATACTTAATAACATACTATTATTGCAGTGTTGATTTGTTACTATCAGGATACTAAATTTTATAATCTTTGACAATTTGAAGTAGATATTGTTTCTGTTCTTCATCTTTTGTTAAAATACTGTTGTATTCTTCAATGATCTTTACTCCTTTTTCTCCAGTATCATTATCAACATTAATATAGGCTACAATATTTGCTTCTTCATCAAACACAGGGTTGTTAATCCATTCTTCTGGTTCATCGTGTAAAATATGTGTATCAATTCCGAAACGTTCAAAAAATATTTTTGTATTGTTTGTTACAAAATTACTCAAATCCTTTGTAACTAAAGACGACACTTCATGAGGTTTAATTGATAAGTTTTTCATTATTTCATCTGAGCCATCGTATGAAGTTAAAGCTTTAACCATCTTTTTTTTTTAAATTGGCAGACACATTATTAACAAAAAATTAAAAACATATTGCTTCATCAGACAAATAAATGTCCACAAAATTTTTTCAGAACTATTTGAGAAACATTAGTGTAATAGTAGTTGTATATATATTTAATAAAATTAAAATCTTGGTATGATGCTGTAGCAGCATGTGGAGCTCCAAACCATACTTTTACGTAAATACGAATCAAAAATATACATATGTCCCTTAGCCCGTTTTCCTCTTTTATATTTAAATGAAACTGATCTCTAAATAAATATATTTATAATGAATACAATGCTTTTACCAACCACGTAGCATGATGAATAGCATCAGATGTTTTTATAGTGATTTCAACAGATGGGCATCATCCGAGAAAAATTAATATTAATTCTATTAACTTTTTGTAGTCATCTCTGTAATGATTTTTTTTTTTTTAGTTTTCGTCTACAAAATTCTATTATATCGTTAGTTACGTCCTTAGTTTTAGGTATATCATTGTTTGCGATACCAATTGTTAATTTTGTTGAGTCTATTTTTCCCAAGATTGCTGGAGTCGTTTGAACAGTATAATATCTGGACCAGATAAATTGTTCATTTTCAATTAAAATATTTATCGTAGTATAAGTTCGTAAATATGGTGACGACATGGAAAATAAAGAAGGCTTTTGTTTAGTACTGCTCCAAAATAATACAAGCACCATTCATTCTTCCTGTATTAGAAGCTGTAGTTTCATATCAAAGTGCATTGACACGTTTAGATAGGTCCCAATCGTTTAATAATTCGTACACAGCATTTGTCATATTTTGACCAGTACCGGAATCTAATTTTGGCACTCCAATTAATTTTTTCGAGTTTTGAAATGTTACTATAACCGGAAGTCGATCATGTTAAATGTATTTAGTTGTAAGCAAAAGTTTACTATCCCAATGAACTACAATGGCTTTAGAATTTGTTTTGAAATCTTTTTTTAATGTTATTTCAATATTTTTTCTTATTTGTAATCGACATTATCTAATAGATGTTCGGTTAATTATTAGATTAAAAATATTGTGTCCTATTCTTCAGCAGTTGCCATAAGAATATGAACTGCATCACGATCACTAACTTTGCAACGATCCAAAACTATGACGAGGCGATCATTAATAAAATCAATCTTACCTTGCTCAACTGAGATCATCGTACTTGTTGACTGTACAGATATTTCACTATCAGATTCTGAAGTATGGTCAACGCCGTATTCTTCTTCAGAAGAAAATGATACTAGTTCTATTTTGTTATCTGCCAAAAATAATAATATAAATTATGTAGTTATTTTGAAAATTTGTTCTACAAGAATATACTTATATTAAAAATATAATATTTATTTTTTTGAATATTCATTATGCACTATACCTAAATTTTCTGTTTCTATTTTTGAACGTTTAGATGCTTCAAGAAAGAAATTCAATTGATTAGCCATTCGTTTTTCAGTTTGGAACAATTTAGTATCAACGCCCATCATATATCCTTTTCGGCCTTTTTGTCTTTGAAGAAGTAAAAAATCTCGATCTTCCTGGATACCTCTAAGATATATAGTAACAAATATATAATATATATATATATATATTCATTAAACTTATTATATTAACTTATTATATTTATTGCGTTCGCATGAGCAATGTCAAATAAATCGTTCGATTTTGAGGTGAACACGACTTATTTTTTAATTTGACATTCAGTTCTTTTTGTTGAATTTTTTTGAACTGTTCTCCATTCATGATATAATTTTTCAAGCTTTGATATACAATGCTGAATTTCTTGTACAGGAATTCTTGCTTTTTCCCAAAATATTATTATTTCACGTATAGCAAGATGAGCACTTTCACGTATGTTTAATTTAACAACTCCTAAATTGTAGAAAAAACTAATAATGCTTGTTAAATGGACGGTAATTTACCACCAGTAATCTGACTGCAATTGTTACCCAATAAATACGCATTATTTCTTATTTTCAAACACATCATATTATAAATTCACGACAATATTTCAGGGAAAACAATCCAATAAAAATACTATTAAAAACGAGTGATATCTGACGGCTGATCACAAACTAATTTCTAAACTAAAGAATTAATGTTATTATTTACGACAACTATCAGTAATACAATAAGAGCCGATACAAACAATACCCATATAACTTATTTTGATTCATAAAAATAGTTTTTAGAGATATGAATAAATTAAAGACAATTTTATAAATAAGTTAAAAATACAAATTGTAATATACATATACGTTATAAGATTGAAAAATATCGAAAATACGGTTTCTTAAACACTAAGTAAATAAATATAAAAAAATTAATTAATAAGTTAATAAATCTCACTAATAGTTGAAGATATTAAAACAATTATAGAACAAAAATTATCACAAATGTAGTTTAATTTAATTTAGTTTCAATAATACTTACATTTCAATTTGTCTTACGATTTAGGACACGAGAAGAAATATTTTGAACATTTTGAAAAATTTTAAAAGTTCAAACTTTAAGTTCAAATAGGCACGAGTTAACTTTATCTGACTGATCCCATATTTTGTACGGTTAATTATTGTACACATATACGCTGTTTTAGGGGGTGAGATGCAAACATTTTTGAACTTCAAATTTAAGGACTACCCTAATATACATAGTAAATAAATAATCTAATTTCGCTTTTTTATTTGTTCATGTAATTTGATTAATCATTAGTTGAATTATAATTTGGGAATAATAATAAACATATTAATACTGCATTATTTATAAGTTTTTATATTTTTTTATAAATAATTACTATCTTCAATTTAAAGTAATCTAATGATTACTAAATCAGGAATAATGTTCGTCGAATAGTCAATAATTCAAAATATTTATACTATTTCGAGTACAAGAGAAAAGAATTGTTCAGATATTTTACTCATAAAAAATAATCGATTAATTTACTCATAATCAAAATTATTGGAATACTTAATTGTTAATATCATAATCAAAATATCTTAATTATGCCCATCACTAGTTAAAATATATTTTAAAAGGGAAAGAACCTTTCATATGAAGGTGGATGGTTAAAATCTGATGATGTGTTAATTATAATGAATTTTCGTGTATTTTTATTTTAATAAATTTAAATATATAATTGTAATTGAACTGAGTTTATACATTGGTATAGAAGAGTTATATTATCTCTAACTTTAATCTTTTGTTTTATTAATGAATGTAAAACTTTATGTCATTTTTAGAACAATTGAATTATAGAGAACCTTATTTACCATTTGTATATGGTAGGTACATTCATTGGATTTTAGTACGTTACTATCCATAAAAATAACTAACAAAACTTGGATTAATGTTGTCTTTACAGACTCTGTATAATAATTTCTTAATTTTTTTTCTTTTGTCATACGTAAAATTTCACTTCAAATTATAAACATTATGTCCCAGGATGATTTGACTAATAGAATAACTTTCGTTCTGTTTATTATTTTTAATTATTTTATTTTTTTTTTCAATAAATACACTTGCACTACAACAAAATTGTGTTAAAAGATTATTTTAGTATTTAGAAATCAAGTTTGAAAATTTTAAATTTTATTCTACTGTTTGAAAAATCACTAAATTAGTTATATTGCAAATTGGATCTTTAGAAAAGTATTTGAATTATTATGAATTTTTAAATTTTTGATAATGTAAATTTAATTATTAAAATTATTGTACAATTATCGTACGTTCCATCAAGATATAATTGGTGATTAATTTTTCCATTAAATTATATATGCAATTTAAAATATACTGTGCATTTGAGATGTAATCCATACATAACTAAACACGTTATCAGTATTATTATTATTGAAGTAGTTGGATAAGAAGGTAATTTTTCGACTAATGTTTAATAAATTTTCATATTCATATTCAAAATTGTAACAAATTTTATAGTATACATTTTTATTGGTGTTCTTCAATAATAATCGTGTGGTGTATTCGTTTTTAACGTAGGTGTCGCGAAATATTGTTTGAGATCCTCATAAACAAATGGTTATTTAAATAAAAATGTACTGTTTTAAATATCAATCTGATTATTTGAGTGTGCAATAATATATCAAATAAAATAACATGCGGCATATTCTTATTTAACGATGGATTATTAACTATAAACGATTGTGGTTACAGATTTTAATTGAATTTTCATTTAATATCTGGTTATATTTAAATTGGTACCGAATATGTGTATTTCAATAATTTTAGTGACACATTTATTATTTAATACTATTAAATATAAAGTATAATGTGTGTGAGAACTATAAGTTTAAAAATTCGAGCTTATTATAACAAGAAAATTGCTATTATTCAAGAGAGTATTGAAACGGTAAGACACCGAAAAATTCTCAGTGGGCTGCTCATATTATGAAAGTTTTAGCCATTATTTTTTTTATACGATAATGAAAAAAAATATAAACATGTATGTATAACATATAATTGAATAAAGTATAGTCGTTTCCAAGATGTTTTGTGTATCCATATTTAATCGCATAACCAGTTGACAACCGGAATAAAATATTAGTTTTTTATTATTATGCTTGATATAAATAATTGAGAAAAATAAAAATAAAATAATATGTATAATATAGTGTACTTATACTAATATAGTATATTTACGCCTAAAATTCTGGCTTATTTCTCTACTTTCAAACCAAAAATATATATGTAATTATTGAATAATAATTAAAACATTATTAAATAATGTAATGTTATATTTTTTTTTTTTTTTTTACATAAGCTTTCATTAATATCGGTGTATGATTGTTTCCCAAAATTACTACTTTATTCTTTAAATTTAGTTACACTGAAGCAAACAATAATTAAAAAAAAATAATAATTTAATTTTGTTATATTTTGTATTAAGAAAATAGAATTTTGAAAGATTCAAATTCAAATTTAATTTCCAGTATGACACAATGTAAATATTATTTATCAAATTGGATAAAACATTTTCTATAAATTATATTGTACACTATTTGAATGTCATAAATATAAATTGCACAATTAGGTTTTCTCTGCAGCTTTGCAATTTTACACAAGAATAAATGATGACTATACCAAAAAAGGTACCTACAATGTAACAAAATTGTATTCGAATTGATTTAAGTGATATTATAAATACTAATTAACATATAAGTAAATATTACACCCGTAAATTATTTTAATATATAGTATTTCGACTATGAATTAAGAAATTTAAATTTTTAAGGTTATCTTAAAGATATATTGATTATTCATGCATTACATACCTGTGTTAATTACTTGGGATTATAATTATGATTATCAATTTATAATTAATAATAGTAAGATAATAGCTACAAATAATGAAAATAATTTTGGAATAAATTAAATTTCGATCAGCCATAATACAATAATATGGGTTAAAATAATAATGTTATTTTTTTTCACAAAATTTTAAAAAATCATAGAAAATTAATTGATATACCTTTATTAGATTTCTAAATACCAACATTTTTTTTCAAACTGTAAAACATTTTCAAATTTAAATTCTAAAATTCAAAAAATCTTTTAATGCAATTTTGTTATAGCACAGGATCTTAGTATTTTTATATATATATATATATATATATATAAAAAAAAGAAAAAAAAAGTAGTAAACCGAATAAAAGTAATTGCATTTGTCGAATCATACTAGTACACCTTACATATTTTACCATATTCAATAAATATAATCATTTTTCAGCTTACTTTCCTATGGTATATGAAAATTATAATATGTATCGGGAACGATTAAGGCATTTAGGTGAGCAATGAAAGATATTAAAGTCATTAAACTTTTAAATATATTAATCTATTATGTTGGTTTTTTTCATTAAATCTTTTTAAAAGTTTCGATTTTTTGGTAGGTTAAATATAATCGAACTAAACCTTATGATGTATTGTTTGTTTTAATTAGGTTTTACGCGCAAGCATAAAAAATATTTACTTTTTAATCAGTAGTGGACAGAAAAGTCTAAATGGATATTTTTTGAGAATCATTTTAATATTAACTCTATATTTAATGCATATATTTTTATGTTTAAATATAAAGTAATTCGTCACGTATCAGCCGTACAAAACACACACGTTTTAATGTTGTTCTCAGTCTGTGTTCTATATTTTTATTCTTTCTTTGCAACAAAAATACCTACGGAGCCGTGCTTGGTACCAAAAAAAACCAAAATCTAACCTGAACATTTCCATCACCACACAAAATTCTATTCAAACCATCTAACCTTTAAGTATAAAAAATATTGGTAATTATAATTTCTAATTAAATAACAAAACCAAGATATAAATTATTGTTGACTTTGAGCTCTCCTGCTATCAGCCGGCAACAGCATATTAATTTAATTACATCGATACGCACTATCGCAATTTTTCGCATATTATCACACATAATGAAAAATCAATAAATAAACCATTCAATATCATTTCATCAATAAATAAACCAGAAAAAAAAATAAAAAAATTATATTTCCTCCAATCATAATCAAAAGTATCTCAAGCGATGTTTTCGAAAATCAGCCAAAAAACCCAAAAAAACGTAATCTCTCATCCGACGAACCACCCTCCACATCAAAAAAGAACAAACTCTTATTTGTAACTTTGAATAGATATGCATGTCTCGGCGTAAATGCAGATAGAGATATCACAACCGAACACACTGACCCTACCGTTATCAATGAGGAGATTAAAACTCTATCACCGCCATCGATTATAGTCAACGGAACAAACGATTTAGTCAGTCATCGCTCAAATGTAATCAATTTAATCGGCTCAAAAAATTTCTTATTTAAATCATCCATTAACAATTTTTAAAAATTTCAACAAAAAATTCTGACTCATATAGAGTGGTTATAAAATTTCTTAATGAAGAAAGTGTCGAGTACCATACATATCATTTACGTGAAAACAAGGTGTTTTGCGTAGTTATGAGAAATATTTATCCCTATACACCGTCAAATGAAATAGGAATCGCAATCCAAGAAATCGGCTTCACAGTGAGAACAAGATTTACCGATCGCTTACCGATATCGCTTTACCGATATTTTTTGTGGATCTCGAACCCGCCGAGATTAATAAAGACATATTTAATATTACATCTATTCTTCACATAAATATTAAAATCGAAGAACTACATAAAAGCTGTGGACTCGTACAATGTTTTAATTGTCAAAAGTATGGCCATCCCATAACTGCTCCCACCCATCTTGCTGTGTTTGCTGTACTGCAAACCATCCGTCTTCTTTATGTAATAAAACTAAAGATCAACCTAAAGATCAAACCTATGTGGTAGAAACCACCCGCCAAACTACCGTGGATGCACGGTTCATAATGATCTCCAAAAATTCCATAGTGATCTAAAATTACAGCTATAAATAATATAAATCAAAATAATCATATAAATGAGAGAAAAAATTCCGTTGATAAAACACCTTCGGACCCACCTAATTTTAATTTTTATGATAGCAAAACATTTCCAAACCTTCCCCAAATACATTTTGAGAACTATTCTTGCAACACGAAGTCAAATCAAACCTCACAAACACATAATACTCCCACAGAAAACAACTTAACATCTCAACATCTAACCTAACGTCTATACTGTTCTTTCATTACAGAATTAAAATCAATGATCAATCCTCTATTCAACTTCTCACAACAGTTATAAATCAACTAATTTTAAAAAATGACAAATAAAAATACTAATCTAAATTCACTCAACATATGCATGTAGAATGCAAATGGAATTAAAAGTCATGAGCCCGAACTATTACATTTATTTATTGAAAAAATTATAGACTTTGCAACTAACTCCATTTCACAAACCTAACCAGGTGCCCACCCTGCCACCTCCGTAGACACGCCTATGACCATCACATACAATTTTAGAAACGTGTTCTTGAATGTCGGAAGACATATCGTCAATTCGTCGAGATAATGTGTTATTTGATAATGGAACACGAGAAACTTCCTTCTCAGCAATTTCACCTAACATTGATTTTACAATTTCCTTGCAAACTGGTAATATTAAATTTTCATCCATAGTATGAGACTGCATTTTTTTTAACTATTAATTCAGCAACTAATAGTATCGAATAGTATGGAGGGCAGACGGACAAGTATTGAAAGAAGTTCTAGTTAACAAAATAAACAAAAAACGTCCATTAGGAAGATGAAGGACTCGATGGGTGGATGTCGTGACTCAAAACATCAAAGATATAAAAGAGGATTCTGTTTTTGACGACGCATATAATAGGGAGAAATGGAGAGGTTATGTGATATCAGTGATGGCTCTTAATGAACTGACAAGCTGATGAAGAAGAAGAAGAAGAAGAAGAGAAGAAGAATTCAGCAACATTAAAACTAGTGATCTGAGCTTTAGCAGATATATTTGCTAGTTTTTCCAATTGTTTTGATTGTTTTACATTTTATGATAATAAACAGCTAAAATAAGTTTTGTCTTTATTTAACAAATGATCGTGTTTAGTAGTAAAATGCCTTTTTAATTTACTAGGTACCATACATTCGTTACTAAGTTTTTCTCCACTTACCAAACACTGAGAAATAGGATGAGTTTCTAATCCATAGAAAGTGAAACCAAAATTTAAATAATTATCATGGTACTTATGACTAGTAACAGAAGACTGTGTACCAGATTTAATGGTTTCAGTAACTGTCTTTTTCCCTCTCTTATTCTCGTCATTATTTTCATAGTAATTGTTAAGCTTTCTTTTTATATTTAAAAACTTATCCATATTTATTATGTACGAACGTCACAAAAATTCAATAAAATTCGGGCTTGTCGTGGTGTAGTTTGAACGTAGCATAATATTTATCCTTAGTGTGCCATGACTTATAATAGCTAATAATAATGTGCCGCGATTGGAAAAAGTTTGGGAACCGCTGCTATAGAGCGTAGTATTATAACGTTTGATTATTTTAGATCATAAATGTTTGGATAAAGAACAGTACAACGCGTTCGTAATGGGTAAGATGTTTATGAATATAGTAAAGAAGAAATTTAAAAATAAAATATCACATTTTTAAATTCACGTGTGTTCATACGTGTATACATTTTGTATTGAACAGTTACTTTTATAATACTTAATGAATCTATGATAAAATAAAACTAAAGAATTTCTCTTTTAACTTAAGGACACATTTCATAATTTAATGTTATAATATTTTACTACGTTGAAAATTCTTGAAATCTATATTTCGGTAACTGTGTTATTTTTGTATTATCTAGATTTCCCAGATACACCGCTATTTTATTCTGCATATAAACACGATTCTGAATGTACAGGTAATACTATTTTAATACAATTATATATATATATATAGTTTAATAAAAAAATATAATTATCATAATAATTTATGAATATCAACCGCAGTATACCACTGACTACAAGTATGTCATAATTGGAGAGACAAGGGAGGGAACTCTTCCCCTGACTTTTCCGTTTACGTTATATCCTATCTGGTGGACGGCACGATGTTGACCACACCACACCGAATTCTAGTACTCGCAACAATGGCGGGTAATTTTTTTAAATATTTTTTTCATAAATCGCTCCTTAAATTGAATGTAAATTTTTTTTTAAAACTGTGCACGCGTATTTTAGTAAAGTATGTATCGCTATTCAATGCGATGTCGAACTTACATTTGCCACAAGTGCGGCGTTCGAAAAATTTCTGATGTGAATTCGTTCGCATCGGACGCACTCACCGCATTTTTCGGACTCACGTAGGACACGGCGTTTTCGTGAATTAAATGTATGCGTCAGCATCCAGGAAAATTCGATCTGTTTTTGAACGTTTGTTATTATTAGACACCGCAGAAATTGCATGCATTGCGATTAATGGTGCGTGTAGGTACGCACCAGCTAGGACATAGCGTTGGATTAGAGGTCCCTATAACACTTGTATTTAAAAACACGGCTACATGTGTTCACAACAAAAAGTCCGTTTAAATAAAATATACTGGTAAATGAACATAGAAATCAGTTTACCTGTATGTTTGTTGCAAACCAAGTATTCGGAATTTGCTTCAGTCATTGTACCCGTGTGATTGCGTTGATATTTGTAAACCGTTTTCTATAATTCTCTTTTTGATTCTTTTAAATCTCAAAATATTCAACTAACTATTCTATTAATTCTAAATAATAATTAATAATTCTAATAAATATTTATTGTTAACCATTTTATTGGTTACACTTTTTTTATTATGTAATTGTAGAAATAAATAACTATGCAAAAAGTCGATACATTTTTTATTTACTTCTGGTCTATATGGTATATAGTATATGGATCAGCGCCAATTTTCGTTTACACCATCGTATTCAGTTTTAAAAATATGTGACATAAAAAAAATTCCAAAATTTAGAGGACTTGATAAAGCAGAAATATACCTAATATACGTAATATTTTATTAAGAATACTGTATACTCAGATAACCCTTGGCCTTCACACGAGTTTTCTCATTAAGACTCAGTAATCTTTTTGATTTATAATTATAATTAAAAAAATTAAAAAAAATACGTGTATACATCGGTTACAATAATAACCATATGTATATATGTCCAAAGCCTATGCTAATATAACGCTGTTCTTTTTTTTGTCTGGTCTAATATGTAACTAGTGCCGAATGCGGTGATACCCGATTGAACACGGTAAAAAAAATAAATATTGTGTACAACTTTGTCAGATTGAAAACAAAGTATTAAGCTGGCAACACACTAGCGTTATTTTACCATGCCGTAATTTTACTGCGCGTTTTGTTAAAGTACATTAAAATGAATAGAGCATAACACACGAGTGTCGCGCAGTAAAATTATGGCGCGATATTTCGAGAACCGTCGCGTGCACTTTGACTTTACCGTGCACTAAAAATACCGCTATAAAGGCTTATCGTAAATATTCTGAATTTAAAAATGCTGACAACCTACTTAAATACTTATTAAAAGTTGAAAATAAGTATTTATGGAAAAAATTTTAAATTTTTACCTTTTTCATAACAATTGTATGAGTGCTATATTTTAGCAAAAAAAAAAAAAAAAATGTAATTATAACATGTGATTAAAATCCAATAAAACATTTTTAATTATAAATAATTATATTCAAATGTATTTTATTTTGTAATAATAATATGGACGCACCGAGCTTTATACACCAACAATATAAAAAATGCGAAAAAAACGGTGTCTTGTCGTTTTTTTATTGGAGAATTATTTCTTTTAGGAAACCTGAGCCGTAAAAATTTTAAATTATGAAATAATCGTTACAAATCTAAAATTGAATTACATAATAATTATAAAAAAATCTTGCATACACAGTAATACGGTACACCAAATATTCTACGGTACAAAGCGGCAACGTCGCACCTATTTTCGTGCTCAATCGTGTGGTTTTTTTGGTTATTTTTTGGTTCCTATTGTTTGATTGCAACCGTGCTCAATCGGGTTCCAGCCACCAAATGCATGACTATATCAATGACGTAGCAAGCGTACATAAATATAATCAAATATATTCAGAAGTGGAACTAGGTATTTGTACGTCCGGGAAAAATTACGCCCTATCGTAGACCTATAATCAAATACTCTCCTCGAGAATATTTTTCTAACAATTAATATACAATCATACTTATTGAGTTTTAATCTGATAACAGTATGTAACAAAAATAAAAATATGAACTTAGTTGTTAATAATTATAAAAATTACACTCTCTAAAATTTTACGCCCGGGGATGAATCCCCGTTTCCACTCCCTAGTTACGCTCCCTGAATATGGTGGGCAAATGTATTTTAGACCAAAAACGTACCCTTCCCTTTTCAGCCGATTCACTTTTCGACCAAAACAAAATTTATATAACAATTATATGTTAATAACTTTCACAAATCCATACGTTCGAAAACAGCTACGAATCGTTTGTGCAGTAATATTATTCCAAGCTTTATGGCTAATCGTTATAGCAGTCAAAATGGTTACTTTTAGAAAATCGTTAATATCCAAGCAGGCTAAAAATTCAGAAACAATTTCCTTTCTATACAGAATTTTAAAATTTTTAATTATCCCTTGATCTAGATGTTGGAGTTTTGAAGTTGTGTTTGCTGGGAATAATTCAATTTGTACGTTAGAGAGAGAGTAGGACGGTTGATATGGGCAGTGCAATTATCAACGAACATGATAATTTTTCTACATTGTTTTCGCATGTCATTATTGAGAGTTTTAAGCCATTCGTTCCAAAGTTCGGTAGTAATCCACGATTTTTTATTATTTCTATACGTAACCGGTAAAGATTTAGACATTTTTAAAGGACCTAGATTTAGCAGTCTTGCCGATAAATAGTGGCCTCAATTTCTCCGAACCATCCATATTTACCGCAAAAAGTAATATGACTCGCTCCTTACTCAGTATCCCCTCATGGTACTTTTAATTTTTATATGTTACTGTTCGGTCAGTTAAACATTTAAAAAATAGTCCTGTCTCATCAGCATTGAACACATTTTTCGCATAAAATTTACTTAACAAGTCTTGAAGTTTCACCTTCCAGTCATCATAGATACTTAAATCGACGTTTACACTTTCATCATAAATTTTTCTGAACACTAAGTTATGACGCTTTTTAAAATTAGACAACCAGCCATCACTAGCAGTAAAATTTGAGACACCTAGCATTTCAGCAAAACTTTTTTTTTTTTTTTTGATTAATTTACCACTGACTGGAATGTTTTACTGCCTAATTTAATTAAACTAAGTGTACAAATATTGATTTAAACGGGGAAACTCACTTGGTCGGTTTCTTTTTACTTACCTTTTTACTTACTTTTTACTACCTTCTGCATCAGTTGTATAAAAAATTGCATCTTTATATTTCAAAATTGTAGAAAGTGTCGAAGAAGGGAGTTGAAAACTATCCGCTATGTCTCTTTTCTTTTTACCACTTTCGACTGCTTCAATTATTTTTTTCTTGTCAGAAATTGAGAAACACTTTCGTTTTAAACTCATTATAAAACGCGAGGTTCAAAATGTCGAGCTTGCGATCGCTTTTGACATGAGTTGGGAGCAGTTGTCCGAAAAATGATGAGGTCCGAAATCGAAAGACGGCGATATAAAATGTGTTGCCAACATAAAATTTCTAAAAATTATATTATAAAATTATTTTTTTGTTTAAGAAGTTATACTTTTTCATTTGAATGATAATTATATTTTTTGATAATAACATAATTAGTTACATATAAAATAAACATAGGTATCAATTATATGAAATAATTATACATTTTTGAATACTTAAAACTAAAACATGTAATATTTTATACTATTTACATACTAGTACATAGAAAATTAAAAAAAAAAAAATGATGAAAAACATATATATTTTTCGAAAGGTTCACATACAATTAAATATTAAGCTAGATATTTATAAACATACATGATATATTACATAGATTTATAACATGGATATGTTTTTTAGATGAATATTAAGAAGAATTTGCAAGAACAGAAAAGCATTACCCTTCTCTAATTACAATTGGTTACTAAAATAATACAAGTCAAAGTTTTAACTCAAAAACATATCCATGATTTAATGTTATGCCTACATAATTATATGTTACCATAGTTGTTTAAAATTTGGTCAATTTTTATTGGAAATATGCAAACAAAAATTAAAAAAAGAATAAAAAATGTTGTTGAAAATATTCAAACAAACAAATGAAAATAATTAAAATTTTTGTTGAAAATAGTATAACTTATTAGTATTTTTCCCGCTTTGAAAATCGGGGGATATTGTTTAACTTTTATCAATAGAAATTATATAATTGGATTTGGTAATTTTCGATTTAGTCAGTTGGTACTAATTTTTCAAATTTCGGACCTTATCATTTCTTAGGTCCTTATAATTTTTCGGATAAGTGTCCATCACTCTTTTGACATAACAACAAAACTAAACTAAAACGATAACGTAGAGGTAACAATAACGTTGTAGTGTAATTTATTTTATCGCGTGATAATCGCTTAAATATCTTCCTAATAGCAAGCTAAATTATATTTAACAGACCAGTATCATACAAACAATACATGAACATTATCTTACCGCATAATAATATCCGAAACAAACGTAAAATATGTAGTATCAATCTCTAAAATTGTAAAAATTCGTTACATTGCAAGAACTTTGGCAAAACAATCTTCGTTATATCGAGAGGATGAAAATACACTTAATTTTTCGTTATATCGAGATTTTCGTTTATAGAACTTTGTCAAACCACGAGTTGACTGTATCATTTTACATTGTAAAGTAAATATAACTTAGTTACTATAGTCTATTCAGAATAAGAGTATCCAGTCACTTGGACGAAAACTGGTTTTTACTGCGTATGTGTCTTTTCCACCAAGAACATTGTAGTATGCCAACGCGTTACGACGCTATTATACGTAGTGAACTGTATAATACAGTCTGTATTACTACACTCTTTTTTGTAATGCCACGCTATAGTTCTATTTTGAATAACAAGGTTTTTTCTAATAATAATCTGTATACAGGCAACAGTCACCGACTTTGATAAACAACGACGGTGGTCGAACAATGGCAACGAATCATAGAGCGTCTAGATATCGACAGGTGTCCGACCTTTATCGGCTTCTCAGTAGACATACGCGCGCAACGTTGCTGTAACATAACTGCAACATTTTATCGCCTGCAACATTCTCGCGAGGACAGTCGTCCATACTGGGCGTAGAAATGTTTGTTCTAACATGATCATATGTTTTCCAATTGTTGTCAATGTATTCAGTAAATATGCCATTCAGAGAGCACAGTTGTCCACTATTGTTTCGTTCTAAAATTTTTATAATTTATCTTGCACTAGTACAATGTCCAATCAAATCACTAGTGCTGCGTTTATTGTTATACATAGCCTACTTAAAAAACGAATAAAATTTGATAGTTCAATCCATGCATAATTTTTTTTATTTTATTGAAGTACGATTTGTCTTTTGGGTTCCATAAAACTGGTTTTCACGATAGGACTCAATTAGTTGGATAACACTGTCTTGATCCCAAGTATTTTCTGAATTGCATCTCATGATTAATTAATAAATTTTATTTTTATTTATTAATTATTTCAATGTTTTTGTTATAACTATTATTAAAATAATACACAATAACGTATTTACCTAACAGCAACAATACAACACTGACGATTTCTCGTCCAAACCAGATAAGAAAAACGCGCCGAACACCACGCATTTCCCATATCAACCCGAATAAACGCGCAACATGCACGAACAATGTCAAACATGCTTGTTCGTGCGCGGACTAGATCCATACCAAACGCGCCGAACATGGTAGCAACGTTGCAAAACGTATTGCGCATTTGGTATGGACCCGGCTTAAAACCATAAAACGATTATTATTTTAAGTATGAGATGCTAATAAAAACATTGTTACTCTCAAGTAACATTATGCATTGTAGGTTATTGTATTAAAATAGCAGTCGTCGATTACTAATCCATTACCACACCCCTAGAAGTCCAAAAAAATATCGTATCTAAAAATAAACAATTTACAGTATTAGTTCGCCATAGCATACAATTATTCTTTTCATCATTTTATATTCTAGGCTTGATTTCTAAAAGTTTAAAAACAATACACGTAAAGGGGTTTGTCAAGATAAAATATCAGTCTATTAACTCTGTTTAATATCTAATAAATATTAATAAACTTCAGTAGTATTAAATTAAATATTAATATTTTTCAGTTTACTTTACACTAATAGATAAAAATTATAAGGAATATGAAGCGAGAATGGCTAAGAAAAGTATGTATTTTTAGAATTATTATTTTCCATCCGCGTCAGCTTAGACCATTAAATTTACTATGGAGTTAGCAGTGGCGTATTTTGGGGGAGGTGTCCTCCATGTCTGAAACCCCCCGACTTTATTAAAAAAAAAGTCCTAATATATGGGACATTGGTGTTAAAATTTAGTTTATTGTAAGTACACCTTTTTTTTTTTTTTTTTGTTATAAAATAAATACTATTTTTATATAAACGGCAAAACTGAAATTTGATTAGATTCGATGCCACAGAGACTTATCTAAAATTTATCTGGGATATACAGAAATTATTTGAATTTCACCGGGTAATTACGAATTACGATAATAAGAATACCCGCAGGCCGCAGCGAAAATACAGTAACATGTAACAGACCGCATGTAGTATATTATTTTAATCTAGTTTACACATTATCAGTTTGGAGAATTTCATTATTATTAATACCTTCTAGTATATAGTTGGCTAGTACTATATTTATAATATAGCTTATAGTATTTATAATCAATGATTATACTCTTATACTATTATGGTATTATTTGTCAATTTGTCATTTATTTTTTCGTCAACCGTCGTGCTGTACGTACCGCCGTCCACCACTGACCACTGTACCAGGTGATTACTGAATAACGTAAGTACTTATTTATTCAAATAAATTAAATAATTATTAACACATTGGGGACGAACGTCATTATAGGACAATTAAATAAAATCGGAAAAATATCGATATTCATTATCGATTCAATATAATTTATATATCAACTCCGAATTCAATATAAATAAAATATTGATATAATAAATCCATTTTTTGTACACACAGTTCTAAAAGTTCTTTAGAAGTGGAAGCAGTGGTACCACGTTAGAAACGGTGCTCATCTTATCGCAACAGCATATTAAAAGTAGTTCTGTCTACCGTGTAACATAATAATAGTCGCGTTAAACACGGTGCTTGTCTTAAACGCAAGAACAAAATAATAATAGTTGGTCTCCAATGTGAATAAGAATCATAGAAATAACGAATCAATATGTCATCAACTATTATACAACATTAATATTATTTAAAATTTTTAAAATAATACTTTATTTTTATTATTATTCTAAAATAATACTTCACAATGCCAAATAAACCAACTGTATCTAAGTTGTTACATATTACAAAAAAAATGAAAATTTAATACGTCTTGATTTTGATTTTGATGACTTATAATTTAACTTAAAAAGTATTCATTTTTCAGTGTTGTAAAGTTAATAAAAATGGCACAAAAAAAAAAACAAGAATCAATTACTTCCTTTTAAGTTAACGTCATCGTCGCCTTCTACCTCAGAATTTAATTCAACACACAACAACGATACTTCTACGAATAAACGAGCATCCTCACCAGTAAACTCGATTGACTCTGTCAAAATTTGTCGTACTTTAAGCTTAGATATAAATGACTCAATTAATGATTTTAAAGTTATTGAAGACACAAACTACAGTAATAATTATGATATTGGGTTTTATACTAACCGTATGTTATCGAATGAAGATATCGTAATTGTCATGACAAGAATTTGGATGCCAAATATATCTTACAAATTTCCACCAAAACTATATACGGTTCAAAATAAACCAAAATATTTAAAGTTCCAGTATTCGAGGCTATTAAGATTCTCTTGGTTGGTATACTCGATAAAAGAAAATGGTGCATTTTGTCGAATCTGTGTAGCTTTTTCTAAATCTAATAAAAATAACGGACCAAAACTCAGGTGCATTAGTAAAAAAAAAAAAATATGATAATTGGAGAAATACAATAGTTGATTTCAAAAAACATTCTAACAAGGGTTATCATAAAATGTGTGTGTTAAGTTCAGATCATTTTATTGATGTGATAAAACATCCTGGGAAGTCTATAACGTGCAAAATAGAAACTGGAAGAGCTGAACAAATTAGAAAAAATCGAAAAAACATATCTCCAATAATTCAAACAGTAATTTTATGTGGTAGACAAAATATTCCGCTCAGAGGACATCGAGATTCCGAGAAACTTATTGTTGAACAAGAAAATGTCAAGTTAATCCAAAACCAGGGAAATTTTAGAGAAATATTATGATATGAAGCCCAAGGAGATGACCATTTGAAATCATTTTTGAAAGCTGAAGGAAAAATAAAATATACAAGTGCAACACTTCAAAATGAAATTATTGAATCCTGCAATAAAATTATTTAAAAAAAAATTGTAACAAACATAAATTCCCAAAGATGTTTTACAATACTTATTGATGAAACGGCCGACATTAGTGGAATCGAACAAGTATCTTTATGTGCAAGCTACTTAGATGTTGAAAATATGATTATCAAGGAAGAATTTCTTCAGTTTGTGCCTACGACAGATACTACTGGAAAAGGTTTAGCCGATATTATTATACAAAATTTACATTCGTTTGGTATAGAAACGAAGTACCTAAGAGGGCAGGGTTACGATGGATGTGCATCTATGGTTGGTCAATTTAAAGGAGTTCAAGCCATTATTCACCAAAGCTACCCACTTGCGACGTATGTTCGTTGTGCTGCTCATGTTTTAAACCTTGTTGTTTCTTATTCATGTTCTATACAAGAAATACGAAATTGTTTAGGAACAATATCTAAAGTTTGAGATTTTTTCATATACCCGAAGCGGAAAGATGTGTTGAAAAATGAAACCAAAGAAAGTCAAGAATGTATTATAAGAAAAATATTAAAAATATTATGTGCAACTATATGGGTTGAACGTTTTTATGCTGTCAATGATTTTCTTGAGCTTTTCGATTACGTAATTGAATCGTTATTTATAATTTCGAAGTGGAATGACACTGAAACATCATCACAAACAAGCAATTTACGAACATCAATACTGAAAGGAGATTTTATTATTTGCTTACTTATTGTGAATAAAGTATTTAGTTATGGACTACCTCTTTCAAAACAACTTCAAAGAATAAATATTGATCTAGCCGAAGCTATGGATCTTGCGGAAGATGCAATAAAAAAACTTCAATCTATAAGATCATATGCCGAGTCTGAATTTCATACAATTTTTGAAAATGCATTGATCTTAGCAAATAAACTAGATATAAATATTTCCATACCACGTATTACAGGAAGACAAACGAAAAGAGTAAATATAGAAACAAATTCGCCAGAATCATATTTTCGAATTGCTTTTTTTATTCTTTACTTAGATACATTTATAGATCAACTAAATTCAAGGTTTGTGAGTCAAAAAATGTTATTATTGGTCTTAGAGTCATTAATTTCAACAGACGAAAATGAAGCTCACTTCTTACGCCTGGCACAAAAGTACATGGTTGACTTAAATGAATGTGAAGAATCTGTGTTATTGGCTGAGTTCAAGTTATGGCAAAGACGTTTAGAAAATATTAGATCATCAAATATACCAAGAAATGCCATGGAAGCAATATTTTTATACAATAGACAAGTTTATCCAAGTGTATTTAAACTGCTACAGATTTTTGCAACTTTACCAGTATCAATTGCATCTAGTGAGATGTCGTTTTCAAACTTGAAAAGAATAAAGACATACTTGCAAAATACAATGTCACAAGTAAATCAACATTGGTTAATTTATTCTTTTATTATAATTATGAGTTTTGAAGTTTTTTTTTTTTTTTTTTAAAAAAAATATAGGGGCAGTTAAATGGTGTAGCTATGCTAGCTATCCACAGAGAAGTTGGAATTGATGTCAATGAAGTGATCGACGAACTAAGTTTAAAGAAGAGGCGCTTAGATTTTTTACTATAGGTCTATAGATTTAATTTAGTTTAAAAACTGTTAATATTTCAAGGTAATTTTTTTAATAAATATTAGTAATCTGCAGTATTAAGTAATAACCTACAACTTGTCTATTATACCACTTCCACGTGTTTCAATTGTAAGACTTCTGTCAATTCCTAACATAAAAAATATGTTAAAAAATAGGTTCTATGTATTTCTACAACAGTTAATAATTCTAAAACTGTTATTTATGAGGTTTAATAATAGTTGGACACCCACCGATAAATCACCTAAAATACGCCACTGGGAGTTAGTGTTGGTCATGCAGAAACACAAAATTTCACTTCAAAACCCCGAATGGTTACCTATCCAGAAGTTAGCGACGATGGGCAGTGTTTAACCGCATCACTATTACGGCTAACCACTGTGCATACAAGTTAATTTTTTTTTATTACACAAATAAATAAATGCTTAGTCTGGAATATTATTATATTTGTAATGTACGACCGGTTTCCAATTAAAAATGCATCATTGGATACATCAAAGTTAATAAAATAAAGGAGTGTGTTGGTGAGTTGATTCTCGAGACTTCATTTATATATTAAATCATTCCCGGGTCATTTGAGGAACCTATCAGTTTACGAGCCATGGGGGCGAATGCCCCCTTCGCCCCCCCCCCAAATATGCCCTTGATGGAGACTTAAAAATATTAAGTACCCAAAATACTATTTAAATTAATTCAGTTTTAGAAGAACTTTTATTTTTATTTTTTTTCACTGTTTAATCGATAGCAGAGGAGATAAAAACATTTTTGAATTTTTAATCCGAAATTAGTCATAATAAACAAATCATAATAGTCCAGGCAATGCATTTATTTATTTATTTCTCCATAGTTATTATTTATTTATATATACTAATTATGTAATAATTTAAAAATATTTAGTAATCATTGATATTTTAATCGCCTATTTCACGTTTCTATTCAATTAATTTATCATAATCATATCCACCAATATTAATAGAATATTTGATAAATATCATGAAATTCTTATAGGTATTAACGATATTTTATCAGAGAACGACTACGAAGAAAAAAAAAAAAATACATACACTGTTTGATTTTTCTAAATCTTAAAGTATAATATAATATATTATAAATATTATTTTCCCAAGCGGTGATTCGATTAGTTTAAAAGACAGACTATTGTTGATATTATCTGTCAAAAATCTTTTGGATAAAAAATAGTTTCGTCACCCAACGTATTCGGACTAGAGCTCTCTATTTCACGTGTAGTTTAACTAATGAATAAACGTGAAATTAAAATTCACGTATGTATTTGTGTGAAATAAATTCACGTGAATTTTTGAATTTACTTACATGTAAATTTGTGAATTTAATTTCACATGAATTTGTTAATTTTGTTAAAAAATCACGTGTTTATTATTACATTTGAAATTTTATTATTATTGGTTAGTAGTACGAATTTCGTACTGTTTGTTGAAATATCCACAACGTGTCTGTCGTGTGCGTAGTATTTAAATTAATCCTAAACGTCTCGTTATTTTATAATAATACTGTTTATGAAACATTTATTTTTAGCAGGGCTTGAAATCGATTTCAAATATCGATAAGAATCGTTAAAAATATTTTAGAAAATCAAAATCAATATCAAATTCGTTAATAGTTGGTAATGATTTTTAAAATTTATATTAAATTTGAAAAATGTTATAATTGATATTTTATACCAAAATCAAAATCATTTTAATAATTAAAACGATTTTAAATCAAATAATTTAAAATACAACAGCTGATAGATCTATTTATATTGTAAATTCGTAGACGTTGCCATATTTGGTAATAATATTGATTATATATAATAATAAATAAGTAGTATCTATTTCGTTTCCTTAGAATATTTACGTTAAGGAATGAGCGTTCGATGAGCGATTGTTGTTTTTATACACTTTTTATACACACGATTTATTCCGTATAATAATATATATATATATTAGGGTGGCCCTTATTTATGAACTTTCAAATTTTTAATTTCTCACCCTTCCAATTTTTTCATTACCAAATGAAAGTTATGTGGGCGAAAATTTGGTGATGATTAATAATCCCCTTCAGGTGCCGCAAGAGGGTTGAATATTTACCAAATAGGGTGGTTTTAGGGTTATTCTGATTTAATTCATTATATTATATCAGGTATTCTCTAAATAAAACGTCCAGACAAAATTTCTCGTAAATCTATTATTTTCTGTGAAAATTAGAATAAAATAAAAATGATTACCTTTTTCTGAAAAAAAAATCGAAATTTTCTATATATTTTCTATATGATTGCTTTTACGATTACACACTTACAAATCTTCAAAGATGAAGTTAAATAAAATTGTTTAAGACTAATGTACTATTATATAATAGTATATAATATATAATATAATTTACAATTATATTAGTGTAAAAACCGTCCGCGCGCCCGCTCGAAGGTTAATTATATCTTATTTATATTTGTATATTTCTTATCGAGCTTTTCTTATTCAGTTATTACACACTGTCACATCGTGCATTATTATCTGTTTATATACTGTTCATCATTCAATGTTCATAAATCGCAATACCGTATAGCATTTATGCTTTACATTATTTTATTTACGAATAATATTTTGAAAAAAGTGCATAGTTCTAAAAATTAATATTGAATATTTATTATAAAATGGCTTCATCGTCATCACATGTTGTTCTACGTACGCATGATGAAGTATATTTAGTTGGAAATGTGAACAACCAAATCGTTGGCAGTAAGCTACCATTTATCAAACAAGTTTTGAGTGTGCTATTTTATAATTTGAGACATGTAAAATTGAATTTGCGGGAAAGTGCAAGATTGGTATTTAAAGAATTAGTACTATTTTGGCAAAAAGCGAGAATACCAGTTCGAGATGAACAGCATTGTATTTTAAAATTGGAAAAATTATATCAAAACTTACGAGAGTTACAAAAATCGGCTAAAAGAGCATCAGAAAAAAATACTAAAAATGTCAATGAGTTCAAAGAAAAATTAAATAACTTATTTGATGTATCTCATTCAAATGCATTAAATATGATGAAAATTGAAGAAGATAAACAATTTTTACTAATGCAAAGAGAAAAGGGAAGACTGGGATGCATGTTGGGAACTGATAGAAATTTGGCAAAAAAAGAAAACAGGGCCTTTGTCAATTTACATAAAACCGAACAACGCCGAAAAAGAGCGAAAATAGAAATTGAACAATTAGGTAAGTAATTTTGATAAATTTACAATTTAAATAATATATTATAAACTACTATTTAGTATTTTTTTATTAATTAAAAGTATATTTAAATTTAATTTGTTTAGTTCACACTGTACAAATAGATTTCAATACTGATGGCAGTTCAACTGAAGAAGAGCTTGATATAAAAGAAGAAGACTTAACATCAAGTCCACCAAGTCCATCATGTAGTAAGAAACAGAGAGGATCAAGAGATCTTATGACTCCTAAACTACTCGCTGCATTAGATAAATGTAAGTTGAGTGATCGCGATGCTGTTCACATAATAATATCAACTGCTGACGCCCTAGGTAATGATGTTTCTAAATTAATAATAAATCGATCAACAATTCAACATGATCGAATAAGGTTTCGAGAAAATAAAACGATTGAACTTAAAAAAAATTTAATTTGCTAGAAAAAGAGTCTCTTGTCTTACATTGGGATGGAAAACTTCTACCAGATATTACATATGGAAAATCAAAAGTAGATAGGTTACCTGTAATTGTTTCGTTTGAGGGAATAACTCAATTACTTGGTGTGCCAAAGCTCAAAAGTGGTACTGGAGAACAACAAGCAAATGCAATATTTGATATTATAAATGATTGGGGTGTAACAAATAAAGTACAAGCTTTATGTTGTGACACGGCGGCATCAAACACAGGTCGGTTAAATGGTACTTGTATTATATTGGAACAACTGATAGGACGAAATCTTTTATATTTACCTTGTAGGCGACATATATTCGAATTACTGCTAAGAAGTGTTTTTGAAGTTAAATTAAAAATAAATACTACTGGTCCTGATGTTCCTATTTTTAAAAAATTCCAACAAGCCTGGCCCGAAATTGAATTAAAAAAGTATGAAATTGGAATAAATGATGCAGTTGTAAAATCTACAGTTGAAACAAATAAATCTGAAATTATAGACTTTTGTTTACAAAATTTAAAAAAAAAACAATGTAGAGATGATTACAAAGAACTTCTAGAGTTGACTGTTATTTTTCTAGGTGAAAACCTACCAAACGGTATATTTTTTCACTATCCTGGTGCTTTTCACCATGCCAGGTGGATGTCAAAGGCAATTTATTCATTCAAAATATATATGTTTCGAAAACAATTAAAACTTAATGTTCGAGAAGAAAATGCATTTCGAGATATATGTATTTTTCTAGTTACGATATACGTAGAAGCATGGTTTAGATGCCCTGCTGCAATTGAAGCACCTTATAATGACTTCATATTTTTAAAAAAATTAATCGAATACCCAGATAAAGCTATTTCTGAAACAGCTACACATAAATTTTGTGGACACTTATGGTATCTTACGCCGGAAAGTATAGCCTTATCTTTTTTTGATTTTCGGGTGCCAACCGAAATTAAAATTAAAATGATCGAAGCACTTAAATCAACGCAGAACAATGATGAAACAATTAAAAAAATTGTTTTGAGTAAAGAGGGTATAAAAACATTTATAAAAAAAGAATTACATGAATTTGTATCACCAGAAACAGTCAACTTTTTTTCAAGATTCAAAATTTCAGCCGACTTCATAAATTTCCATCCGGATAGTTGGAAAGAAAGAGAAGACTATAAAAAAGGAATTTATATTTTAACAGAGTTATCAGTCATAAATGATGTTGCAGAAAGAGGCGTTAAGTTAATTCAGGAATACAATAGTATACTGACAAAAGACGAAAATCAAAAACAATTTCTACTACAAGTTGTAAATGATTATACAACAAATTACCCTGACTGTAAAAAAAATACATTAATTCGATCATAATTAATAGATATATTATATATATAATTTATTTGAATGTAACGTATCTAATTTTCACATTGTATTACTCCATTGAACCACTACCTATTTATTTTTAATGACATCAATATTTAATATGTACTTGTGTAGATAAACGATTTTTTTTTTAAATTACGTTTTTACAGAAAATAATAAATTTATTAGAAATGTTGTCTGAACGTTTTTTATAAAGAATACCTGAGTCTACAATTTAGATTCTATACAATTTTATGCTAAATGAAATATATAATTAATTAAATCAGAATAACACTAAATCTACCCTATTTGATGAATATTCAACCCCCTTGCGGCACCTGAAAGGGGTTATTAATCATCACCAAATTTAATCCGCATAACTTTTGCATGGTAATGAAAAAATTGGGTGGGTGAGAAATCAAAAATATTTAACTTTCTTTGCCCCCCTACTATATAAGGGCCACCCTAATATATATATATATATATATTCCGTATAATATACTATATATAGATATTTTGTAGTGTTTTATTATGGATAAGATATTATTTTTAAGATTATTTTAATACTCCATTGGTTGTCACCCGTGAGTTATACTTTTAACCAATAATATACAATCAAATAATCTAAAATAGTTTTATTTTGTACTTCTGCAGTTTTGCAAGGCGTCATCATATTTGTCCCACTTATAATTTAAAACATTGTTCTCATATTTAGTTAAAGTATGTCTGAGTCTATGAATAAAAAACTTTATTCTACATTTTAATCATTTTCTTATATCCCTAGTTTACTTCATTTTAGCTTCACTTTCATATTATGTTTTTTCATTTTTGAGAAACTTTAATAATAATAGTTTGTATAATATGTTTTATAACTTAGGTAATAAAAAAATGAATTTAAATATATACTACCTACATCAGTTGCTTTTCGCTACAGCCTACAACACTATTACACTGATGATGTACTAAAATTATTATAAGTCATGCATAACATTCTGTTGTGAACCCGAAATCGAAGAAAATAAATTCCGATTTCTGAAATTAAAATTGAAAAAAAATGAATATCGATATTCGAAATCAAAAATGAAATTGCAAAAAATAAATATCAATATTTGAAACCAAAATCGAAAATAAAAAAATAAAAACAATAATCAAAATTGAAATTAAAATCGAAATTTTTTATTTTGATTTCAAGCCCTGATTTTTATAATAATAGCTATAAGTATTTTTAGTTTTTAATTTTTGGTTTTTGTTTTAAGCACACGTGAAGTAAATATCCTTGATTTAGTAGTCAATTACATGAGAATTAAATTCACGGTTTTTAAATTTAACTATACATAAACAAAAAATACGTGAATTTTAATTTACGTTTAAATTCGAGAGCTCTAATGCGGAAGTGCAAAAAATATACTTGTAAAATATAATTGTATCAATGATGTATTCAACTTCAAAATGTCCAATATCTTAACGCATAAGTTATAAATTACACTATATTTTACCCAAATAATAGATTGCAATTATACATGATGTATATGTTAATCATTTGTATACACAAAAAGACTTAACTTGAGTAAAAACACCGGAATATCGTATGTAACAAAATATTCAGTATTTTATTGACCTTTTCAAATTTATGTCTCACCATACATTTTATACGGCATCTAAATCTTTAAAGATATAATTTCTTCAATATATTATATGGTGTGATAATAATATCAAAAATAGATCTTAAACTCATCGTGTATAATACATATTCAAATTTTAAATTTTAAATCACTGGAAAAAAATATTAGAAAGATTACATATACCTATTTATAAAAAAAAAAGTAATGAAGTAGTTATAAGAAATACAATTTATAGAAATAAAAATGAATATTGGATTATTCCAGTGTTTGCTAGTTTTTATACTAATGTGGCCCATAAATATCTTTTGTGTTTGACAACACTCAAAAAAAACACTAATATGCTTTTAAATAAGAATACTATTAATTACTCATATTTTATTATAAGAAATTGCATCGTATATTTTAACGCAACGCTGAAAAAATGAATTTTAATATAAATACATATTTTTATAACTAAAATATTATTCTTGTCCTTAATTTGTCAATAACAACGACCCATCATACATTTTTCAACCCAATGTTAAGTCACAACCTTTAGGTTGGGAAACGCTGGATTATACTGATCATAAAATAGTTTATTCTTAATAAATTATTTAAATGTTCAAATTAAATAACTAAAGTTATGCTTTTATGTTTTTAGATTATTTTTCATCAATCTATGAAAAAGAATACGATCATTATGTCCAAAGAATAAAAAATTTAGGTACTTATTTACTTTTAAATGTATTGCTTTTAAGGTTTTTTTTTATTTTTATTAAATATTAAACCATGAATTATGTTTTAAAATTTTAACAAGATTTTAGTTTTTTTTACAAAAAGATTATTTAAATATTATTTTTTTTAGAACAGTAGAACAATGAATAAGACCATGGATCAGTATTTTATTGTTTACCTATACATATAAAATATTATTATTGCCAAAACTAATAGGTCTCAATTGTATTTCAAAAAGTTTTGCGTGTTTTGAATTAAAAATACATAGTTTAATATAATAATAACTTTTCAGCTCATCTAAAATACTTACAAGTTATAAAATGTAACAATCATTAATCAAAAAATAAATTGTAAATATACAATTGAGATCAGAGCCGTTTTTAGGGCCTAGGGCAAATTAATACAGTTTGGAGTTAATGATGATACCTAGGTATTGGACTGATGTATTCGAGTTTATGTTGTGGCTGTTTATCTAAAGTTGTTTTACGTCATTAGTGATTTTGTTACCAAAGAGGATTGCGAAAGATTTAAATGGATTCAGTGATATTCTCCATTCGTAAAGCCATTTAGAAGTAATATTTAGATGCTGTTGGAGAAGATTTGCAGGATGATGTTTGCCCATGCTTGAACAGAAAAACATCGTATCGTCTACAAAGATATTTGTTTTTAGTTTAGGAGAAGACGGCATTTTGTTGATGTAGAGTGCGAAAAGTAGCAGCGAGAGACAGGATCCTTGGCGGACATCAGTTGAAATGTGCTGTGAAGCAGAGTATGTGTTTTCTGATTAGACGAAGAAGTTTCTATTGTTTAAAAAGGAATGGATGATGTTGATCATGTGAGTGGGGATGTTTGGCATGATGATTATCACAAGGAGTCCTTGGTGCCATTCCTTGTCGAACGCTTTCTCGAAGTCGAGAAAAACGGCTGTAATGTGCATTTTCCTGTTTATGTAAATGAATAAAGAGTCAATGAGGTTTGTAATTTGGAGACAGGTAGAATGCCCTTATCCGAAGGAAAGTTATTCGGGTCTGATGATTGGGTTTATTGATTTTTGAGGAATATTAGACGTAGCATTTCGAAAAGTGTTGATATTGAATTTAGTAGAGAAATCGGTCAATGATTGGTTGGAATTCTGCGGTCTTTTCCAAACTTAGGAATTATAATCACGTATGCTAGTTTCCATGATATAGGAAAGTGAGCTAAACAGAGACAGAAATTTAATATTTTGGTCAAATAGAGAATTACTCTGTTTGATGTGTTTTTGAGTGCTGTGTTTGAAATTTGGTCAGGACCGGGTTAGCACTTGTTTTTTGGCAGATTTTTAATGGTTTTTTGCACTTCGAATGGAAAGATTGACTTTATATTGTGAGGATGGGGAGTGTATAAGATAGAAATGATTCGATTTACCTGCGAATCAGTGGTATTTGAACATAAGGGCAGGAGAACTAATTTTCCAACCCTGTGGCAAGGAACTCCGCTTTATCCAATGGTTCGTATACTGTATTAGATGAACCAAGTAATGGTTGGTCGCTGAATTTCCAGTGCAATATTTCGCGATTGATCTTGAAAAGTTTGAAGTCGTTTGGTTTAAGGTTCGAGATCAAACTTTGCCGGTAGTTGAGTCAATATTTTAAAGTTTAGAGCGAATAATTTCTGACTGTTTTTCATCTGTTTCTTGTAGTCAGGATTTCAAATGTTTTTCCAGCCTGCGGGGACAGCTTTTTATAGAAATATCATTAAGTATGTGAGAGGGCAGATCACGAAATTCATACGTAGAAATAATAACTGAGGTAGATTGAAGTGCTTGATGAAATTTGGATGCTATATTAAATGCTTCATTATTTGGAGAAGCTTTGGTGGAATCTATGGATTTTGATCAGTGACCGATTTATGAAGAAGGAATTATAGTTTATCCCAGTTTGTTAATGTTTTAATGTAGGTGGGTCTATGGATTATGGTCGGAGGATAGTTGATTTAAATTCTTTAAAGTGCAGAAAAGGTTTGATGAGCGTATGATCACTATATCAAGTTATCGGGCCCGTGATGATGAATATCGGGAAAGTGGGCTGGTGAGTCCGGAGGGGCTACGTTATATGCGTGTTGTTCCTATGTAAAGTTAAATAGTTCTTCCTGTAGTGTTTAGTGTGTTGCTGTGCCAAATAGGGTTTTCGGTAAGCAACTGTATTTTTGATTAATGGAGTGAATAATTTAGTGATTTGATGTAGAATATTGCGTTTGATGAGTATGGCTGATTCACCGCAGTGGGAGTATCCAGTGGAGGGCCAGCCATTTCTATATGTGCACACATTTAGAATATTGAATTTCGATTTTGAGTTAAGATGAGTTTCATTGAATAGGATGATATCGATTTTTTGTTGAATTATCAGTTGGGTGATTTCTTGAAGTTTATGACTAAGGCCTTAGCAATTCCAATGTATGATTCGGAGAGCGTTAGAAATTTTGGATAATTGTTAATATGACTGAAAGTACCATGTTGATGGTGATTATTGTGTAAGCTGATTCAGAAATGTTTAGGATAGTTTCGGTCAGTATATTTAACATTTCAGGTTTCAGAGAGTTGGATTTAGGTTCTTGATAGCATCAGTGAAAAAAATAATTTGGGGTAGGAGTTATAGTATTTTTTGAAGTGACTCCTTATGAGAAATGTAGTTTGGGCATTTTCGGTAGTTTTCCGTATGTTCACTACCGCAGTTACAATACTTGGGAGATTGTACAACAATTTTTTGGGAGTCTTTTGTTGGGTGATTACAGCGAATTTAACACAATGGGTGACGTAACCACAGTGAGCCAGGGAGTGGCAGAATTTTTGGCATGAAAAATATTGGGAAGGGTCTTGAGTGTTGTATAGTTCAACTTTGATCATGATGTAGAAGAGAGATTATAAATTGAAAATGTCTTTCCTAATGTTGCTGGATGGAAGGGTGATCATATACGAGTACATAGGTAGACGTCTACCTTCTTTGATAAATTGTTTAATATGATTTATTGTGTAGCCTTGAGATTCAAGTTCAGTCTTGACAGCGACCTCGGTGATGTTGCTTGGTATGTCGTGAAGGAAAACTTTTAGTATTCTATTTGTTGGTAGAGAAAATTTGTGAAACGAGGATTGTCTATTGAAAAGGTAGTTTTGAATAAATCTGAATGACTCAATGGATTTTTTTTGTAATTTAATAGAGTTTTTGGCCAATTTAGTTGTTAAGTCTTCAGGAAAGGTATAATTGAGGTATTTTGCAACTTTTTGCCATTATTGAATCTCCAGGATGATCGGAGGAATTCGAGTTTTTTGACTAGAAGGAGGAATAATGTTAGTTAAGGGAAAATTTGAAATAGACGAAGGGGTTAATGAAGTGTTTGATGAGGAAATAAACGATAATTTACTAAATAATAATAATTAAATGGATATTGATACTTCAACGGAAGGCGTCGGTAAAAGATGAGAGGAGCGTTAACGACCTTGAGTGGAAGTTCTTTTGCTTTTTTTAGGAATGGGTTCAGGTGATTTTGTAGCGAACTTTTTTTGTTTGCTTGAGATTCTTTTGGTCATGGCAACCAGGGGAACTTAGATCTACTATGTGACGATGTGATCTATGCAGATGACATACTACCTAGTAAACAGTAGTTACTGAATCGCAGATAAAAGTTGGACGTGAGCCGCCGTGTGTCATGACGATGTCAGAGCGCGGCTTGACGATGATGGGGGCAAAAGACGAACGGTAAATTCAGCAATTGCGACGGACGAGTTATCGAACGTACGGTATATGATGAACTGTAGTGATTGTTATTGTTGATGAACGAAAAATTGACCCGTACTTATACTAATTTTGAAATCAGTATCATGTTCTGATTAGTAATTTCTCCACTTGATGTTTGCTATGCATTGGCAGTTTCGTAACGTCAATTTACGCTTGCCGACGTCTCGTTGTTTCATAGTGTAGAATATTATGGTCCTATTATAGACCGTTTTATGAATGTGTGGTTTTACCGTCACACCCAAATAGAAGAAAAATAAGGGAAGAGAAGAAGATATTTTATAAACAGCCTTAAAATAAAAAATCTGATGTAAATTTGGATAAAATTATGTCATTCTTCACATTCCGACCAAACCTTTATAAATTATATAAATATAGCTAATTAATTTTTTTTTTTAATTAGAAAATTTAACCCATCTAATAGTGCTTAAAAAATTATTTTAATAAATTATATTTAATAAAATGTATTAATGTTTCACAAATAAAAATAGTTTAAAAATAGTATTTTTATATCAATCATCTCTAAAGGGTTATGCCAAGTATTTATAATGAATTTAAACTTAAAGGGGGACCCCCTTTAAATTTTACTAGACTGGAGTGGGTCTGAGGAAAAATAGTCCCGTTGCCACCCCCCCTCTCCTACGACGGTCTTGATTGAAATTCTAAATGCCATATTATTGTAGATGATACTTAATCTTTCGTATTTTATTTTATTTTATTTACCAAAAATATACTTATTTTACAAAAATATTTATGAAACAATTATAATAGTGTAGAGGTGCCAAAATTAATATTATATTTAACTTGGCTAAAACATTACCATTAGTTCTTAAGGCCGATCTGAAACAAATTAAATTATAATACGAGTATATGGTCTTTCAAGATTACAACCTCATTAAATAGAGAAGATTATCTACCTGTTAGAACCGAACTTACATCAGTGAATTAATCATAATTTGGTTCTAATTATTAGTTATACAACTTGGACATTGAAAGATGGATGGGTAAAAGAAAGCGCATGAATTAAAAAATACGAGCGACTGAAATACACAAAATTCAAATGTACTCGTATCTAAATACAAACCATTATTTAATCGATCATCTATTTTTTAACTAGATGTACAATAAAATTAAAATATTTTTATCTTACAGTAAAGTTATATACGTACTTTTCATTGTTTTAGTGCATAGAGCAATGTTGAGTCGTGATTTTCAAAATTTTCAAAGCATTGGTAAATCATTTTAACTACTAGATAATGTAAAATAATAAAAGTCTTTCAAATCGCAATATCCTTAATGTGAAAATTGTACTTTGATCAGAATCATAGAACCTGATTTTTTACTTAAATTGAAGAATTTCGATTTTAATATATCATATGCAATTATTGAACATCGAACATAACAAGTTATCGTAATTTAATCGTATTTACACATGAGTCATTTTTTAAAATAAAAAAAAAAATTTTAATGACCATTTAATTCTTATATACTGTCAGATGGACTATGTACAATATAAAAACATAAAAATGTATATTGGTTGATTATTATTATTAATGTTTAGAATTTCCAAGAGTATTCAAACAGTACGATGAATTTCAGATGAATGTGTTGGAAAAAGGTATCTATGTATTTATAGTACAGTATATTTTCAGCATGTAAAGCAAGTGCCTCAATAGCATAGATATTACCGAATGATCATTACTTAAAACAACATTTTTGGTTTTGAATATTAGATGGTTTCTTTATTTTCATCATTATCATAATAAAAACTAATCAGCTCAGTTTTAGTTACTATTTTTATTCTTTTACAATTCATGAAATTAATCTAACAGTTTATATCATTTTACCAGGTGCTACTAAAGTAATGAATGAAGAAACTTATATTTTACTTACAAATGGTATGTTAACATAATATGTATCTTCGATTTTAGTGGAAAATACCAAAAACTAAAATAGCAATTGCGTATATAACAGAATTTATTTAAATATAATGTAATGTGCATGTTTTTTTTATAATAATTATTGTCTAGACAAGTAATCTGTAACAATCGATGTTTATTTTGCTTAATTATTTCAATAGACTACCTACAAATAAATATTCTATATGGTACGGTACTTTTTCATTATATTTAAAACTCTCATTTGATTTGAAATTGAATAAGGTATTTATTCTTTTATATGGACGAAGAGAGAACAGGCATGGTACCAAGGGAAGTCAAAGGGGCTATACCCCCTTCAGAAAACAGTTGATCCCCATTGCCAGCCCTCCCAGTGAAAAATATGTGATATAATAAAGTCATAAAACATTATTTTTAAAAGAACTACATCAAAAAATTTTTGAAATATACTTTTTAAAAATTTGTAATATATGTAAATAATTTAGTATCTTCAAAAATCTGTATTCTAAATTTTTAGATAGATCCTGAACTGAATATATTTATTTTAATTGTTTACTTATGGTTTATTACCATTTGTCCATTTTCATCGAATTGTGGCTCTATACCTATCATAAAATAATAATAGCTGTATTATGTGATATGATACGAAAATATTTATATTATATTTAAATAACATCAGTATTTGTTGAAAAAACCTTAGCCCATGTAAAATAATATTTACCCCAATCTCCCCCTCCCCTGAAAAAAATTTCTAGTGCCGTGCCTGAGAGAGAAAGAACAATAATTTATAGAATACAGTATTATAGTAAAGTGCTTTTAGACTTACCGATATCTTTAAATATGATGTAAAATATTGGGAGAAGATTGAAGAAAAATAATATAAAATTATATTGATTTTAATTGAACCGTAGTAATAAAATTATCACTGAGAGTATAATGAATGGACTTGTATTAAGTCATGGTTGTATTAAAGATTTAGACAAGAAATTATTACATGCATTGCAGTTTAAATTACGTTAGATCAAAAAGATGAAATTATTTTCTGCCAGGAAAGAAATTTAATTTCAAGTCTAAGAATCTGTCTCAATATTTTGTTCTGATTTTGATGGAATAATTTTCACTGGACGTTTTTTTAATTGAATCAAACAGTGCCTTAGTATCTCTACATGGATTGATTCTTTGTAGTCTCTGTTTAATACTAATCACATTTTATTGTTATAATTAATATCCAACGTAATTATACTATTTACAGCTTTCTTTCCACCAATATACGAAGACTCCGAAAATTATCATAAAAGAATGACAATTCTAAGTAAACACTTTATTAAACTTATAAATTCAAAACAGTACAGTTTTAATGTAAATGTGGGTGAATATGATAATCTTTCGAGATGATTATAGCTGATTTATTAGTTATATTTTTAATATTTTGGGTCCAATAGTATACTTACATTTAAGAATATTACCCTTTTTTGGGTACCAAAAATAATAATAATATAAAATATGAATGTAGTGGTCAAGTGGTGACATTACATTTTTTACCTGACACCTATTTTATTTTTTTAAAATAGCTGTCAGATCAATCATGTATCAATATTATTGATGTTTATTATACATTTATGGACTAGGTACATGATTTTAATTAAAACTGTTTTAATTTTCATTTTACAACCATTCAAATACCAATTATTTTAGAGAATCATGTCATGTCGAATGAAGAGTTTCAAGAATTTACCATTAGTAAGTTTTTATATAATCTAAACATTATATTCATTTATCATAATAACCTTAAATATGCGATTTTTAACTACAGTTATTTAAAATAATCCATTATGTATTACATGATTTTCTTAGTAATTGTATCCTTTTGATATATTGCAATTTGTTAACTCGATTCTTCATAATTTTTACAGATTTTCCATTAATATCAAAATCTTACTATGCGTATAAGTCATGTTTGCAACGCGCAGGTAAAATTAAAAAATATTGATCATAAATATTATACTGCGTAGGTTGTCCAATAAATAAGGTGCATAAATCATTTAATAATAAAAAATAAATTTATTCCTTTAAAACTTTTACACGACTAATAAGATACATTTTACTTTTTTTTCTATATAGCCACCATTCAAATTGATAAATTTTTTCCAACGATGGAGTAACTTGAAAATGTCATCTCGGAAATACGCAGTACATTTCCATAGAAGTACTCGGTAACTGCATTTATGAGCTCATCTTCATTTTTAAAATTAATTCCTCAAAAATTTTTTTTTTAATGAACCGAACAAAAAAAAAAATCTAATGGCACCAGATAAAAACTATATAACGGATGGTACAATATTTCCCACTTGTATTTTTCCAACTTATCTTTGGTTTTTGCTGTTGAATAGGGTTGCATTGTCATGCAGCAGTTTCATATTTCCTGTGCGTAAAAGCCCTCTTATCTTGAAGTCAATTTTTCTTTCAATTTTTCGAACGTTTCAATGTATCGGTCAGCATTTATTGTTTCATTTTTTGATGAAAAATTCACTATGATATTAAAAATTTGATGATACGTCACGAAAGCAGTTACCGGATACATCGATGGAAAATGTACTACGTATTTTCGAGATGGCATTTTTAAGTTACTAAATCATTGGGGAATATACATTAATTTGAGTGGTGACTGTAGACAAATAGTAAAATGTATTTTATTTATCTTGTAAAAGTTTAAAAGTAATAAATACATTTTTCATTATTTAGTATATTTTTGTACCTTATTTATTGGAAAGCATACGTAATATATTATTACTAAAATGATAATGATGCATATTTTTTAATATTTTTTTTTTTTTATTCAGCTAGTATTTATAAAATACTTTATATAATAATTTATATGAATGTTATTTTATTTCACTTAACGCTAATACTAAGGTGGCAATTTATGAAAATGGTTTTATAATATATTTTAATATATAAAATTTTGCCTAATGAGTAGTATTGAAAACGATATATATGTATGTATGTATATGTGTGTCTGTAACACTAAATTATTATTTTATATAAAAATAAATATAAATAAAACAAATAAATAAAAATAAATAAATATCCCATGGAATACGAGAAATATGATAAATATCAAATACGGTCATATGGATTTTCTGAGAATAATTCGTGTTATAAATTAGAATAACCAAAGGAATATAAAATCATTTGAAATGGTAGAAAACTTATCAAAAGATATATTAAGAGTTTTTTGTATAGGCGTAAGTAGATAAAATATCTGAAGTATATAACTTTAACCTCGTATGTTCCATTTGGTACAGAAGTTAAGGAGTATAGTAAAATGATAGGGTAATAGCAGAAGATAACGAAAAACGTCTTAGCGTCTTTATAAAATTATATTTGATCGCTCATCGTAAACATTCAAGAGTGTCGAATTTATATCGTGAGTATTTTCCTTTACCTTTTCACCTACTAGTTTTTTTCGGATACATTTTCTTCTATCAATATTGTATAAAATATGGAATATATTTTAATATGACAATATTAATATTTGTTAAAGAAAATCATTTACTGATAGTCTAACACATTTTAATATCTAGATAATATGTAAATACATATTATAAACTCAAGTGGTATACGAGTATAAGCTCTTATCAGTAGGAATTGATAGATTTATTATTTATCTATTATTTAACTTAATTTAATTACATAACATAGTGCACAATATTTTTATGTCCACATAAATATTTTAATAAAGTTTAATTTTTGTTAAATTATTTTATTTACAGATCGTCCGCAAAAAGCACGGATCGGAGTAATATCGTTCAATGATGGTTTGTACATTTTGTAAATTTGTAAACCATTTGTAAATATTAATGTTTTCAATGTTTAAATAAAGTAAAACTACAGGGTTGATTTCACTATAAATAAAGCAATCTATAACCAGAAATGAATAAGCTATTATGAATTTCAAGAATGCAGATTGATTTTAATATGAAATAAATGGAGGTTTTAGTTCAGGAAATGTATTTGGATTCATTGAACCAAACGTTGTGATATTCCAAACGTGACAAGCACAAATATTTAATACAAAAAAATGACCTATTTATTAAAAATTACATATAAAACCATAGGTGAACCAAACATTTATACACTACAATTTATATGACAATGGACTTATGAACAATTCATAATATTATAATTGAGTGATCTAGGTCATTAGTAAATATATGTATATGTTGCAGTGAAAGACGAAAATTAGTGAATGAGTGTCATTTACCAAAATAATTCGATTTTGTAGGTAAATTTTATAAAAAACCCATTTTAAACTCAAATTTACATCAATCATCGGTCATTTACGTCATTTACAAAAACTGGTGGTAAATTATGACAAATTTCAAATAATACATCGGTTATTTTACTATAAGTACTATTTAAAAATAATTTATTATTAGTGGGTGTTTCATTTTTTATTTTAGGTACGTAATTGAATGAAAAGTTAGGTTAATTGAAATTAATAAAATAGGAGTATATTATGAATTATTTTTTTATATAGACAATGACATTTTGATCTGCATAACATTTCCGCTGAATTGCAAGCACATTTTTTAGTTCTACAACCGGTTTAACAGTTGCATCGATTGAAGCCTTGATAAGCGGTTATTCCTTGTCCTGCGCAAATTTATTTTCTTATCCTTAATCTTTTTATGGTTTCATCTAGTGTTCGAAGTAGGGGGGATATGGAGGGATGGTATCCCTCTAATTTTTTGTATTCACAGTTTTTATCTCTATACTTGTTTTGTCTAAAATAACACATTCCTCCTAATACTTGTATTTTAAAATGATATACTTATTATCATTTTTATATTTATATATAAGACATTTTTTTTTCGGTGAAAAAAGGATAATTACTAACAAGTTTTTACGTGTACGAATAGAACAGGGTGATTTAGCATCGATTGACCAAAGCATGGGCAGTGGCGTACCTAGGCCTTTCTTACCGTTGGGAGGGGGGGGAATAATATTTTCACCCAATCTTAAAATATAAAATTTCTTAAAAAAGTAACATCATGCTACAACAATTTTATTATTACATTGAGCTCTTTTATATTTCTAAAATATAACATTTTAATATATAAAATTAAAATTCATATAAATAAAATATAATGCATGTTATGTATTTATAACACTAAGTCCAACTTCCAGTTTTTCATACAAGAAAATCTTTTAATAATATCGTTCACTGGTATACTTATATTCTGGTAAATATGCTACAGTGCATAAGCATTCCTGGGCCATTTTTGAGCGTAGCAATGTTTTAAGCCTACAGCACAAACATAAAGCGAATAGTATATATATATATATATATATATATATAATTAAAAATCAATAGGTAGGTATTTACAAGTAAAACTATGTAGGTCATTAATTGTATCTTATTTTAATAAAAATATCTATAGTATTATATTCTGTAAATATTGGACTATTTTTAAGAAATTTTTTTAAAACTAAAGTACGAAGTAAAATAGCAGAAAGCATTAAATTACTTTTTAAAAAGAATGTTGGGTCCTACAAATATTTTAAAAACTTATCTAACCATGTTATAAAGCATTATAATAGAATAAAAATATTAAACAAAAAAATAGATAATAGCAGATAAATTGTTACCGTCATAGTGTAGAAAAGGATCGTTTAGCGGATGCTACACTAATAGGCAAGCAAGCAATTATACTAAGCAATTTTTTGATATTAGGAAAAATTATTACACAGCAATTTTCAATACATTTAATGGCATCACAGTCAATACATTCACCTAAAAATATAAGAGAAAAAATAGTTGTACTTTTATTCATTATTCAATTTTAAAAACTCCGCTGGACTGTTATATTCTCCCAAGCCTTTCCAACCGTTGTAGTGGTTGGTACGGTTACACTACTATTTCCGTATAATGATTGCTTGGCGTATTCAATCACCAACCCAATCCTTTTGACCACACTATGTTTGATTAGCTAGTAATGTGAACCCGTGTCTACGAGTAGACTCGTCACTGCACCTAGTATGGCGCCATTCTTCAAGTATTGGTGTGGGTTGTCGACTGAAATTCCAGTCGTTGTCACATTTTTTTTCTACATTGCTCCCTTTTGAACAGTCTCTTTTCATATGACCTTTACCATTGCAGCCATAACACGCTATCTTCTCTCGACGCTGAACTCAATCACGTCTGACATGGTCAGTCTTGTGACAAAACCAGCACTCAAGCTGTTCACTACTTGGTGATCCTGTATTAGTTGTAGGAACCCTAGTCTCCCGTCGGTGCTGTGCTACGTACGTACAACGATGCTTGGTTCACAGTCATCGTCCCATTTTTTTTTGACCTTATAGAACTGTAGTTGAACTTTTTACCTTTTTGTCGACTGGTTCATCCTTTAAGCTAGTTCCACTACGTAGAGCATTCAGCCTCTCTCGCTCTAGGAGGTCCCCGAGTAACTCGTATTCATCTTCGTGTTTTTACCCAACGTGAAAATGGCCAGCTCTCGTAAATACACACCTTGTAATACGTGGGCCTTGATTTCATCAAAGGGCAGCTTCAATTCCCGACACATCCTTATTTTCTCGTGAAAGAAGTCAAAAGTTTGTTCGTTTTTCAGTTAGATGCACTTCAGCATTTGGTTCCACCTGTCTGTGGTGTGCAGTTCTCTCACAAATGTTGACTTAAATTTCTTTGAAGAATCGTCCCAGATACATTTTGTAACAGCAATCAGCGTATTGAACACGTTATTTACTATCAGTTACCATGCACAACAATAACAACTCCACTAACCAACTACCGAGTACCACGGTACTGGTCACCAGTCAACGACACATAACCTCACTTTACGAACGTTTCTACGACAGTAGCGTTAACACCAAAACGTCCCAACCCACGTGGATGATCAACCGGCGAAAGTAATTCTTGTCTCCACGATCACTCGCTGTCCAAAATCCGTAACGGTAACGCTGGTGCGCGCTCGCACAACTCGTCGTGATTTGACTCCGAACCTTTTCGGTGAGATCAATATATCATAGCACTATACAATGGCGGCGTGAACTTGCGAATACGTTACTTCCGTTCGATCTAACACAACGTCTATACGCACTCGTGAATTGAACGACATTTCGAATACCACTTCGGATGTTATAAAATATAAATAAACCTATTAAAAAAACTTTACAACAGTATAATAAATTAATCGTATAATAACATTACTAGTACTAACCATTCACATTTAACCAACATTTAACTTTAAACAAGGCAATGTCACGTGCACACTGAGAACAACCTCACCGTGCACTACTACATCACACGTCTCGACTCTAATGACAATCTCTCTAGCTATTACTCACAGTAAGACTCCTCTAGACTCCTCACAGTGTGCAGTGTCGCTACCCTTAGCCTCACATTGACATAATAATTTTGATAACACAACTGTTAATGTTATTAAATAATAAAAAACATCCTTTAGAAATAAGTGTGATAGCTTATTATATTTTTAGGTGCCTTAAAGATTATAGATGAGACGTTATTCAATTCAATTAAGAACGGTAAACCATTTTAATATATATACATCAACTGTCATCAAAATTAAACCTATTACCGTCAAAAATTTATTTTATTTTTTTATTTTTATAATTATTCAAGTTTTATAATAATTTTATCATAGTTCGTTTCTATCATTAATTTCTAAATCTTCCTTATTGTCGTAATCCTAAACCAAATTAGTGCTCCTATTTTTTGATAATGATATAATTTCTCATCCTAAAAAAAAAAAAAAAATAGAAAAATGTAATTGCATTAGATCAATCAGTACTTTTATGATGCCTAAACATATCTAAGATTGAACTAGGAAAAAGTGCATAGTGGATTAAAAATCTTTTAATTTTTCAGCTTACTTTCCAAAAATGAATGAAACCTATGAAACATACAGTAAAAGAATGATTTCGATTGGTAAATAGTTTTATATATATATATATATAATATATGAAAGCTAATATACAAGATAGATAGTGTTTAAATATGAGTAGTCGTTTTAATATTTCTATAATTTATTATATCCCATCTATTTTTCGTTGAAAATGAGAATTGCATATCAATCATATGCTAATTCACCTTTAAGGTTTATTCACACATATCATTCAGGAAACGGTGACGCATCCGATCAGAGAAAATATACTCATCGACGATTTTGACCGATCAGTTAAGTGTATTTCACACATATTAGTCGCCGAGGCCGATCAGTTCCAAGAAATCGGGTCAATTGTGTCTGTTGTACCAAACGGGCGTAACACTAGCCTATCAGTTATTGGTGATAAAATATTATTTACAGACTAGTCGCCGCTATAATATAGTATCCATTATAGATGGGTTTCTTAAAGCTCAAAATAAAATAATTTTAGACATTTAGCTTACATGTAATTTAGAAAAAAAAACAATTGTTGACAGTCCTAAGCCTGTAATAATTGGGAAGGAAAATAGTGAATTAATATGTAATAATTAATAATTATTATATAATACATATAAAATCATACATTATTTTAGGTTGTACATAAATTATTATACAATATACATAGTTATATATACATATATCATTTTGTGCACAATCGTGTTGCACCGGTACCAAACACATTTACACATAACACATTAAATAATTGTTGTATATTTTTATTTATTTAATTTAATAATATTAAAATTACAACGTAAATATGTCAAATTTCACTGACGAAGAATTATATATTATTGCGATCATTTTGGACGAGGAAATCGAAGAAGAAGAGTAGAAGACTCCGAAGAAACGAAAGTGGGTGTATGAGGCATAGCAAAATAGAGACAGAGAAGGAAAGCTCTTGACACTATATATGTCTAAACATTTTGGATTTGAAAAATCGTACAGTACTTCATAGTTTCAAACACATTCGATAAGTTGTTCGTCATCCATTTCGCCTACAATTGTCGTCCGTCAAAACAAAAAATATCATTGACGATAATTCAAAAGTTCTCGGATCTGTGACTGAATAGATACTAACGGATCGGATTCGGATAGAAAACTAATGAGTGTAGATGACACCATATAAATTTAGCGAAAAGTTATTTCCCATAACTGAGACTGACCCAACTTGGAACTGAACCGTCTCATAACTGATATGTGTGAATAGACACGTATAACGTGTGTAAGATTTTTATTAAAAAATATAAATATGTTAGCTTAATAACAACTACTTATGTTAATATATTCTAAGAGTTTTACTATGTTGAATTTATTTATTTATTTTTTTTTATATTTTAATACATCCTGCTTTACCGATATTTTTAATATATTTTAGGATTTAATCCTTTGGCAAAAAAACAATTCCAAGATTGTATTGATGGTAAGATAAATGTTTTTTACTATTTCACAATTGCACAATATCGTACACTATCATTATTTTTAACAATAACAAAATTGTAAGATAAAATTGAAATAGAAGCAAAAATTAAAGTTTCCATCTTAGTTCATTTTTATCATACATGCTGCAAAATTATAAAATAATTTTCCATTAATTATATCATAAAATTTAAGTATAAAACAAAATATACAAACGTAGGATAACATTTAAATACACATTATTAATGTGACATTAACATTTAGTTACTTTATTCAAATAATTACTACTTTTTATACATATACTATCTAATCCGACAAACGTTGATTTGTCATAATATTTATTTCTAGAGAATATTTTACTAGAAAAAAAGAACTAAATTTAATATAAGTGTGTTTAGATGTGGTATATAAGTGGAAGAGGTATGGAGTGCTGTGAACGGTGACGAAATATAAAAATAAAAAAACATCAAACATTTATTTTTTTAATAATTTATTAAAATTGATCCTTTAAAATTATATATATCGCTAATTATGACAATTGTAGTAATATTATTAATCCCTTAATGCAACAGAGTGTACAATATTATTTTTTTTTATCCCATCTTTCGCCAACACAAACAAACTAGATGGTTTGCCCAATCGAGAGCACGCTACCTATAATTGTCCGTGTGAAAAACATGGTGTGCTCAAATCTAAGCCACAAACATACATCGTTTGGCCTTGAGACTTATTGATAGTCATTTCAAATGCCAATCTAATTGGAAATTGAAGGCGTTTAAATTGAATTGACACATTTATGTGTATAATAAGGATTCGCGGTAATAATATATTTTCATCTCGGCATTTACCATTTAAAATCATGGCTTCGATAACATTTTTCATTAATTTTTTAATAACTAATCGCGTGCCGTTGCATAACCATGGTGGGTTCAAATTATGAAGAAAAATAACCGAAGATCCAATCTTCAGTTGTAAATTATGCAGTGGCATGCCTGATAAATCCAATGAGTTTAACTCTGTTTTTAACTCTGTTGGATAATTTATAGCTTCAGTAGCATACTGAAGTACGCAAACTGTATCAATAGATTTGTATGACACCAAGTCTCCTGATAACAAATGTTGTATCTTGAGATTCAATTCGTTGACGTCCATATTTTTTGCTTACAGTAAATTTGTAAAAATATAGGTGATTCGTTTGGCATTGGCAGCAATGAGTCCACTTTGTGATAAATTTGGCCTTTGATTTTGAATTTTGAATTGAATTGTTGACCATTGTAGCATTATTTCTAATTATTTCTGTTGCTCCGAACGATGTCATTTGGAAACATGAATTAAATGTCCAAATTAACTTTAGGAACAGATTAGAATCTAGATTCGTGCCGATAAGTAAACCGTTCAATGGTTCAGCTGGTGTCTCAATTGCAGGTAATTGTTCCTTTCAAAAGCATTACAATGCATACATTCTTTGTCCATAGCACCAATTACCACTTTTTAATGAGCATAATATTGAATGTCGGGCTCAAACTCGAATGCTAGACGCAGGAATGAATTAGAAGTAAATAGTCGATGCACTTGTTGGCGCTGTCAGTTACTTGCTCTGCGTCTACTAACTGTATAACAGCGTTCTTGCCATTGTTCTAATCGTATTTGTTCATTTCGTTCAACTCGTCACGCAATCGCGCCATGTTCACACGCACATTAGTATTATCTTACTGGATTTGGTCTTCTGTTCTTTGGACTCTTGTATTTCGCATGTACGCAGATCTACGTATTTGACGGCTTAAAGAAGCTCCTCTGCGTCTTGCTGACATTGTACAAAACTCACAAATAGAAATAATTTAATTAGTTTATGATGAAAAAATTAATTATACAGGATATTAATTATTTACACGTACGTGTTAATATTATTCAAGTACAAATTAAACGAAATACCAATGAGAAATATAAAAATAGAATTGTTTAATTATTTGTGACTAAATATATGACTGATCATAATAGGTCAGCCAGCTGTCTAGTTTCATTTAATACCAAAAATAATTAAATCATTTTTAATCGTTTTTTAATAGTTTTTTTAATAGTTTCATTTAATAGACTGGTATCTATTGCACAGTTATCGACTGGGTAAACAATTATAAAATTAAACTACGTTGTAGTTACGACAATAGCACTTAGGAGTTTAAAAAAAGGATAAGAACTTATTCGCAGACCTATCAAATGTATACACAAAATTTAATTAAAATCAGTTTAGCCGTTTTGGAGGAGTATGGTCACAAAAACTGTGACACGAGATTTTTATATACATAGATTATATATTTTGTTATATTCTACATAGGTGTAAAATTAATTGCCGAAGATTCATCCTCACTCTTGAGATGATACTTATATTTTCAGATTATCATAAACTATTTATATGCATTTTTCAGTATATCCAAAGCCATCGCCACATTTTAGTACTTACATTAAGAATCCAGAAACAACAAACAGTACGTTTTAATTTATTTATTCATTTTTTTTAATTTCAATCGTTTTCAGCAATTATGAAGCTATTATTAGAAACTGTTTAGGTGACTTCTGCACAGTGGCGGTTATAAGAAAGGGAGGCGATTGGTGGATCGCATCTTCCTTGGGATTTAGTTTTTTTTAATTTATTATACCGCTGGTTTAACAACACTTATCTGTAAATTTTAAATAATTAATGTAAGATACGTTTTATAAGTCAATATATTTTTTAATACATTACCTAATATTCAAATATATTAATATAATTAATTTATAAGCGTTATTATACATTTATATCAATAATCCATATGTATATCTTATATTATATTTCTATAATATATATGGTTAAATGCTTTTGGGTGGGGGAGGGTTGGCTTTGTTTTTGCCCCATTCCTAGAACATCATGTATAACTGCCACTACTTCCGCAACTTCTGTAATTATTAATCGCTGTGGGTTTTTTTCAAAACTGAGAATTTTGTCGGTAAAAATTCATTGGAAAAAAACAACAGTTATACTTTAAAAATTCGTAATCGAAATCACAAATATTTTTAACATAATGAAAATACTGTTATAGTCACAATGGTTACGAGATTAGACTTCTTTGGGTTTTGAAACGAGTTTAAAAAGTTTGAAAATACTACAAAATTAGTAAATATATACATGCGCTAAATAAGTAAAACTTTTGTGTGACACATGCAATACTCTTATCACAATAGCACACATCACCATCGGCTACCTCAAATATGCTACAACACAGCATCTTCTCAATAATTCAACATCAACAGAAGTAACCTGAGTTAAGACCAAGGAAACACTGCAAACATTTTTAAATTTTTCATACAAATTAATTTAGACAAACTCCTGAAAACTAATTAACGTACGTGAAGTTGCCCCCTCCCTCATTTTGTCCTATCGGTTTCAAACATAAAACAAATAATTGTAAATGCAATTTTGAAGTTTATAAATCCTCAGGAAACTCAGATAATCAAAATCAAATTATTATAATAAATTATACTATTACTATAAATATTATTATTATTGTTATGGGAGGACATAATCATGTACATGGTTAGAAAATATTAACAAATTGGTTTTGACAATTACCAAATCATCAATAATTTTAGAAAACAATTTTATATTACTCAATTCGCAATATCGATATAATAACTACTTAATAATATAACAAATACCAGGAAATCATATTTTCCCTATAAACATTTTGAAAAATAATCACATGAAGATTAATGAGACACATTTATTTTCATATTAAAGCAAGAACTTCATATTTTTATTACGGTAGTGTTCCTTTTTTTGTATACTCGTATTACTGGTCTAATCACCAAATTATTCTTTAGATAAGATATTTATAAAGATTATTATTGTTCATCTATTGACACGACGGGTGGCTTGATTAGAAGGTTCAACAAATCTAGTCATAATATTACGTCTATTGCTATATTTTAAATCAGTAGAAAAAAATTTAAAACAACTAAAATGTGCTATTCTTTGCCACGAGAGAAAGCCAATAACTTCAGATAGGTTTATCTTTCATAATTTAAACAGCATTGATACTAACACAATACTATTCTGAAGTTCACAATTAAGAAACACTGCTCACATAAAACAAATATCCAAAAAAAAAGTAATAAATCAATATTTAATATATTCAGTGAATTACCTAAAAACCATTCAACTAAAATGGATATTAATAAATCGTATTTAAATATCATCAACGAAAACATAGAAACTAAGGATAAAATATTACCAAATGCAATTAAATGTGACACGTCGGATTCAACTATATCTTTTCGTTCATTATTGTCTTCGATTTCTTTCAATTCTAATGCGAGTATATCAAAGAAACTAAATAAATTAAATACTCTATTAGACACATTAAATGAAAATAAGAACTGGCGTGGGCTTGAGAAGAAAATTCATAATATTTATAGTATTGAAGATAAACCAAAAATATCTCGACTAACAAAATATATACAGTCAAATAAAAATATAGAAAATGTATTAAATATAAGTAAGATGAAATCTAACCTTAATACTACATAGATAAACGGTAATAACTCAACTGGTTCAACTGATTCAACCATCATGGATAAAAAACAAAAACACTTTGTAAAAAACACACACATTTATATATATATATATATATATACGATTTAGTGGCTGTTATTACTTCTACCGCATATATAGATAATTCTAAACATAAAATGTTTATTGACTCAAATAAGTACATTTTTTTAAATATGTTGAAAGACATTTGCAACTAACGGGATAATCAAATTATTAAACAAAAATGTTTCAAAATTTTAAAATCTATATTTTCTGAGGACATTTAACTATCAGGAATCGAATCAATAAATTCTGATTGCAAAGTAACATATATGATGACAGAAATATTAAAAATTTTAAATAGCTAATGACTATACTCTATGCACTAACACATTATTCAAAAATAAAAACACTAAACATTGAAATATTGTATTGAATCACCAAGATTTAATAAAAATTAATCATTTAAAATAAACTTTAAATGATTATGTAAATAAAATACATTATACTTTTTATCAACCTCATTGCAATGAAAAAAATGTTAACACAAAATTCTACAACATCGTTTATTCATCGAAGCTGATCAAGTTGAAGACACATGTGAATTTGAGATGACCGATATTCCATCAACGGTTAAAATTGAAAATGAAATGTAAGATTTTTTTTGTTGCATAATTATTGCATCTTAAATTAAAATTATTTTATGTTTTTAAATAGATTAATATTAAATGGGATTGTAGAATATAGTGATGGGCATTATGTGAGTCACATTCTATTTACAAATGGATAATGGACAATGCCCAACGATTGGGCAAAAAAAAAAAAAATTAACTATAACTCCTCGCAAATACTAAAAGCTTCTCCTCGTTTAATTGTTTATACTAAATCGTAATTGTTAAATCAATTTAATTGTTCGCTAAAACATCTATTTTAATTATTTTATCATAAGACTAAATAATTGACTATTTTTTTATTTTTATTTTTTTTTAATTTACTTTTATTCGCACATTACAGCAAAGCGATTACTTAAACGAAAATAACAATGGTACTAATTAATGAATAATAATAAAAATAACAATCATACTAATAAAATACATAAGAACAATTAAATTAAATTAAGAAGCCAGCGGAATAAATTAAATTAATGATGGAGTGGATAACAGGTATGGAGACGAGAGTTAAGAATAAGTTTGGCATCGGGAGTTAGATTAATTAAACGAGTTCAAGGCGATAGCGAATAAGCAATATTGCAAATCAGAGATAATCAAAAAATTATTAAATTCAAGGCAGAAAATAAATAGTAAAACATAGCCTAATATTCAGTAGTGAAGGAAGAAATGAGAGAGTTAATCTTACTGAAAAGGAAATATTGAGTGTAAAGATATAAAAGGAAAAACCAGCAGAACTAGTAGATACGGAACCATTAGTGAAAACTATAGTCTATTCAGAATAAGAGTGCCCGACCGTTATCGGCTTCTCGGAAGACATGTGCGAGCTTAGGCACTCTAAATCTGAACAGACTATAGTAAAGAGAGTATAGTAAAGACTATAGTAAAGACTATTGAAAAGCATATATTCATTGAATAAAGATTCAACTAAGGTGTGAAAGAGACGTGATAATTTACTAGACAAATAACCAAGAAATTTAGGAGCGACAATGATATCAGGTATAAATAAAAGTGGAGGATATGGGGTGTCATAAAATTGTAACAGCAGGCTAGAACTGTAGATTATAGGAGAACAGCTATGAAATAAATAGGTGACAGAAGAGTGGATAGGGAGCGTTTTAGACACATAGGACCACGAAATTTGATGGAAGAGAACAATTGAAATATAAAAATACTGGATGAGGATAGAAATTTAAATAAAAATTTACCAGCAAGGCGTTGGCTTCACAATTCAATCGGAGGACAGACACATTCTACCTCTATGCAAGCAAGAAGAGAGGAGTGAAGGGCGCCAATGACAGTGCGAAAACAAGCAGATTGAATTAAGTTAATTTTTTTTCCCGTGTGAAAAGGAGGCCGAAACAAAAACAAAAGAACCGTAGTCTGATTTAACTCTGATAACAGCATTAAAAAATTTTTAAGGAAATGAAAGATGTGAGCCCCAATTAGATCCCGCTGTAGCACGAAGAAAGTTGGACCAACGAGAAAGTATATCCTTAAGATATTGAAAATGTGGAATCCATTTTAGTTTGGGATCGAGCTTTAAACCTAAATAGGCGACAGAAGAAGATGGTTGAATGATATTGTAATCTAGAACTAAATGTGAATGAATACGGGTAAATATAATAAAGCTGCTTTTCTCAGTAGCTTTTGTGAAGAATGAAGAATAAAGTTGAGAAGAGAGCATTTTTAAAGCGCTATTTGAAATATTGATAGATCTATCTAGATATCTGTGTGGAGAGAAAATAACAATGTCATCAGCATACAAAAGAACTTTGAAATCCAGTGAAACTAAAGACAAACATATGGGAGACATATAAACATTGAATAGTAGAGAGCAACTCCCTTGAGGTAAGCCTCTAAAAGTTGAACTTCTTAAGATGAATCCCGATGGGGAGGAGAATTTAAGGAAACGAAAAGAAAACAACGAAGAAATAAAGTTACAAACCAAATGAGGAATGTGAAGTGAAATGAGTTGAGAGATCAGAGTGGGGATGTGTACGGAATGAAATGCCCCTTTAATGTCTATAAAAGCGGCACAGAAAAATCTTTTGTTGCAGAAGGTATCATAAATTGGGTCCACAAGCGATGACAGGCATTATATTGTACCAATGCCACGTCGGAACCCAAATAAATTGTTAGGGATGAGATTTTTCTTTTCTAAAAACCAGTCGAGACGTATTTTAATTATGAATTCAAAAATTTTGCACAGGGCAGAGAATAAGGCAATGGGTCCAAATAATGAAGGATAAGAGTTGGGCTAAGGAATAGGAATAATATGACACCAATTCCTAGAATCCGGAATCGTGCCTGTGACCCAGATATCGTTAAGAATACGTAATAAGCATTCTGCAGAATTATTAGACATATTTTAGAGGATTATAACTGAAATACCATCAAGACCAAATGCACTTGAGAAACGGGAATGGATGGCCGAAATAAGCTCTTTGCGACTGAAAAAAGCTGAAAGAATGTGTGAACAAGGATCGAAGTTTTCTAGATGTGGAAGAATACATGGACGAAATTCTTAAAAAGAAGGAACATATGGTGGAGAAACTTTATTACAAAATGATTCTTCATTAAACGAAGGGGCAGTCCGGTTGAAGCAGTTGTTAAATTATTTTTGCCGTAGCCCATAGGTCCCGAATCGGAGTTAAGTGACTGAAAGTAGAGCGAAATTCGGACCAAGAATTTTTTTTTTCTGGTTTAAGAATGCGTTTAGTATAGGAACAGGCATTTGGATAGGAGAAAAATCCATCACAGATCCTGAACTCCTATATTTTTTAAAGGCCGCAAATCGATTTTTTATAGCATCGGAACAAGCAGAACTCCTCCATATTGGAGAGATAGAAGGAATCCAGAAGATATGCGTTTAGTTGAGATTGCAATTCAGGAGGCCGTATTCAGAAGAGATATAAAGTTGTTGTAGTTGTATATTGGAGAAGAAGAAAAAACAAAGGCGTTGATGAGAGAATCTAAATGAGATGAAAAAAGAAACCAGTTGGCCTTTGAGTATAGAAATTTAGGAGTTGACGGGCCACGATCATTTGATGTTGTGGGAAAAGAAGAAGGAGTAACTCGATTATTACAGGGAAATGGTCGCTACCATGTGGGTCATTTAATAGATGCCAGGCGAATGACCAGTAGAGAACGGTGGCAGAAACGGTTTGATTCACTGCAATGTTACAGAAAGGCGGACGGTTGATACGTGTGAGAACTCCTGAGTTGAGGCAACACAGATTGAAGTTGTTTCTGGCAGAAAATACTATACTACTGCGATGATTTAAATTATAATTGTTCTCCCAGGATGGATGGTGGCCATTTAGGTCACCTCCTAAGATAAACATAGGGTCGATAAGTTAAAATATATCATTGAGTAATCCAGTAGGAGGTTTGAAAGAAGGAGGAATATATAATGGCCATAATTTTAGGGAGTGTTTAGTGTTAATGAACGCCTCAATACCAACTAAATCGATGGATTGGCGAGATAAATTGATATTCAAGGAATTTTCGACGGAAATATTTTTATTTGTATAAAACAATGGGCGGCGATGGCTACCATAGCCATCAGCGCAAACCAGCCAAAGCCAGGTTTCAGATAAGAGAGCAATCGAGCATTTTTCCGAGAAAATAACAGAAGGTAAGTCTGGAGAGCGAGAACGGATGCTTCTTACATTCCATTGCAGAATCTAAAAATGATCAGAAGCGCTGAATGGATAATATTAAAATATAGGAGGATTATTGTTATAACGTCTCATCATCATCTGACTTAGGTGTTAAAAAATTATATAAAGAAGACTCGATTAAAGACATAAGAGCAGATGAAGAGAAACTTTATTGATTCTCTTTCTGATTAAAAGAGAATCAGTAAAGTTGGAGTTAGAAGCGTTCGAGACCGATTGGTCAACAAATTTGAAATAACTACCGTTTGATGAGACTGGTGGAATGTTCTGGGACTGGATAAAAGAGGAATGCTGAGAAAAGTTGTTATTTGTAAAAATTAAATTCTTTCTTTTTTTCCGTTTAGGTTAAGAGTTTGAAAGAGGTGGGGAAGAGGATTGAGGAGAGGTGGAGCTGGCTTCTTTTACAGTAAAAGAATTTGTAAAAACACCTTTAAAAGGGTTTGCGACATCGGCAAAAGTGTGGCCCTTGTGGACAATACCCGAACATTTGATTTTGGCGGCTTCCACAAAAGATTTGTTTTCTACATGATCCTTTTGATGTCTTTTTGGGTAGACCATTCAGCACAGGAACGGTCGTAGGCAATATGGTTATAAATTACAATTAAAACATTTTAGAACAGTAGTCAGACGAATTTCGCACGTATCGATGCAATGATTAAATTCACCACAATGACTACAACATTCTTTACTACAACAGTATTTCTGAGTATGCCTAAACATCAAACAACGCATATACTGGACTGGTGAACGAATGCTGGGAGAAACTATATGATTAACTTTGAAAATGCAAATATTTTCAGGGAGTTTAAGTGACAGAAATTTGATTTCTACTAGTTTTGAGGGAACTAGTATGTTATTCCATTTAATATTGATACGGCAAAATCCAATTGCTTTGTAGCAGCACTCTAAACCTTCCCAGAAGCCGTCCTCGAAAGCACAAAAATCGAGGTGTATGACTCCAAAACTATAAATAAGAGAGTTTGGAATACTAGCCGTGAAGTTGTTTTCAGATAGCCATGGAGAAATGAGGTATATATAGGCATTATGTGGAGAGTCAAACGTAATTTTAACTCTGTACGAACCGATTGGTGATATACTGGTTACACTTTTAAAGATTTTAATTAAAAGCTTGCCTAACTTGACAAGATGCAGATTACCAATATTTTTGTTTTCGGTAGACGAAATTATTGTATGAAGGGGGCCGATGTAGTCACTGGAAAATGTTTCATGTGCGTTGAGTTGCTTTGCACCTGATATAGAAGAAACCGGGTCCGGGATAGGTAAATTAATATCCAAATGTTTATTAGTTAGAATATTTTTAGTCTCTAAAGTGCTTTCCGTAATATAATTTTTAAGTGAAATCGTTAATGGTGTGCTTTCAAAAGGTTATAAAGGTGGTAACTTACCCGTAGAAGATTTATGCTTTTTTGATAGTGTATACAATAATGTGGGAGAGTTGGCTTTGCTATTCTTAGACGAAGAAACCGTGTCATTACCATCTTGAGATAACAAAGGGGAGAACCGATTGCGGCCCGGCGAAGGCGGCATGCCGGTACAGGCGACCAGTGCCGCAATAACCGGGTGTGTTGTGTGTGTCAAACACACGGGCCCATGACCCTAGCTTATAAGAGGGCCCAATGATAATATTTTAAAAATATGTAGAAAGCAAGAAAATTAAACCATTTTGTAATAATATTAGATAAGGGAGCGAATAAAAAGTACGCATGTGCAACCCAACTGAATAGTCGCGACTGAAAAAAAAATAAATAAATTGACTATAAATTTCCAAATTCTCAGTTTCCTTGGAATTATATTGTATATAGTATATTAGGTTAATAATATTACAAGTTCGATCTTTACTAATAATAAACTATATACTACCGTAATGTTTGCTAACTATATACATGAAGTAATCCCACCCATAATAATAATGATAATATTTATAGTAATTTGATTTTTATTTTCTGAGTTCCCTCTGCATTCACATATTCCAAAATTTTATTTACAATTACTTACAATTAATTTAAAATTATTTGTTTCTTGTTTAAAACCGACAGGAAAAAGAAGGGGGGTCAACTATCCGTCCGTAACTACCTACATAGAGGTACATTTGTATTGTATAAAATAAACACTAGTATTGTACAAATTCTCACACACTATTTAACACTATATCACTATGGCTAATAATCTTGTAAGAAAAGCCTTAATTTTAATAATAAAAAAAAATCTAGGATTATAACTTGCTATTATTGTTTCACTTATTGATAATTTTTAACTAATAACAGACTCATATCAATGAAGTATACAAATGAATGCAATATTAATAATAATTTATACTTTCTGGAAATTATTATTTTATGATTATTTTTAGGGACTGAAAAATCAAGTTCTATAATGAATTATATTGATACAGGCATGAAGAATATAGGTAAACAATTTGAATTAAGTTAAAATTAAGTTCAATATTACGTCATATTTGTTATTAATTTTTCTGTGACAAGTTTAAAAATAAACCAGGAAAAGAAAAAATATAACTTCTTAATAAAACCACTCAACATGTAAATACTTGAAATTAAATAAAAATATAATCTTATCGATTAAAATTGTTCACGTACGAAACAGCAGCTGGAGAGGTCAAAAACATTTCAAAATTATGTTTATGTTTTTTTTAATTTATTATTGTTTTAGGATGTGTTCCTTTGAGTTATCGTGCATTTGACAATTTTAGACAAAGTAAGTTTTTACTTTATTATTATAGGGACCATGCACGTTATTAAATAGAGCGCCTTTTAATGGTGAATGCACGCGTTACTGGGAGGATTGGAATAAGTATGAATACTGTGTAATGTGTTTCATATCGTCCAACGGGCTTACGAAATATTTTAAGTTATAACACTGACGTATAATTTTACATAAACATAGATAGTCCATAATAGGTATTTGAAAATTAATTCTTATCAGATTATATGATTAAAATTTATATTACAATTTACTAATTAAAACCATGATAGACTATCGCTATTTTCAAAATAAGAAATGAGTAGGTAACGGATTTTATTGTAATAAAAACAATCAATATATTTACATATATATGTACCATTTTTTCTCAAAATATGGAATAAAAAATCCAAAATAATTTAATATCGAAAAAATATATAAGTATTAAAAATTACAAAAAATAAATATTTTATTTTGAAAAATGTATTAATAGTATGTAAGCCACATTCAAATAATGAAATCACTTATTTCATGAACTGGATATCCAGATAGTTAAATTCTTTCAGATCGTGAATTATGACGAAAATACATTAAACGGATATCCATTTCATGAAACGGACAGTACTTATATTGTGCACTTGTGTAATTATTATAAAACCAGATATCATATAACTATATTATTAGTTATATTTTTATTATTTAATTATTATATTTTTAATTATTAGTTATATTACACTATATATTTATTTTATTTTTTATAAACCATACCCGTACGTATATTATTTTTTATAAACAACAGTGTTACCTATGAAATATTATGAAATATTTATAATACTTCATAACTATACCTATATACATTTTTCTTCTTTATTATTTATTTTTACATGATAATTGATCATGGCATCGACTGTTACATATCATATTGTTTTTAAAACAAACATATCTACTTGATTGGCAAGGAGTTTTTACCTTACATGAATAAGACAAAAATCCTTTTCCTCCTGAAATTTTTTTAATCATTTCTCGTACCTAAAATTCAACATTTTTATCAACTTGGTCAGTAGTGAGCAGGGACAGGAACCGAAAATAACCGGTCCTGGAATCGGAACCTTTTAAATAAAACGAACCGATACCGGAACCGAAAATTTTATTTTGATAAATGAAGTACCGGAACCTAACTGGAATTTTTAAAATATAAAGGTTCTTTTTGGTTCTGAAATTAAATAGTTTTATTTAGCAAAAATTATTTGTATTTACTACTTTGTTTATAAATAATCATGGATCCATTCTCATTATATTTATACCCAGAATTATACAAAATTCTTATTCTTATTCTTTACATATTTAAAATTATATTTTTGAAGTGTTTATTACGTGTATATTTATCACAAAATAATATTATACAAAAATGTTTTTCTCGGTATATAACATAATTAGAATCAATATTATCTTCCAAATAAAACGATGATAGACATACTATCCGCTATTGTAAATTGTAGTTCATAGTTTATTAACGATTGACGAGTATTGTAAATATTATTAACTACTGTTTCTATTATTCATAATTTAATTATTTTTAATATATTTACTGTATCAAATTTTTAATTTAAAATTGTGTTTTCTTCTAAATTCTGATACATAATTATTTAGTTTAACCATTTATAACAGTATTAGGTACTGTTTTGCGTATTTTATAGGGGGTAATGTTGATTGTCAGTAATATATATTAAAATAATTTTTCGTTTACTAGGTACTATACTACACTAACAAGTGGACGATGGTATATTATAGTATATTCACTATTATTTTTTTCATTGATAAGAAATAATATTATATTTTACTGATAACAGAAACCGGTACCGAAATTATCTGGAACCGGTACCTTTATTAATTTTCATCATAGAACTGGAACCGAACCGTAACAGTTATTCTATTTTCTGAGAACCAGTACCAGAACCGATACCGATAAATTCAAACGGTTCCAGTCGCTGGTAGTAAGATATTGAGTTGTTGATTTTTTCAAACATTCACTACTAAACTATCCTTTAATTAAATCATATTTTGTTTTCAGTTTATGTAATCCTTTTTTTTTTTGTTCCGTGATCATACAAATTATGTTTGGAGGATTTGTAGATCCCTTATGAACTTTTAGCACTCCAAATATAACACATTGATTAATATCAAAATCGTCAGTTATTCTGTTGTTTCTCTGTTAAAAATAAATTTAAATTAAGATATAAAAAGTAAAAAAGTAATATAACTGTATTCTATTATCTACCTTAATCATTTTTTTTGCAGCTTTAATTTGACCTTCATGTTCAAGTTCACGTTGAATTTGTATTTTTTTACTTGAATCGCATAATTGGCAAATATTTTCATTATTTTCAGCAATCTCCGATAGAAGTAAATTCACTTCAACTTTACAAATGCTGCAGGCAGTTGAGCGTTTTTAAATTTCCTTTATATGAGATATACATATGTTTAAGATCATCTTCAAATCAGTCGGCAAATTTGATGTACTAAGTCGAATTTCTGGGACATTTCCAAATAAAATGTTATAATGACTACGTCCAATTGTTCGGTGAAATGAACTATTTTTTTGGAATTGAACAAAATTTATTCCAATGCTCCACTTTTTAGATTTATTATCAGCCATATGCATAGTAGAGATGGGCAAAAATATCGATGTTTTAGGTCGATATATCGATGTCTCAACAAAGATGATTTGTTTTCGATTAATAAATTATACATCGATGTTTATGTTTGAAAAGTTCTAATTTTTTTTTGTATTATTTTTTTATGTAGTACTTATACAAAAATTGTTATACAATTATAACCAGGACTCGTAAGTTCATGCACTAAAAAACGCATAAATAAGCATGTAATAATGCACTTATTTGATCAAATATGTATTAAAAATCCTTAACTATGCACAAAAAAAAAACTTTTAGGATTTTTTAAAACAATAAGAATTATCTTTATTTATGTTTTTAAAAGTTATATTTTTTCTTATGTTACATTTTATTAAAATTATAATTAATGAATACACGTTGCGACGAAAATAGATAGATTGCAACGGACACGTCAATAAAAGAAGAGTGCCAGTGGTGCGCAATAACATCGTTTTCGTGGTACTGTTTTTAACTTATAAAATTTATTGTCATTAAAAAATAAAAATATTGATAAAATACTAAGATTTTATAAACAAGTTTGAAAAAATAAAAAGAATGAATTCAAACATTTTTTGACTTTTTTGACAAAAAACGATTTTGCTGAATTTACATACAATAATATGCGCTAATAACTCAAAATAATTCAATTATATGCCAAATATGCTAATACACACAAAATGCAAAAACATGCTCTATTAAACTTTAGATTTTTATTATCATTGTTATGAAACAGATTTTTATCTCAATTACCATATTTTCCGATGTAACAAAGAAAACATGCAAATGCATGAACTTACGAAACTTGATTATAAGTATTTAATATGTTTTTAAAAAAATATAAGGTAAACAATAATATTTTAACTCTTAAATTTATTATTCAATCAAGAAAATGGTATACTGTACAGATAATAAGATGTGCAACAGATTGCAACTCTAGAGGAAAAAAAAATGTTTCGATGTTTTTTCACCGATACATCAAACACATCGATATTTTAAAATCGATGTTCTAACAATTTAGCCCATCCTTAATACATAGCATATCCATGCTCGTATTATGTGTTCTACGTCCTGATTATACCTCTCGATACTTTTCTGGCTTTGAGGGTGTCTACCCTGACTATGCACGATAATACATTCTGGCCAAAGGTCTTTAAGTTCAATGGTTACTGAATTTACAAAGTTGGGGCCATTGTCACTCTGTAATATTTTAGGAGCTCAAAACATCAACAATATGGATAATAACTCATTAGCAACTTCAGTTGCTCTTTTACTTTCTAATGGTCTAAGAATTACACATTTTATCGCATGGTCTTGGTAATTTAGTATCCATTTAAATTTGTCATCTGATACCGATTGAAAATCCACCAGGTCAATTTGTGCTCTTTCATTGAAATTTGCAGTTCTGATGAGTTCTATTATAAGTTTCCTATTCATTGGATTTTCTACAATTACATGTTTCACACGCAATTTTTTCATCATCTGCATTTTGTTTATGTATTAAAAACTATTCTTCTGCAATACTTAATACATCATATTTACATAGTAGATAATTTTTTCGTCGATATTTTTTACCGCTGTTAGAATAAATAATAATAAAAAAGATTACAACTTGTATCAATTATCGAGTAGTTTTTTATGGTTATTTAAACGTGTTAATATTTATATTTGATTTAAATAAGTTAATTTGTATTTAAGTCCAAAATTACTTACGTTTTGATTTTAGCCATTTCTATTTTAGCAATCATCTATATTTGAGAACATTTAGTAAACGTTTTTTTTTTTTTTATTTATTTCAATTTATAATATACATCTAGCTCAGTGGTTCCCAACCGGTGTGCCACGGCACATTGGTGTGCCGCGAGCGCCCTTTAAACGTACCGTGATAAATCTATAAATTGTTTTATAAGCATGTATTTACCAGCTTATCATTGATATTCAATATGAAAACTGATCGAAATAATCGTAGATACACATAATATTATTCATTGTAAGTATGCCCGTCGCGGCCGTCTCGACCGATCGATTGATCGATTGTATTAACATATTTCACAATAAACAACCCTCTAATAGAGTATACTGTAAATAGTATACATGCATGTATATATATAAATTATGTTTCACATAATTTATGAATTAATGTGCCGCGAAAATTTTGTTGGAGATGAAGTGTGCCGCATTGTTAAAAAGGTTGAAAACCACTGATCTAGCTTTTCATAAAATACGTTCCTTTCTTCCATTTTTATTTAAAATTCCTGTATAAAATATTAAATACACGTACAAACTGCAAGCACAATACCTAGTACATGTGTTAAACACTAACACTCACTAAATGTTATGTGTTGAACAACTTAGGAGTTGGTTACATAGGTATTCGCCAACGGTCATCCGATGTGGAAACATTCATTTGATATAGGATATGGAATTACCAAAAATAAATTTTATATCACTCTCATATAATATAGATCACGGATAAAACATTATTATCTTTATTGATATTGAAAAGTATGGTGTGTAAGCTATTTATTGCTAAATAACATAACAATTTTGTTTTATAATAATTACACAAAGTGCACAATACGAATATAAGTATTATATTTGAAATATTTTCGATTGAAAAACATGTGAAACTTAATATTTTGTATGTTTCTATACATATTACTACAATTGACCACATAACATATTTTTTTACTTTTACTCGTTTTTAAATAATATTAGGTCAACAACAAATAAAACACAACTACCAACTACACAAGACGTGACAACTGACAAATCAGATATCAGAAGTCACTTTAAATTTCAATCAACTGATTACTGAATGAACAACATACTTGTACATTATTATCATTGCCATGTTTTTATAACATAATAACTGTCATACATTTAATCTTGCTCTGGGGGAGGGTTAACAAAAATAATCGTTATCTTTTTTTTTTTCGTTGCACAGATAAATAACTGCTATAAATAGATATTATTTTATACAAATTTTTTACCAATTTAAAGCTTACTTTTACATTACAGTGGGTCAATAACTATTGGAATATAAAAACAGCATAGTTAACAAAACTTTTCAAACACCTATCAATATAATTATTTAATTATTATAATATTTGTATATTTGTATACTTTAAGTTCAAAGCGAAATAATGAAACTACAAATATATACATGTCATCAATAATAAAACAATTTTTTTTGGCCCTGGGTGGGTTTGAACACGGAACCCCTCTCCCCACTTCCATCCGTATGTACGTTACTGGACATTGGTACGTGGTAATAACTAATAAGTATGATTAAACGCTGTAAATTTTTTAAGTAAACAGTCTTATTTATTTTTATATAACGAATACAACTGTAAAATCAAAATTCAAAAATCAAAAGAACTTAATGAATTATGGCCATTATTTTGCATGACCGCCAAGCAATAGTGTATAGGAGTATCCTCTAAGTAACGTCGACATTTTCACCTAGGAGTTCTAATAAATAACCTAACCTTGCAAACCGTCTATATATTTATCTGAATAAAATATTTGTTTCAGTCACATATTTAATAAATGTATAACTATTTTTATTTTTAGCTATCCCGAGAATCTCACAAAGTTATAATGATTATTATAAAAATGTAATAGATAAGGGTAATTTCATTTTTAAAACAATCATTTTTAGTTGAAGTTTAAAATATATATATATAACGAATTAAATTAGTTATCTGAATAATTTATAAAACATTTTCATCCATGCAACTATTGAGTTATACTTATGAATAATGAATTGTGATGTTTATTTAATTGTTGCAACCTATAAGTTGAATGATATTTTACAATAAAATATTAATTATTATAAAATATTATTTACATCCAATACGGTCTATCCAATTTATCCGGTTACAATTATTCATATTATAAGATAGAAGATCTAATAATGGCTTATATTTATTTTTTAGGCTTCATTTTAATGCTCAATAAAAACCAATCTGAAGCAGTAAAAGATGGTAAATTTACTAACTGAAATAAAATTTAAAGTATTCTTAAATTAAACTGAAATAAAACTTTAATTTAAGAATACTTTTTTTTAATCAATTTTAACATTTTCATACTCCATAATATTCTTATAATATCATTACATATTATTACACCATCGATAGAGGCAGTGGCGTATTTTGGGTGATTTATCGGTGGGTGTCCAACTATTATTAAACCTCATAAATAACAGTTTTAGAATTATTAACTGTTGTAGAAATACATAGAACCTATTTTTTAACATATTTTTTATGTTAGGAATTGACAGAAGTCTTACAATTGAAACACGTGGAAGTGGTATAATAGACAAGTTGTAGGTTATTACTTAATACTGCAGATTACTAATATTTATTAAAAAAATTACCTTGAAATATTAACAGTTTTTAAACTAAATTAAATCTATAGACCTATAGTAAAAAATCTAAGCGCCTCTTCTTTAAACTTAGTTCGTCGATCACTTCATTGACATCAATTCCAACTTCTCTGTGGATAGCTAGCATAGCTACACCATTTAACTGCCCCTATATTTTTTTAAAAAAAAAAAAAAAAACTTCAAAACTCATAATTATAATAAAAGAATAAATTAACCAATGTTGATTTACTTGTGACATTGTATTTTGCAAGTATGTCTTTATTCTTTTCAAGTTTGAAAACGACATCTCACTAGATGCAATTGATACTGGTAAAGTTGCAAAAATCTGTAGCAGTTTAAATACACTTGGATAAACTTGTCTATTGTATAAAAATATTGCTTCCATGGCATTTCTTGGTATATTTGATGATCTAATATTTTCTAAACGTCTTTGCCATAACTTGAACTCAGCCAATAACACAGATTCTTCACATTCATTTAAGTCAACCATGTACTTTTGTGCCAGGCGTAAGAAGTGAGCTTCATTTTCGTCTGTTGAAATTAATGACTCTAAGACCAATAATAACATTTTTTGACTCACAAACCTTGAATTTAGTTGATCTATAAATGTATCTAAGTAAAGAATAAAAAAAAGCAATTCGAAAATATGATTCTGGCGAATTTGTTTCTATATTTACTCTTTTCGTTTGTCTTCCTGTAATACGTGGTATGGAAATATTTATATCTAGTTTATTTGCTAAGATCAATGCATTTTCAAAAATTGTATGAAATTCAGACTCGGCATATGATCTTATAGATTGAAGTTTTTTTTATTGCATCTTCCGCAAGATCCATAGCTTCGGCTAGATCAATATTTATTCTTTGAAGTTGTTTTGAAAGAGGTAGTCCATAACTAAATACTTTATTCACAATAAGTAAGCAAATAATAAAATCTCCTTTCAGTATTGATGTTCGTAAATTGCTTGTTTGTGATGATGTTTCAGTGTCATTCCACTTCGAAATTATAAATAACGATTCAATTACGTAATCGAAAAGCTCAAGAAAATCATTGACAGCATAAAAACGTTCAACCCATATAGTTGCACATAATATTTTTAATATTTTTCTTATAATACATTCTTGACTTTCTTTGGTTTCATTTTTCAACACATCTTTCCGCTTCGGGTATATGAAAAAATCTCAAACTTTAGATATTGTTCCTAAACAATTTCGTATTTCTTGTATAGAACATGAATAAGAAACAACAAGGTTTAAAACATGAGCAGCACAACGAACATACGTCGCAAGTGGGTAGCTTTGGTGAATAATGGCTTGAACTCCTTTAAATTGACCAACCATAGATGCACATCCATCGTAACCCTGCCCTCTTAGGTACTTCGTTTCTATACCAAACGAATGTAAATTTTGTATAATAATATCGGCTAAACCTTTTCCAGTAGTATCTGTCGTAGGCACAAACTGAAGAAATTCTTCCTTGATAATCATATTTTCAACATCTAAGTAGCTTGCACATAAAGATACTTGTTCGATTCCACTAATGTCGGCCGTTTCATCAATAAGTATTGTAAAACATCTTTGGGAATTTATGTTTGTTACAATTTTTTTTTAAATAATTTTATTGCAGGATTCAATAATTTCATTTTGAAGTGTTGCACTTGTATATTTTATTTTTCCTTCAGCTTTCAAAAATGATTTCAAATGGTCATCTCCTTGGGCTTCATATCATAATATTTCTCTAAAATTTCCCTGGTTTTGGATTAACTTGACATTTTCTTGTTCAACAATAAGTTTCTCGGAATCTCGATGTCCTCTGAGCGGAATATTTTGTCTACCACATAACCCCGAAAAAATAAGGACCCCCATGGACTCTACCACGATCTCTATACAACTTGGAAACGAACAAGTTCGAATATCATCACTATATAAAAGCCCAAATGTACCAATCTCAAATATCGACTTAGAAACACTGACCAACCATGGAGGCCTATTCATAGCGGCCGATGACCTCAACGCAAAGCATCCATCCTGGAATTGCCGCACCACAAACTAGTCAGGCAGAACGCTCCACCGTCATATGGAAGCATCAAATTCCTAGACTATTTGTGCAACCGAGTCCCCAAATCACCACTCATATAATCCATTACATAGACCTTAAGTCCTGGACATCGCACTAGTAAACCTCTTTCACAGTGAATATACTCTAATAAACTACAATGAACACAACCCAATAGTAATGAACATCAGCGACTCTCCTATAACATCAAGACCACCACCAAAATATTTGAAAAAGAGATACTACTAACTCTAGCAAACCTGAATAGTAACTTAACAGATATCGGCTAGTGTTAGGAGTATGGCTAAACTCAAGTTTATCCGCGTAATCGCAAGTTTAGCCACTGCATTTTGGCTAATATCTAAATTTCGGACTTTATCCACCAACATTTAACATTATCCAGATGCATATGGCTGTTGTCTAAATAACATTACCCATACAAATAATTAAATCATTGAAGTTATACAAAAATTCTTTCATTTTTTCTCTTATTCAATAATATTTAATAATATCATAGATTATGGAATAATTTAATAATAATAAAGTACAATTATTATTAAGAATTATTTAGTCAATGATAAGATGTACCTATTTTTTATTAAATAGATTTACGGCTACTTTTCATGACAATGGTTATGTAATTCATGGGTAGCATGACTATTTTTACTCAATAGTCAGAAGACGGTTGAATACTTTTCCTGAGAACGGTGGAACCCCTATTAATAGTTAACACCGAGATAAATATTATGTTCTTATCTAAAAATTCTTCGAAGTTTTTATTTTTATATTTTTTTAAATTCCATGAACTTATTATCGAATGCTATATTTTATAAAAATAATTTTCTGGTCTTGAAAATCAAAATTGACTTAATTGGAATACCTAAACGAAAAAATAGTACGTTAATTTCAAATTAATTTGTAAGGAAATGAATTAAGATAATAAGTTAAGTTAATTTATTAGTAGTGCAATAAGTTAACTTTTAACTTATTAACTGCCAGGCTTGATAACAATATATACCTAGAAAGTACTACAAGCTGGTATCTTAACTACTTACAAATTTGAGTCGGTAATTACGGTAGATTATTACAGACTTTCTCTATCATATATTCTATACGAATTTTGCAATCAATATCAATTTTAAAATAATATCTAAATGCACACAACTGTGTACAATATTTATATTATTGAAAATATTTTACTTATCACGTCCATGGCTCACCTCTATACAACTACCCAACATATCAATATTTATTAAAAATTTAAATTTAAAAATATTGTATTATTATTGTAAATAGTTTTAAATTTTTAATTTACCTATGGCTAATGTTATTTAGTCATTAGCCGATAACGGTTAGATAATGTTGGTTTTATTGGCTAGTGTTAAAATTATCCATTTGTTTTTGGTGACTGAAGTCAAACATTTAGACATTAGCCAAAAAAATTATTTAAACTTAAGATTAGCCGGCTAGTCTTAATATTAGCCGTCCTTCGGACACTAGCCATAACATATATTTATATAAAAATCCGGGTGCAGTAGCTCCGGTACACCGTTTCAATTATATCAAAAAATGATATTTACTTATTTACTGTTTGTTCACAGAATAGGTATTTAACAATTTTATCTATTATTAATATTTATTTTTTTTATTTTTTTGTTATATAATTTACTAACAACCGTAATTATATTTATAATGTGCATAGTAACTATTAATTAAAGAATATAATATATTATAATCTACATTTTTAATTGCAATGGATTAGATTTTATAACATGTGCTTAGAAAATTATAATTGCTGAACTGATTTTTTATATCTTAAATATTATTATTAATTATTGTATTAAAGTCTGAAATCATTAATATTATATAAAAATCATTGATTTGAAAATTTTATTGTTAAATTACATCTGATATTTGACATTAATTGATATAATTTCCGTTTACCAAATTAAAAACATTTTTTTAATTTTTTTTATCTTACATCTGAAAAGACGGTTAATTAACAATATATAATTACATGAACAATAATATTTATCTTTTTTGCAGTTTTCTATCCGAGAATGACTGAAGATTATAATGAATACAATAACAGACTGAATATATTAGGTAAATAATATAGATATATACCTATCAAATATATGTTAAAATGTTTCCTTTCTACATTTAATTGTTTATAGAAATATGTAAGATAAATGTTAAATATTTTTATTACAATACTACGTAGACAATTCATTTTTCAAATTCAAACGTTGATAAAATATTATAAGATAATATATCTAATACATATATAATGTAGCTTATATTATAAGATACATCTTTATTATTGTGTTAACATAAAATTTTAGTAATACTACGAGTAGCTGACCCGACAAACGTTGTTTTGTCATATAAATTATTTCTAGAGAATATTTTGCTAGAAAAAAATAACTAATTTAATATAGGTGTGTAAGGATATGGTATATAAATGGAAGAGGTATGGAGTACTGTGAATGGTGACGAAATATATAAATGAAAAAACATCAAATATTTATTTTTTCAATAATTTATTAAAATTGATCCTTTAAAATGATATATATCGCTAATTATGACAATATTAGTAAAAAAAACAATATCAATCCCTTAATATAGCAGAGTTTACAATATTTTTTGCTCACGCAAACAAATTAGATGGTTTGCCCATTCGAGAGCACGCTATTTACCTATAATTGTCCGCAGGGTCGGCGAGAGGGTAGGGCAGGGGGGACTAGAACCCCGGGAACCTACACGTCCGAGAGGACCCGTCGTTTCGGTCTTGTATACAATGTTTTTGTTGTACCAAAGCATGTACAAGTGGTTTTAGTGCGTCTTAATCAAACAACTGCATAAGGAAGAGGGTTTGAAATCCCCGCAGCCCCGGGAGGAGCGTCTAAACACAGGAATGCACCTTAAGCGTTCTGCGCATGTGCGTAATTTATTTACCACTATCATAATGTTAGACTGTTACATAGAGTTACTCAGTGGCGCCCAGACAGGTTACCAAGGGGTGCAATTGCATGTGCTCTCGTCCGGGGTGTATATATGAGTGGTTTGTTGGGTATATAACTGGACAATTTGGATACCAAATATTATGGAATTTGGTAAGCAAATAACATTATTATAATAACACAAACATTATACCTATACGGCACTGGGTGTAGACATCTTAATTTTAATTAATTATAATAAATTTTAATTTCTTAAATTTATAGATGTTTTAAGAGTTAATTACAGTTTCAGACAACAATTTAAAGGAACGCTTTTTTTTTAAAAAATAAAAAAATTGGTCGGTGGGCGGGTAACTTTTTTTAGTTGTATGTGTTCTCAAAATACTTCTGTGCGCCACTGGAGTTATTCTATGGGCTGTTATCAATACATTATATCAAATAAAATACAATAATAGTATGAGTTATGAATCAAACTATTCAAAATTTAACTACATACTTCCTATGTAAATAATATATTGTCATTTTATTTTAGTTGTTAAATAATAATATACAGTTTCGCTATAATTTTTTTTTTTGATTAGTATATTATTCAGATATTTAGTTTCAACTCTAGTGTAATGTACTAAGTATACATTATATTTTTTCATACGTATTTTATAGTTACTACGTAATTACAATTTACAATTATAACCATAAATAAATTAATAGAACTTAATATGAACTACGTGCGAATAGCAAAATCTCGAATAGGAAAAAGTTGCGATACAGCATTAGCAATCAAATGTATCCAGCCATCCAGTATATACACTCCGCTTGTATTTGTAACTATCATTTACTTTGTCTATGTTGATGTTAAATAAAATATCAGTAATACCGTAATAAGTATTCTTAATAAAGTTATTAATCTAACTTTAAAATCCTTACATCCTAATATTGTGTAACCGTGTTGGACTCACAACTCGGCATACTATACTAGTTGGTTTTGATAATTCATACTTGTATTTACTATTAAGATGATGCAATTTATATAGATATTAGATAATATTGAATTTCTATGTTTAAGATGTTTGTGAATTGTATTGATAATACTCAATAAAACAAAATAAAATAGCCTTTGTATAATACATTTTGATAAAGTCTGATTTATGAAATGTTCAAATAGGTAATTGGGTAAATGTAGATATAAATAAACATTATTAAAAGTCATCTCAATATATTAGATAGCTATTGCTGTTTTGATTTTTTTTTTTCAAATGTATTTGGTATGTAAAATGATTTATTTACTGAAATGGTCGAAGCACAAAAATGTGTAAAATACGTAAGTAGTTACATAGTATATTCAAATTTTGAATAGTTTGATTCAAAACTCATATTATCATAATAATATTATCTTATTATAGTGATTTGATACAATATATTGATAACAGCCTAACATTATGATAGTGGTGAATAAATTACGTACATGCACAGAATGCATAAGGTGCATTCCTCTGTTTAGACGCTCCTGTCCCGGGGCCCTCAGAAGTTCTTGCCGGCCATGATTGTCCGTGTGAAAAACATGATGTGCTCAAATCTAAGCCACAGACAGACATTGTTTAGCCTTGAGACTTATTGCTAGTCATTTCAAATGCCAATCTAATTGGAAATTGAAGGCGTTTAAATTGAATTGACACATTTATAAGTATAATAAGGATTCGCGGTAATAATATATTTTCACCTCGGCATTTGCCATTTAAAATTATGGCTTCGATAAAATTTTTCTTTACATTTTTTAATGATTAATCGCGTGCCGTTGCACTACCGTCCTGGGTTCAAAATAACAAACGAAGCAAAATAACCGGAGATCCAACATTCAGTTGTAAATTATGCAGTGGCATGCATGGTAAATCCAATGAGTTTAAAAACTCTGTTGAATAATTTACAGCTTCAATAGCATCGCAAACTATATCAATAGATTTGTATGAAAACAAGTCTCCTGGTAACAAATGTTGTATCTTGAGATTCAATTCGTTGACGTTCACATTTTTTGCTGCTAAAATTGCTTTTTCTGCCAGCCACTTATGATTTGTGTATTGTCTGTGTACATTGGGAAATAACTGGTCAAGGAGAGCATCTTGCGAATCGATGATTGTGCAAAAATCGGTCGGTAATTTTATACATCCCGTTTCATCTGTAGTAACTTTCCCATCACCAATATCTAACAATTGTTTTAAGAATCTTCCGCACAAAGATTTTTTTTGATTTTATCGCAAGTATCGTAATCGTTCGCTCTCTATCTAAACATACATGTCAATCATGATTTGTAGAAAAAGCTCACGACATCTACGATAGATGTAATATCATAGCTAATAACGTTGTCCTAATCGCATCTAATCATCAACCGATATGCATAATAATCCTTCGAACTAAATTATTTGTTTGTCATGACACTTGTTGCGGGATCTTGTTGTTTAATATTTTTTTTATACCAATTCCGTCCCTATTAAAAAAAAAGGTATATCCCGTCCTTAATAATTTTTATAATTTAGTCTTAATAATTTTTATTATTATTTTTGTTATAAAATGCATTAAAAAAAATATAAGTATTCATATTATTTACATTTTCATAAATTATTTTTAAAACATATAAACATCATATTTTAAGCTTTTAAGAACCTAAAAACCTGATCTTTGATTATTATAAAAACTTAATTATTACAAATTTAGTTTTCTTACCAATTTTTATATATGCTTTACATTATTTTTGAATACACTTCCATTGTTCAATAATGTTGCTTAATTATTTGTGAAAACAAAATTAAAATTTATTTTTAATAATTGAAATTTTACCTTTTTCACTATATATATATTGTTTACTATTCATTTATATATATATATATTAAATGGCACGGACATGCACAAATGACGACTGAAAAGTTTATTTGGTTCAATATCTGAAATAATATTATTATTTCATTATATTATCTATATCATTATTATTATTTATTATTTATTCGATTTGACACGGGACGGAATTGGTATATGTATTTAAAAAACCCGGGACGGAACTAATATATTATTAAATTACATTTTATTTTTGTGGCGGTACTCGGATCCAGCCTAATATGTATGCCATACCCGTCATTTAACACCAAAAATAAAATTAATAGCTTTTAAATAGTTTTTAGTAGTTTTTTAATACTTTTTTAGGTATATTTCTACTTTACGGGGCACCCAAAATTTCGGATATTTTTTAAGTCAACTTATGTATTTTTAACGCTGAAAACGATGGTATTAAGGAAAATTGACGCAGACAATTAATTTGGAAGTTACAGCCTATTGAAATTTGATAGTTTTGGTTAAATAATTTTTTTTTTCATTTAATTTGGTTGTCGTCGTGGTAACGCGGCATCACCTAATATGAGAAGGATTGCGGTTCAAATCCGTAGCGGTATTAATAATGTTTTTTGCACTTTTTTTTTTTAAAGAGATATTTTCGTTTTAAATATCCAAGCGAGCGTAGCGAGCGAGTTACCTAATTTGGAGTTCCGGTACACCCGAAATATGATTCTGGGTTTTACTCACGTAGCGAGGTTTTAGGTTCACATACAGAGTATAATCCCACCTACAACAGTATCAAGGTTTGTACAAAAAATAGGTTAGGTTTAGACTATAATTCCTCTTGGGGCGAAGACTCATCCTCCCGAAAAGTGCCACACAGTGGCACTCAAGTTTGTGAGTGGAGCCGACAAGGTAACGAGCAAAATCCTAAAATTTTTAAAATTAAAGTTCCGATTTTTCGAAAAAAAAATGCAAAAATTTTCATTACGATAAGAGATTAAAACCAGATACATAATTATCCTTAAAAAAAAAAGTGCGAAAATTTGTTTAACCTGTATGGGGGTCGAAACCCTGTTTCGTGAATTAATAAGTCAGTGCTGCTACAATTTCGCAACGCTTTTAAATCATAGATAATCGCAATGCAATGATATTTTTTTATATTTTAAGTATTTAAGAATTTTATTAAGTTAGATAAAATTAAATTATAAACTTTAATTAACTATAAATTTAAAACTAAGTTCTTGGCCAAATTCTAATTTCAACATCATTTTTTTCACCCAAAATATGACTTAGTCCTCCAAAAAAATTGCCAAATTTTAGGGTGCCCCGTAAACTAGAAATGTTCCATTTTTTAATAGTATAATTTATAATTCCTTTTCAATTACACAATTATCGACCCGGTCAAAAATTATTAAATTAAACTACGATATATTAAACAATAGCACTTAGAAGTATAAAAAATAGATAAAAACCTATTCGCAGACCTATTAAATGTATATGTTACCAGCAATATGGATAATCCGATATTTTGGAAAATGCCAAAAATCACTTGGCAATACGAGCTTTACTTAAGTATTATGTGTAATGCCAATCGTGCAGTAGGCAATATGAAGAAAACTAATAAAATTGGACATCCCCTATTACCAACGACTTTACATATCCTTTATCATAAATCTTTATTGCGTTAAATCGTAAACGCAGATTTAACGCAATAAAGATTAATATTCTTTTACTACTTACTATAATTATAGTTCTGAAGTATAATATTGAACGTACTTATAATTTTATTACAATATTGTAATTTTTTTTGTTATTTTCATGTCTCGTTTTGGTGTTTCAACTATGCATACGATTTATATGAAGTCAAATTGTTATAACAATTTTTTTTTAAAAATGTAGCCACTAATACTAGTTTTTTATCTGATGAACAGTATAATGAGTTGATAAAAATTGAATCCACAAGAATTGGCTAAGGATTTTTAAAATGTGTTTGTAAGTCCAAGTGTCAAAATAAAAAGTGTATTTGCCTTAAAAATAATATTTTGTGAACTTAAAAATGTCACTTTTTTACAACATGTTATAAAAAGTAAACAGTAGTATTAGTAAAATATTTATATATTAGTAAAAATATTATAATAGATATAAATTAAATGTTATCCGTAATATGAGTTTTATTGTATAATAATTATAATAATCTTAATGTAATATAACATATAATAAAATGTTTTGTACTTTGCCTAAAAAAAAAAAATGGCATTTTGTATAATGCCTTGGTATTTTATAAAATACCTAGATTATATGTAAAATAATAATGAAAATCATATGTTTTATTTACATTGCCTAAAATGGGTCGACGATTTACATAATGCCAAGGCATTTTGCAAAATACCTGAATTATCCATATTTCCAGTAACATATATACAAAATTTCATTAAAATCGGTTAAGCCGTTTTGGATGAGTATGGTAACAAATACTGTGACACGAGATTTTTATATATATAAATAAATATTTTAACAGTATATTACATTAAAATTTCATAATTCCAAACAAAAAATGGACCTCGTTAAAATATTCATTAAGAATTATTTTAGGCAAGTTCTCAAAAATTGAATAAGCTTGACCTTTTTAGAGATTGAAAATACTACATAAAAAAGGTAGCTTTCGCAGAAAAAAATTAGGTTTATTGATAAACAGTCTTCAAATTTTCAATTTTTTAAGCGAAAAATGTATTCAACGATCTCAGGTATAGAAAAAATGATTTTTATATGTCACAGGTACATACATTTATTTCTTTAATATTTTTACTGTATTTACCGGTCCGTTAAAAAATATTGGGGCTTATGTTTTATTTATAATTGTAGGAATGAATATCATAAAAGAAGAGGATTACAAATTGTACAAACAAAGTAAGACTGTTATTTTTACTACCGGAATATTTAAAACAACAAAATATTACCTAATTACTAATATATTAAAAAGTGTAACTTACATATTTATAATTTTAGCTTATCCCAAATTTTTTGAAAATACTTATGAAACATACCTCAAACGATTTTCTCAAGGTATGCATTACTTTTTTATTTAATTTTCCATGAATTGAAAACAAAACCAGATCATATTTGCTTAGTCTTATGTGTTTTCATCTTACTATACATGATCCAAATGTAACAAGACTATTAATTATTATATATATTAATTTATAATATATTAATTATAATATATTCTGCACCTAAATGTCTTTACTTACAATATTTGAGTTTCAAGCAAACCTGGACATTATTGAGTTAATAAGTTAAAAGTTAAATTAAAAGTTAAGTTATACTAACTTATTAACTTAAGTTATTTCCTTAGAAATTAACTTGAAATTAACGTATTATTTTTTTGTTTATCACAATTAAGTTAATTTTGATTTTCTAGACTAGAAAAGTATTTCTGTAAACTATCGCATTCGATAATAAGTTCATGGAATTGAGAAAAATTTAAAAATAAAAATTTCAAAGAATTTTTAGATGAGATCATAATATTTATCTCGGTATTAACTATTGATAGGGGTCCCACCGTTCTCGGGAAAAGTATTCAACCGTCTTCAGACTACTGAATAAAAAAAGTAATGCCACCCATATATTAGCTGATCAACATTTTGAGATGACTCTTGTATTGAGATTCAATAGATATTTTGATTAACCTGTCCATTATATTTTTTTTATTTAGATTTTAATAAAATGGAATAATATTATATACTTATTTTAATGTTTGGTATCAACTGTATACATTTATTGCCTGTACAATTTTATAGATTTTTTCTGCGTTTTCATTATCGTTAATGTTAAATAAGATAATATCTATATATATATCAGCAATTAATTTAAATACTTATTTTTTATAACTAACTTAACTTACTAATTGAAGTTAAGTTATAGATATTTTTTTGTAATTTTCAACTTAATTGATGAATTCTCATGTGCATTAACTTAATTGTTAACTTAACTGAACATGAACTCAATTAACTTAACTGAGTTAAAAAATATCATTAACTTGTCTATGCTTGACGTAATATATGCCCATATCTAGAATTAGGACGTATTTTAAGTAATTTTCAATATTTCCATTACACTTCAATATTATTGTCTACCTGAGGAATATAGAGTAAAAATTAAATCCTATCATTACGATCGTTATGAGAGTGTGTTAATCAGTGGCACGATCACCCAACGCTGGGTAGCATTTAATTATCAATGGGATCACTAATGCCACATACTTTGTATGTTAAAATATGCTTGCTATCTCGTATCAAGTCTGAGATGCGATATTTTTTGACGATGGATAAATTGTTGGCTCATCATTTCTTAATCGATTTTTCCCTCAGTTGTTATTATTATTAAGAAATCTTCTAATCTGTCAAATCAAATTTTAGCTGTTTAAATGTTTGACAAAGTATTATAGTAGTCTTTATATGTTTGGTAAGACTACTGAAATAATTAAATTTTGATTTTTATGTGAAAAAAACATATGTTTAACAAATATCTGTAATATTTACTCAGAAGCGAAAACCTAATATAAAATATTACTATACATATCATTTACATTTATTGCATTTTTTTAATACCATTACGAAATATTATTCCAGAATCTCCCCACTTGAATGAAGAAGAGTTTAATAATTTTTTAAAAAGTAAGCTATTATTATTATTATTATTATTATTCTAACCTACCCATGTTATATATTTTAGTCAATACTAAATAAAATTTTTTTATTTTTTGATACCAATTAATACTAATTTTTATGTTCTAATTAAATTGAATGTATTATAGTAGATAATATTTTGGAAAAGTTGCAGTGGTGTTATATTAATATTTATATTATATCATCATCATAGTATTATAACTTAAATGTCAACTTTCTTTATACCTAGTGTTTATTAAATATTAGCTGCACTTTTATATTATTAATAGTGTTTTATAATTACTTATAAATTGTGTTATAAATTGTGACATATCGCTGAAAATAATCACTGATGTTTAATACTGCTTTTGTATTATAAAGTACATACATATATGATACGTGATCATTTTCTATACATATTGATATATGTAGTATATAAGTACCAATCCTAGTGCACTCTAATCTTTTTCACTTAATACTAATTTGCTGATAAATTTCATATAATTTGCGTTTCACATAATTATTTCAAAATCATTTTGAAATAATAAAATTTTCTTGTTATATTTCAAATAAATTAAAATTTAGATTTCTGGAGTTCCCCAGTATAAAACGATCCCTCAATAATTTCACTGCCAATATCTTTAATTTTATAAGTTACTAGCTGAATTACCCGTCGTTGCCGGGTTTAAGTATATAAATGTATGTAACCTGCCAAGATTAAATTTTGTTAAATCTATTGAAATTTAAATTAATTAAGATTTTTGAAATAATATTTTATACATATTTATTTAGTTTTTAAGATAATAATTATTATCATAACCTATTCGATAAGTTATAGCTTACAACTACCTGAACCTCTCTACAGTTTGGTATTCTGTTGAATACATATAGCATCTCACTTCTCCGAATATTTTACCTTTTGTCAATAAGTTCATGGTCTTTTTGGCTTTTAACCGAAACACTCTTGCAATTATATCATGTCGATCATATGATCTTTGACCGGGAAGTAAGAGCTCTTTTATCTCGTCCCAGCGAGGATTACATGTAAAAGTAATAAAAAGGTCAGGACGACCGTAATGTCTAACGTAGGTCATAGCATCTTGTGTTCTTTCGTGCATGTACCTTGGCCCACCAGTAAAAGTTGACGGGAGTATAACTATTTGGCCTAACTGATTAGCTTCTATGTCTCGTCGTCCAATCGCATCTTTTAAATGAATATAACTATCTGCACGCAATTTGGCTTGGTTGTTTTTGATGTAATTTAGTCTTTCAGTTTCAATTTTGGTGTATTCATCTACCAAATATTGACTGAAAAGAGAACGATAATTAACTAAATAGTTGTCTTCCCCTTCTCTGACCATTATTCTATATGAGTAAAAACTTGATGCAGAGACAGTTTTTTTAAGCGGTAACTTGGTTTTTGGATCGCGTTGTGGTATATTGATTGCATACCCAACATCCCCCCAACAAAACATTAAAGGATACTGCAGTGCGTCGTATGCTCGATGTATCTCACTGATACGGTGAAGTGAGTTACTTCGGTTTTCGAGGATAATGTCTCTTCGATCAAACTACTGATCTACTAACACTAAAGCAACTTCATTTGCCGTTGGTGCATTATACCTGCCTCTATGTTCTTCTGGTGGTTTTTTATGTGCATGTATTACAACTTTAAATGACTCTGAAGGAGGTATTTTATCGATGGTAAATTGTAATGATCAATTGTAAATTATGCGGTGGCATGCTTAGTAAATCCAATGAGTTTAAAAACCCTGTTGGATAATTTACAACTTCAGTAGCATCGCAAACTGTATCTAGATTTGTATGACACCAAGTTTTCTGTTAACAAATTTTGTATCTTGAGATTCAATTCGTTGACCTCCACATTTTTTGCTACTAAAATTGCTCTTTCTGCCAGCCACTTATGATTTGTGTATTGTCTGTGTACACTGGGACATATCTGGTCAATGAGAGCATCTTGCGAATAAATGATTGTGCAGAAATCGTTCGGTAATTTTATACATCCCGTTTCATCTGTAGTAACTTTCCAATCTCCAATATCTAACAATTGTTTTGAGAATCTTTTGCACGCAGCTTTTTTTGATTGAATCGAAATCGAAGTATCGAAATCGTTCGCTATCTATCTTTATATATATTTCGACCATGAATTGTTGACAAAGCTTATGCATCGTAAAATAACTTAGTCCTGATCGCGTCTAATCATCAACCGATATGCATAATAATTTTTTGAACTAACATTCTTATTTGTTTTGGCACCTGTTGCGGGATCTTTTTGTTTAATATTTATGCAATACTCGTAATTTACTACCAAAAATAAAATTAATAATTTTTAAATAGTTTTTAATAGTTTTTTAATAATTTTTTAATAGTTTTATTTAATATTATCGACCTGGTCAAAAAATATTAAACCGATTTCAACCCTTTAAATTCAAAATTTCGAAAAATCCTTTCTTAGCGCACGTCTACATCATAATAGCTATCTGTATGACAAATTTCAGCCCGATCCGTCGAATGGTTTGAGCTGTGCGTTGATAGAAGTCAATCAGCTTACTGTTTTATATATACAGATTGGAGATATGTACACGATTTAATTTATTATTCACAAGTCCAATTAGGGTCATATTTATTAGCAAATGTTTGTTTAAATCTAGGAATTATAATTCTGTCCCAACTTTAAATTTAATTTTCTGTTTCATTTTATTCTCAGAGAATATCCTTCTTAAAACCTCACACTCATTACTCTTTTTACTTCACATAGTCTCATTTCAATAGTTCGATGCGTGTCATTAAAATTATATTCATCCAATAAGAATTGTAAAGTATGTACCCATTTTTTATTGTTTTGTACGTATTCTCATCTTTTTGTTGAGTGTTCTATTAAATCTTTCGATTATTGACGATTTTTCTTCATTTTGAGTATGATACATTTTTCTCACGTATTTTTTTAAAATTTCTTTGAACAGTTTATTTTCAAATTCTAGTCTTTTATTGGTTGAAAAAAACTGAAAGTGTATGGCTTTGTATTTTAGCTTTCTCTTATATTTTTTTCAAAATCTCTGGATACACTTTTCCCGTCTTTCTTTTTAATAGGATAAAACCAAGTAAATTTAGAAAAAGTATCAATTACATTTAACATATAAGAATAATTACCGTTTTCTTTCTCATAGTTTTTCATTATAACAAGATCAGCAGCCCATAGATCATCAATACCATTTGTAAATATTTTTCTTTTCGGAAATCGTTTTCTTACAGATTTGTGAAGTTCTTGAGCTATTGGAAGTTTATCCTTTGTCTTTATTTTTTGGTTGTTTTTATCATTTTCTTCATTTTTAGGAGATTGAATTAATTTACTTTTATTTGCGTTACATTCAATACATTTTGCTGAGATTCTCCATCTGCCATTATTTGTTTGAACTTTTATTGCATCGATATTTTTTGTTCTTTTCTTACATTTGAGGCAATGTGTAATTTATTTTAAATTATCATCCATTTTATAGTAGACAAGTTTAAATTTTATCGAATTTCTCTGATTGGATTATGTTTAATATCGTACAAAAATGTATTACTTGAAACTAGACAAATATAGCAAACAGTACCATCTGCTACATCTCCATCAAAATCAACATTCAAAATGACTGTGTGTCTAGAACCTGATATACTCAGAGGTCGTCTAGTCAGATTTATAACGAATAAAGGTTTAGAGTTCTTAAATTTTTCTAGATTTTTTCTAGATTAGAGGGAGTTCTCGATACGTTCTATAGAAAAAATTTTTGTAGTCTGCCAGCATATCATAAATATTGCCAAGTTTATCGTTTTTTTAAATCGATATTCAACATCTCTTCTGAATATTTTTCTCCGTTTATTTCAAACCAAATATTTCTAACATTACAGTGATCAAAATTATTCGATTCTTTTATTTGAGTACTATTTCTGTTTGTTTGTAAACCTGAAATCCCTAGTAAAGGATCATGGGCATTTCTATACATGTTTGTAATATCAAGAGTACACTTCTTTCCACTTAAATTTCTTACTTCAATACATTTTAGAGTTTTAAAATCCATGAAATAATTATTTTTTTCTGATAATTCAACCAATTAATTTATTAAGAAGGTTTTACTCAGCTATCATATTTTACTACGCAAAATCTTAAAGTCCTCAATAATAATTTTTCCCTCATTTGTCACTGTATTATCAGTATTTATTTCTTTGAATAATGCGTCATGGTCATAATTTTGAGTAAACTCTAATTGAATGTCTCCTTTGTAAATTGATTGTGTTATATCCTCAAAGAAACCTAAACCGAAATCAGACAAATTTCCATAAGCATTAAATTTCCAACCTCCTTGAAATCTCGATTGATATCCCGAGTAGGAGTAACATGATTATTATTTAAAGCATAACCAAAAACCTCCTATAATATTACTTGTTATACCAGGGTTTTCGATTTCATCAAGCAATGTTCAATGTTTTTTCAGTTGGATGTTAGAAAATAGTTTGCTTGGAAAACCATTCTCTAATTTTATGTTGCTACTAAGAGAATAATCATAACTATTAAGTTGTACAACTTTTCCGGAAATGCTAAATTTTGTTGATTTTAGGACTAGAAAACTATCGCTTCCATCTATGAAGAAAGTCGTTATCCGATTAACACTATTAAGGTTAAACACGGAAATCGGGTATTAATTCTTATATTCAGCGCGGGTAATATTATCATCATACTTTTCAAAAATATTTTCCATTTATTATACATTTTTTAATTTTTTTCCTTGTAACAGTATAACAATTTTAAAGATTTTCTCTTTAAAATTAACAACACATTTTTTATAATTTTATTTAAATTCTAAACACGATTGACCACAAATGGGTGGATCATTATAATCTGGGTATATATTCGTTTAATATTAATGGTTTATTTTTCCCTAAATAATTAACAAGATCTGTAGATGAATTAAATTCTCCATATGAGTCAAAGTAAATTTTTAAATCCC